TAAAATAAAAATATTAATAAATAAAAAAATTAATAAAACTAAAAAAACGTTTAAACTTAAATATTTTATTCGATAAAAAAGATATTTATAAACATATAATTAATGGTATTTATGAAAATTATTAATATAAAATGCATTTATTTTAATGGATAATTACGATAAGAGTTATTTTTTTTTATTAAATAAGTTAAAACTTAAATCTATCCTTAAACATAACAATATTAATATATCGTTATTAACGTTAAAACTAATAAAAGACTTAAATTAAAAATTAATAAATTATATATCATAAATTAATATTAAAGTTATTTTATTAAGTAAACCTTAAAAGAAGCTATAAAGCTATTAAAAATAATAACCCTCCTTTTTAAAAAAAGGAGATATTATTAAATTACTTATGGTATTTTTATAACTTTTTATTATATTATAATTATAATTTCTTTTTATAAATATGTTTTATTATTACAAACTTTTTTACCTTATTAATTATAATTTTTATTTTATTTCTTTAATATAAAAAGGTAATAGCTATAATTATTATAAACCTTATATTATAATATATATATATTTTATTTCTTTATTTTATAATTAGATAGTTTTTTTTTAATTTTTAATTTGTTTTTAACCTTTAAGTCTTATTAATTTTTTAAAGAAAAAAAAGTTTTAATATTTTATAATAAATTAAATTTTATAAAAAAAAAAGGAAAGTTTTTTTTTATATTAATAAAACTTAAAATTTATTATTGTTATAAAAGTTAAATTAAGAAAAATTTATTAGCTTATATTTTAATAAATATTAAAATTAAATAAATTATAATTTCATTATTAATTAAATCATTTAAATAAACTAAAAATGATTTAAAAATATGGGAATAATGGAAACTAATATTTAATAAATAATTTAATAATCTTATAAAATAAAAAGTTTTTAAATTAATTAATCTTTTTTTAAAAAAGAAACCATTATTAATTAAATAAGTTTTAAATTAAAAGTTTAATAAAAAAAATAAATTTATATATAATTAAATAAAATTAATTATATATAATAATTTTAAAATTAATAATTCTTAAGTAATTTAAGACGTTTACGTTATAATTATAAGCTTAATTATAATTAAAATTTTCTTTACTTTAATAGTAATTTTTAACTTTAAATATTTATAATTTAACATTATTATTGCGTTTTTAAATAATATAATTTCAAAAAAAACTAAAATTTATACCAAATAAGTAATTAATTATAAAAATAAAATAAATTAAGTATAAAAGTTTAAGCAAGTATTTTAAAATTTCTCCGGCCTTCCTTTAAAAAAAAATATCCAAAAGTAATTTATCGGCTTATAGCCCTTTATAAGCTCCGAGATAAGCCTTTAAATCATTTTTAGATATTTTTTTTTTTAAGAACCGTTGCGTTAACCGGAGAAATTTTACTTGTTTAATTAAAAAACTATTTTAAAAAGTTAAAAAAAGGTTAAAAGTTAAGAATAAATGATGAAAAAAAAACGTAACCATTTAAAGGATAAGGTTTAATAAGTTATAATAATAACAGCCATGGAAATACTTATATAATAATAATTATAAACAACTATAATAATAATAATTATAAGGATACTTATATAATAATAATTATAAATAACCACTTTTATGGCTATTTACGTTTTAATTAAAAAATATATGATTAAAACATTTAATTCTTAATTATTTTAATTTATAAAACCTTTTAACATAATTATTTAATATAATTATTTTAAAAATATTATTCCTTTTATATTTTTATCCTTATATATTAATAAAGCCGCAAAAGCTTTAACGCATAAGCTATTAATAAAACCTTAAATAATTTAATTATTAAAATTATATATATCTTATTAAGAGAATTATTTAAAGTTATTTTAATTATTAAAGTAATATAAGTTTATTTAAAGATTTATATTAAAAATTAACACATATATATATATATAAATTATTAAATTTAAATAATATAAACGTTATCTTTTTTATTAAAAAAGGGGTGATATTAAAATATAGCTTAATAAATGTTAAACCGGCGTTAAATATGCTAAAATAAATTAATATATAAGTCAGTTAAATTAAAAAAAGGTATAAAAAAATATCGATATAATAATAAATAAAAAATATAATTAAGGAATAAAAATAAGTAAAATAAAGATATAATTAATAAATAAAAATAAGACGTAAGTAAAGATATAATTAATAAATAAAAATAAGGTTTATAATTAAGTAATTAATAAAAATATAAATAATGAATAAAAATAAAACAATTATTAATTAACCTTTTAATAATTAAAAGGTTTAAGGATTTTTTAAATAAGCGTATTACTCACCTTTTAAATAAATTAAGATAATATAAGGGTTAAAGGTTTTTATAATAATTACTAAGTTAAAGTAATTACTAAAATATATCTAATTAAAAATATAATCGATAACATTAACATGGTTTATAAAGTGTTAAAGCTTTAAAAGAAGTTATAATTAAATTATAGTTAATTACATTTAATTAAAAGCGTTAAAAGAAACGCACGGCTATAATTAATAAAGTTTAAGATAATTAGCATAAAGGGATATAGCTAATAAAAAGTGTTTACTTTAAAAAAATGTAATTAATAAAAAGCTTTTAAAAAAGAGGTTTGCTATGTGCACTATTTATTTTTGCTATCGGGGCCTTAAGTGCACTACCTTAGGTATTAGTATATGCCTTAAATTTTGAAATCCGGCCTTAATCTAGCGCTTTTAGCGCCTTTAGTTGCTCATATTAATTTAACTCAAATAACTCTTTGAAATATATAGTCATAAGCGTGCAACCAAATTTAATTGAAAGCGCATTCAATTTTGAATTGATTGATATAGGTTTTAAATTGAGGCGATATGTGGTCGCAAAGTTATTTAAGTAAATAGGTAGCGGAACGGGAGGCATGTGATTACTTTTAGAGCCACATTAGGAGCTTTTGGTGCTACGTTAAGGGCCTTTAGAGCCGCCAAATAGCCCTAGATCTTTTTGGGGTTACGTTAAGAAGTGTTACGTGACTGTTTTTGAGACAAATATTAACATAACTTTTCAACCATGTATCGCCTCAGATCGCGGCTGGTATCAATTAATTAGTAATTGAATTCTCTTTTAATCAAAGCTAATTGCACGTTTATAGCTATATGTTTTATGGAGTTATTTAAGATTGAAAATATTAAATAAGGTTTGGCTCTAAGTGGCTTAAGGGTTCTAGCGTGGCTTTAAGAGTTGTCACATGCCTCCTAAGCTGCCACTTATATACTTAAATAATTTTGCAACCATAAATTGTTCCAGTTCGAGACTGGTATTAATTAATCGGTAATTAGATTCTTTTTTAATTGATTCCGGCTGTATCGTGGTGCGACTTATGATTAAAAAATTATTTGGATAGATAAAATAGATGGTTTAAATGGGCCTTGGCTTTTAAGATTTAATGGATTTATAGGATATATAATACCTAATAATAGTGTATCTAAGGGCCCGATAGTAAAAATAAGTAGTGCATATAGTAAAACTCTTAAAAAAAACGCATAATTGTTAAGCAATTAACGCTAAAAACGATTTAACTAATCTTAATTTTCTTATACAGGTTTTTAAGAATTACAAGGGTATTTAATGACGTAATTAATTCAATAATTTCCCATAGTAATTTCTTATAATAATTTTTTAAAAAAGTTTTAACATAAAAATATCCTTTAAATAAATAACTTAAAACAAGTTTTAATTTAATAATTTAAAAATATATTAAAGGTAATAAAAAAAATAAAGTTTAAAAGTATATTTATGGAATATTATTTATTTAAAAATAAAAAACTAAGAGTTTTTATATTAATATATATTAACGATTTATTAATTATAAGTAATATATTTAAAATTATTAAAAAAATAAAAACCGATTTAAACGATATTTTTAAGCTTAATAAGATAAGTAAAATAATTAAATTTATTAAATTTAAAATTAAATAAAATAAGGAATTACGTTAAATATTCTTTAATTAATTTAAATTTACCAGAAAAATTTTCTTAAAATATAATATTGAAATATTAAAAAAAATAAAGTCGTTATAAAAATCCGATATTATAATCCTATTAATATAAAAAAAGATTATTAAACTTAAACATATTAAATATATTAAAAAAATAAGATTTTTAAATTAATTATTTATTAAAATTTGTTTAAATATAATTAAAACGATATTAACCTTTATAAAAGTTAACGTAAGATTTAATAAAATTTATTTTAAATTGAAAAAACATTTATAAAAATATATTAATATTATATAAAATTTTGGAATAATGTTAAATAATAAATATAATCTTAAAAACCTAAAGTTAATAATCTAAGCAAATATTATTTTTATAAATTATTTAAGATTAAAAAAGTTAATAAAAACCTATTTAATAACTTTAGTAAAAAGCTTTATATATTAAAGTTTAAAGAAATAATCACTAATTATATTAAATAATATAGAAATAAAATTTATTAATTTATTTCTAATAAAATTATCGGGAATATAAATATTAAAACTCTTTTAAAAATTGGGATATCTTTAATTAAAGTTTTTATTGCTTTTTTCAAATTTAATTAATGTAATTATTACAGTTTTTAATCTTTTAAATATAATAAAAACCTGTTATATCGATACTTAATATAAATAGATTATTAATAAAATTTAATATAAAGATATTAAAATTTAATACGTTAAAATTAAAGAAATAATAATAAATAAATTAATTAAATTATTAATAAAGGAAAAATATAAGGTTTTTATTTAATTAATAAATTTGGAAAAGTATAAATAGAAAAAATAAACTTATAGATATTATTTTAGAAAATTAAAAAAGAAAAACGATTATTATTTTAAAAAAAAATGGAAAATTATATTTTAATTATTTAATTACATAACTTTAAAACTACCTATTAATAATAAATATGGCAATAATTGTAAGGTTTTATGCCAATAAAGGTATGTTGCAGGTGTCTTAGGTATTTTTAGCTATATGGCCCTTATGGTCATATATATTGGCACTCCGCCATCCATAGTTTGGGAATAAAGCAAGCTTTCTTCCTTTCCTCTTTCTTCTTTTTGGTTGCAGTTGTACTGCAATAATAACTTTGTTTGGAGAGCGTATGGAAGTCTGTGGCTTGACCAGGCCGCCGAGGGGAAATTAGGCAGCCTCAGTTCTGATGCGGTGAAAGCTCTTTCACAGCTGTGTTTTGGTCTCAACCATCGAGTCCAGGATCTCCAAATCAAAGGGGCAGCGCAGTATGGAAAGTGTCTGCGAGTGTTAGCGGGGGACCTCGGTAAGGATGGTGCCTTGGCCCGTGATAACCAGACGCTCATAGTACCAATCCTCTTGCTGTTGATGGTCTCGGTAAGTCTCATCGTGAGACTACATTATTTTACTCCGACTTGAAAATGTTGTATCTAATAATTGAAGCGCAGTCAGTTCAAGGAGACAGGATAGCAGCCATTTTCCATCTCAAAGCGATTGGCAACATATTAACACTATGTGGTCCTGAGGCCTTCCAACGCCAACCCCTGAGGAATGCCTTTGAGGCAGCTAGGGCTACACTGGTGCGCCACTGTAACATCTACGTCTACGTATAATTTGTTGACAGTCGACAGTTACTCGCCTCGTTATTTTCCAGAAAACGGACCTTTCTAGAGGATCGACGTTGGCAAAATGCACCCTATGCACTCGACCCATCCGCCACACCTCAGCAATCACACCTCCTTAATATTCTCGTTACCATACCGGGTTTCCTACAAGATATTGCCCGCATTGACGAACCGACTCAAGATTTCGATGATCGGCTTGTCGATTCCGCAGTCCCACATGAAAAGTCAGTTTATCAAGCAGATCTCTGTACACGGATCGCCGCGCAGCTCGAGAAGCTTTATCGTTGGCGCTGGAACTGGCAATGTCGATTTGGCCAATACGTCGCTATCGCCAACCCCAAACGGCAACCGGAAAGTCCCAACTCTGATTTTACTAACACGCCCTCGGGATTTAGCCGCTTGCAGTTCGACCGCGCTACATATGCTGATGATATCGCACTATACAATGCCATATTAATATGGTTGCTGGCGCTGGTGTGGAAGCTTCAACCATTCGAAGCAACTTCCATCATAAACGAATGCGCGCAACGTGCCACGGCTCTATCGGCCTCGTCGCTCAGCTCATTGATATCATCACCATCACCTGCTATGGCTTTTGAGCCTCTCTGTCATCCCGGCGCTGTCCATTCTATCCGAGCCCCGGCCATCGAGATATGCCGCGTCTTTGAGTGGAAGTGCCGCCACTACGAGCAGCACGATGCCTCCGGCAACCAGACCTGTTTATATCTATTCCCACTAGGCATGGCTCGGAGCGCGCTGGATGCCGATCCAGACTGGCATAGCTGGATAGACAGCCTGCTAGACTCCAACCCCAACACGGCGAGTTATGGCAGGAATCGTGGAAGTGTTGCTGGCTTCAGCTCCTACGTCACGAGACACGCCCTCTATCCAGATACCCTAAGGGTTCCTGGTAAGATGTACCAGGCCGGAGATTCTTGCTAATCTTGTCAGCCTACGCGACTTTCACCTCACAATGAAAACACGAGAATATGAGAATATGAGAACATGACACTATGACACCATGCCACATAGAGAGATGCCGCAACTTAGGTATAGAAAGTAAAAGGTATATTGTAGATGGGGATATAGGATATATACACAGCAGCCAACATGGACAAACACAACATCGTCATTAAATCCCCCATGCTCATATGCATTCATTCATACGAACCGAACCCCCTTCCCATTACTCCCGTCCGTCTACTCACCCGTCCACTCATTCATCCATTCATGCAAGCAAGCAAGCCTCATCAAGAACCATACCCAGAACGCCGCGCCAACGTCGCTTGCAAAAGCTCAACCAGTCTCAGAACCAGTTTCCTCAACAAAACCGGATCTACTACTTATTGCGGATGCTGATACGGCGGCTGGTAAGGCTGGCCCGGCGCCGGCGTAGCTTGCGGGCTATACGCGTATCCGGCGTCCTGGGGCGCAGCATACGGCTGGTGTCCGGGCGCCGGCGTGCCCTGCGGGCTGTACGGTTGCTGCTGGCTCGGGTACGCGCCAGTATACGCCGTGTTCTGCTGCTGCTGCTGCTGCTGCGTGTACGGGTCATAAGCGGGGGCAACCTGCTGCTGCTGCGGGTACCCCGTCGGCTGCTGCGCCCACTGCTGCTGGCCCGGCTGCTGGTTCAGCAACGGCTGCGAATGCGGCATGCCGGCCTGGAGCTCCGTGGCGCCTGGGCCTCCCGCCACACCACCGCCAGCACTAGCGGCACCGGACTTCTCGGGGTCGACGGGGCCCGAGGAGCCGAAGTTCGCGAGGCGGAAGTAGTGGCAGACGTAGGCGAAAGTGGGCACGAAGAGGAGCATCTCGAAGGCGGAGAGGGCGGCGATGCCGCTTAAGATTCCGAGGGCGCTGTCGGACGCGACGCCGACGACGCGCTTGCCGAGGATGGTGCACTGGCCGCTGTTGATGGCGCTGCCGTCGCTGGTGCAGGAGGCCGTGACGTCGACGGTGAACTTACTGCGGCGGTTCGCGGTGCCGGCCATGGCGGCCAGCCAGAAGATGATCATGAGCAGGTCGAGGGCGAGGGTGGCCCAGGTGTTGTAGGCGCGCCGGCAGGAGAGCACCTTTTCGGAGAGGAGGGCGTAGATTGCGATCACCCAGGTGAAGAGGCCCTGTGGATGGTGGAGGGACTGTTAGTTGTGTGGTTCATGATGCGGGCGTTGAAGAGGAGAGATTGTGAAAGGAAGGGAAAAACACATACGCAGACAATGACGAAGCCGAGCTCATCATAGTACAGTCCGTGAATCCACCAGCCAGTCATGGCCACGATGACGAGGGCGAGAATTATTTGGATCACTCTTAGCGCGATGAACCCTTTTGGCGTCGGGATGATCACCTCGCCCTTTCTGGTCGAGCCTGTTGTCGCCTCCATCTTTCCTTTAACCAAAGTTTCTCTTCTACCGTTGCCTTGTGTATAACTATTGGGTCAGTCCCCGACCTTGACGTTGTTGTCTTTTCTCGAAGTTAGCTGCTTCTTCGGTAGTTGGTACAAAATAGAGCACCAAAAAGTTTGCAAATGACTAACGATGCCCTCTTGGGGGCCTCAACCACGTATTTGTATGAAGCAGCCCCCCTGTCCCTCCGTCCCCAATGCCGCTGTTAAGCCCTCAATCATATGGAACCTCGTTTAGTAATCTGCCTAGGCATAGCTTGTAGGCATGTACGAGACCCGCAATCGTGCCTACCTAGTACCTAAAGCCAACTTTTTCACATCTCGAAGCCACGGCTCAGGCCTGTGACTGAGCGGCCAAGATCAATTCCGTTAATTCGAACAGTCGAGGGGAGGAGTAGGTATGCTATCGGTGTGCCCTGTCCCAGCAAGTTGACAGGGAGCATCTCAGCCGCACGAAGTCGGTTTTAGCCCGTGCTGTCATTGGTTCGGGCGCTCCCCTCCTCATAACTCCTCTGGATCGTAACGGACTATCGACTTCTAGCCCATCCCCGATTCAGCACCAGGCTAGCCCAGCCAGCCACTCGCAGCGCTCCGTCAAGCGAGCTACCGCTCTAGAGCTCTTTGTCGTAAGGTACGCTTGACACCGGAGGCAGCTTGGCAGGCAGACTTTCTTCCTCTGCCTCTATGGAGGCGTTTTTTTCTTTTCTTTTGGAGGGGGAGGTTTCATTCGGGAAATCGTATCGTCACCTATGTCGCATCGTTTTTTTTACGCCTAGACTCGGGCTGAAGTTTTGCTTCCACGTTACGGGTATGACTGCATATTGAGCTGAGGGCCTATGTTACACAAGAAATAATCTACAATTCAGCTCCGCAGCCAGATTCGATATATTCATATGTCCAGAGTTACAACGTATTACCCTTGACGAAACGTTATCGATCGAATGATGCCTCTCAAGATAAAGTAGACGGCTAATCATGCCTAATTTTCTAGCAGCGCTTGGCACGCTGGTCGAGGCCCATCGATCTACCTAGCCATGAAGGCTGTATTATGCACGTTAGGTACTTATAGAATAGCTCCCAATTCTCAAAGCCTCCGAGGTTGGTATATTCAATGCTGCCATGCCGATGCCAGACCCACAAGGCTGCTTAAGGTCGGTAGCATAGCATTAATGACATAATCTACCAACCCAAGATCATGGCAACATTGATAGGCCTATGCGATCCATCTTCATGATACTTAAGAGTCGTTTCACACAATCGTGTTGCCTTTGGCTCTTTGTTCCTCCCCATCCCGCATTGGGCCACTGACAAGCACCAAATCACCGTCTAGCATTTGGTATAAATCCCACGGGGGTGGGTGCACATTCCTCGCAAGATATATATCGGGAAACCCGCCAATGTTGTCCGGCCGAGAATGGAATAGAAACGAAGGTGCTTTTCTAAACATATGGACTTCGTTCTTTGAGCTCGACATCCGCGGGATCCTCCACGATGGCGCGATTCGATGCGATGATGTCTGAATATGGCAAAGCCCACGAAAAGAAGGCGAAGGATTTCTATCGCGATGGATGATCAAAGGCCATAAAATGGCTTGATAGGTCCTCTCATCGCCCCCCCGCACGTCCTCGAGCAACTATTTACTCGGATCTAGCGCCAAAGTCCTTTTTGACAAACATGGAGGATCAATGGCATCAATGGATATATGGGATATTTGCGGCACGTGGAGTTGTTAGGCTATGTATAGCACCTACCTATTCGTAGGCACTACGTACCAGTAGGTAGGTAAGGCATCCTACTTGTCTACCTAAGGCAGCCAGCTATTATAAATGATATCCTTTCGACTTTTGATCTCTTCGATTTCGCTTCTTCCCACATCATCTTCAATTCCTCCCATCCCCATCAAACCGGCCGCTACCTACCTACCTACCTAGTACGCATCATGACTTACTCGATCATCATCTTCGCCTACCGCAAGCCCGGTACCACGCCCGAGCAGTTCAAGAAGCATTACGAAGAGAGCCACATCCCGCTGCTCCGAGAAATCGCCGGCGAGACTTTCCCCCTATCCCACACCCGGCGGTACATCCTCCGCGCCGAGGGAGAGGCCGAGGGCACGACCCGAAATGCCACCACGCCGGCCTCCGTGCTTATGGGGTCTCAGGCCGATTTCGACTTCGACGCCACGGCCGAGCTGATCTTTAAAGATGCCGCCGAGTTTCAGAAATTCTGTATGTTACCCCCCCCCCCCCCCCCCTCTCCCTCCTTTCCCCTCTTTCCACCATCGTGCTACTCATGAAAATTCCTTTCCGCCGGAACATTTTGGCTTACACCGCTATGTAGTCAAGGCACTCCAAGGAACCCCCGCGAACGCCGCCAAGCTCGGCGCCAACGAAGAGCTGTTCCTCGACTTGACCAAAACCTCCATCGCTATTGTGGGCGAGACCCTGGTGACGACCAAGGAATGAAGAAATGAAATTTCAGAGGATGGGGATTCTTATGCAGCGACGTAGGTAGGTAAATAGCAACACAGCACCAGTGAAGAGGGTGGAGTAGGTGGTTTGGTGAAATCGTAGCATGCATAGTATCAAAACGAGGTTGGTTTTGCTGTCACTTATTGGCTTATATCGCACATGCGCAAGGATTAGAATCCTATCCGTATAAAGAAGCCGAACCGGAGCTCTCCAAGGATTAACTTGCCTATACCTTCTTCTTATTCTAAGATTCCACCTAGCTGTTTCGTATAAGCTGTAGTGATTATTCAAGGACTCCTTTTTTTTTTTTTTTTTTGTGAACAAACATGGATACCGGTCCCCCAACAGGGCACTATTACATTACGGATGGGCGACGGGGGGGAATACCAATACTGGATAGCCTACTAGGTACATGGAAATGCTTAGCCGCATCAGTCAAGTCTAGTGGACGATCGACCCGGACCCCCCCAACGCCCGCATACCCGCCCACCCCCACGGCGGTAACGGTGCGGGCTGCTGAGATCGCGCGGCCCGAGAAGGCAGAGACGAGGCTACCAGGGCATCATCCACGGAGGAACCTCCGACGCGTGAGATCGCCGAGCCGCCGGATTCGAGGATCGAGGATCTGAAATGCGCACGCACTTCATGCCCGTGCAATTCAGAGAATGTCAGAGAAAAAGGGGTTACGGACAAAATGGTCACTTCGTTTAGTGAAAAAGTCCATCCGTCAATCCTCCTTCCTGCGCTCAATAGTACTCACATAAATAAGGACAAGTCTTCGCTGCAGGCTCTAGCACGCGAGATCAAGGAGCGCGTCTACGTGCCTGAAATACCTGATCGTCGGGGCCAGATGAGGGGCGGCGTGTGACTAAAATTTGGATCTCTTAGGGATAATAAGATATGAAAACCGAAGCTTTCTGGAGATCAATGAATCCACACTCAGATTCCCCCAGATACTCAGTGAACGAGCCAAGTAGCCAGCAGTGCATCAATGTAGGTTGTTGTGGTATTTGCTACCTTTCGTCTTTAGTTTTTAAGCTCACAAAGCAATCGCCAACTTCCTTGCCTGCCTCATAGCTATCGTATCAATTACATGTATTTCCCGGTATTCTTTGGCCCTTTCACCCTTTTCTTTTTCTTTTCCTCCTTTTTGGTTGACAACAACGCCATTTTCTCATAGTAAATGCTAAAACAAACGAACCAGATTCCGATTTCAGATTCCAGGAGTGATCGCTCCATATTCATGCCATATTCATGGAGATAGCCCACACATAGCAAGTGCCACATCCGCTGAGCCTTCCTCTGCGTCCACATCGCCAACATAGCCAAGCTTCCCATTCCCGACGCACGCGAGTGCCACCGAAATCTGCGTTACGTTATGTGGAACTTCTGGAGCGAAGGGGCAAGGTTCGATAATTGAGTTTTCAGTTGTGGTATACCAAGCGTCTGCAGGCGCAACGTCCCTGATATATGTGGCCAGTTGGCTATATTCCGGCGGAAGGTGTGCGACCGAGGCAGGGGATACACTGTTTCGATTGAGTGTGACGTTGGTTCGAAAAAAAGCTCCGAACTTCCACGACAATCCTGCCTTAGAAAAGAAGGAGCCCATTTTGCTGTGTCTAACATATAAGGGAAATTCCGCCATCAGGACGGACGTGCCGCCCTGGCGTACGTACTCTAGCACTGCATCCCAGACGGCGGAGTTCTCCGGCAAACTCGGTGCTGCGTCAGTCACTATAACGGCTGAAAACCGTGGCTCCTCCGAGAGCAGTCGAATAGCTGACTCTTCCTTTTTTACGCGCCTGATGGTTGACCGTGATGCTAGTTTGGCAAGGAAACTACCATACATGTGATCAAAGGATGGACTTAATTGCAAAGAAACTAATAGGACCCGGGGCTTCAACACGTCGTCGGTAGCCATCTTCTACAGCTCACTTTCAGCGAAAAGAGCCCTCATCACTGGGCGAGACAGTGGTTAACTTACCTGAGCTGTTATATTGTTCTTGCTTGTATGAAGGGGCTATATCAGATGAAAGATGTGATGAGATGAGTGCTGTATGATAATCAATATATACCTACTTAGGTATGCACAGATTGGATATCGTGATTGGGTAGGCACATTGGGTATGAGATGTTCAAGTTGATGGTTGAGCAATGAAGGTTGTAACATTGATGGTTCAAGTTGTGCGGGTGGATGAAGTGATACCTAGGTTAGTACATTCTAGATATACGGAGTATGGAAATTACAGGTTTCAAGTTATTGCATCCATTCAACCTACTTTATAGTACCTTCCCATTAACTTGGTTCAAGTCAATATAAGCATTGAAGGTGAGGCAGGTACGACGGTTTGTATTGATGTTAATATAAATTATGTCACTGGTACAATACATTGAATGCTTCGATACCTAGCATTTAACCCCGCTCTCTGCGTTGTTACAGATGGGCTAACAGTGCCTAACACATAGTACCTAGAAGTACCTATAGTGGAATGGAGTGGCATTAATTATTCCTTGATGCTTGGAAGTTTTGGGCTGCACCATTGTTTTCGACCCTTCTACCCTGCAACTCAACAATCTAAACACTGAGCGACTAAATATCCCTTTTTCCTAATCTACCTAGGGGTCACTTCTCTTCCTCTGCTTAAGCTATTGCTGTAAGACAAACCTAGTTGAAAATGCAGTCGGGAATATCTGGTAATGAATACCCCCACCCTTACTAGGTACCCAAGATATCACCCAAGAGATGAAGCTCACAATCGTACCCTCGATATATAGCTTCCCAGGAGCTTGTCTCCCAGTTCAATACTCTCCTGGCAGATAAATCGCAATTCGGGTTACTCGTAACCATCACCTCCGAATCCTTGACGCCCTTAAGAACCCTGTCCCGCACCTCTCCATCCAGCGACTTTGCCTCCAACCTCACCCAACTTGCCCCTCACATCAAGCCCGATGAGGCCCTGTATATCCTCCTACGCAGATATGACAGCGCTCCGTACCTAATAGCCGTCACCTACGTGCCCGATGCGGCTAAGGTTCGGTCCAAGATGCTATTCGCCTCTAGCCGATTGACGCTGGTGCGCGAGCTGGGCTCTGAGCACTTCCGCGAAACCATATTCGTGACGATGCCCGAGGAGCTCAGCGCCGCCGGGTTCGACAGACATGATCGACATATCGAGCTCGAGGCGCCGCTTACGGAAGAGGAGAGGTCGTTGGGCGAGGTCAGGCGCGCAGAGGCGGAAGCTGGTGCTGGCACGGCTGTTCGTGAGATTCATCTCAGCAAGACCATGAACATGCCCACCGCTACTGATGCTCTAGTTTCCCTGAGCGCTCTAGGCCGAGGAGAAGGCAGTGGCTTTGTGATGCTGGTTAGTAAAATGCATATTAATTTTCCCTTTATTTTGCGGGACACTTCAGCTAATCAATTACATGTGACAGAAAATCAATCCCGACACCGAAGTCGTGGAGCTGGTCTCCGATAACTCCACCCCCACTACCATATCCGAGCTTGTGAAGAGCATCTCGACAACGGAGCCGCGTTTCACATTCTTCCGGTACAAGGCCACCCCACCGCACGGCGGAGAGGAGAAGACCGTGATCCTCTTTATCTACACCTGCCCCGCCACGCCGGGCAACAAAGCCATCAAGTTCCGCATGATGTACCCGCTTATGAAGCGTTCGGTGCTCGAAGTTGCCACCAAGGAAGCCGGGCTCACGATCGACAAGAAATTCGAAGTCGAGGAGCCGGACGAGATCACAGAGCAATCCGTTACGTCGGAGCTGTTCCCCGAAACCGAGACCAAGACCGCCTTCCGAAGACCCAAGCGACCCGGCAGGTGAACAATGTCAAACAAAGTTCTGGATACATGACAGAAAAATGGGGTATGGATAACGTAGCAATGAAAGTCTAGCATAGCGGTCAAGAATGCCAGCCAGCACATTTGAAGTACGTACATAGATACATGTTAGATACAATTCGCTATTCAAAATGGCCTCTACCTACATAGCAAATAATGCTACAATATGTGGATGTCCAGTACCTAGGATTTCAAGAAGACCTCCTACCTCCCTACCTATCTACATAAACGGCGGTCGATTCCCATACTACCCTAGGTACCTTATCTTACCCCCAACCAGGGATCGCCGTCCACTTGGCCGCGGACATAATTATTTACCCAGGTATTAGGTACCTAGTATGTACGTATCTATTCCTCATATTTCCCACCCGTCACAATACTCGGCCCGCTCTTCTCCAACTTCTCCTTGAGATACTCGTACACCGTGAACGTCACTGCCTGGCCGGGCGCCACCCGCATGATGCGCGGCGTGATGCCCTTGTAGAATGCGTGGAAACCTTCTTGTCTGTTTTTTTTTAAAAAAAAAAGAAAAAGAAAAAATGGATTAGCTTTGATAGTACGGTAGAGGGTGGAGAAGGAGAGGAGATGTGATGATGATAGAAGGGAGATAAGAAGGAGGAAGGGGAGAGAGAGAAACAAACGCACTTAAACATATCCCCCGCAATAACGCTAATCCTCCTAAACGCTGAGACGCCCTCCTCGGCGGGCGTCTTCTGCAGCCGCGTCTTGATGGTGTCGATGGGCGCGTTGCTCAGGGGGCCCATGGCGCCGCTCACGAGCCCGATGATGGTGGTCTGCCAGCTGGGCAGCTGCACCGCGGCCCCCACGCCCTGGCCGTTCCGCTTCTCCTGCCAGCGCAGCAGCGCTTCCTTGAAGTACGTGTAGGCGGTGAAGTTGACGGCCTGGTTGCTGCCCTGGCGCAGCGCGGTGAGGCTGACGCCGCGGTACAGCGCGCCGACGCCCTCCTCCTTGACGACGGTGTAGAGCGCGTGCGCGGCGTTGCGGTACTTGGGGATGTCGAGCGGGTCCGCCATGCTGTGGTGCTGCGCCTGCAGCCGGATCTTGACGACCTCCATCGGCGTGACCACGGCGACGGCCTCGGTCACGCCGGCGGCTAGGCCGGCGAGAAACGTGCCCCGCCCCGTTATCATCTGCGTCTCGGAGTCGGCGAGCAGCTGCTTGTACCACTCGAAGGAGGTGAAGCGGATCGCCATCTTGGGCACGATGCCGGTGAGCACGGCGCCCAGCCCCTTGTACAGGCCGAGGGGCGTCTCGCGCTTCACGATCTCGGAGCCGGTGCGGATGAAGCCGCGTTTGGGGGCGCCGGGTTGGCGGGCGCGGCGGGAGAGCTGCATGCGGACTTTTATTGTGTCTGTGTTTGGGGGAAGAGTGCATGTTAGAGTTTTATCATATTATAGAGATGGTGAGGTACGGAATAGAGCATGGGGCACGAACCTAGAGGATGGCATGCGAGTGCTTCCATCATACCTGCGCCTCCACCAGCTGTATACATCACGACGGTATTAGTATGGCTATACTCGTCAAGACATAGGGAGGGGTTCAGTCAAGGGGAGTCTACCGATGAGATTAGTGGCTGCCGTCGGCGGCGCCTTGCCATCTTTTCCTCCCACTTTCGTCGCCATTGCGTTGTTCTGTGATTTGGGCTTGCGCCCCTTTTACTACTCTGTGGTTGGTTCCAGTCGTATGTTGGTGGTCTGGCGAGAAGGAAAGTGGAAATGAGTTCCTGGGGGATATAATCACATGCAAGGGACGTCACCAATGCTTAGGTACCTAGTCGGAATATGAGGGAGACGGGAACAAAGGAAGACTTCTTCGACAATTCTTTTGGCCGAGGTCAAGCGAGACAACAACAAAAAAGGGGGAGAGGGAGGAATAGGAGCTAAACAACGTCGTCTGGAATGTACCTAAGGTATGAGGATTGTGTGTGAAAGACGATGGGTAAGAAGTAGCATGAGATAGATGTAAGAGCTAAAGAAATCAGATTCTTCTAAACCTTCCTACAACATGGGAACTCTAGTCTAGGATATCTCGAGTATCTATATAAAAGTATACCTACCTACCTACCTACTTAGCCCGGTTCCTAAAAGCGCCACGCGCTAGGGAATAAGGGGATTGCCGAGCTACATAATAGCTAGCTATTGGGACGAGTAGCTTTTGCGCGTGCGTGTGAGAGAGTACCCGCGACCCCGGAAAGGGGAAGCGAGTGACTCAATGGGATCTTCTCAAGTCCCGCGGCATGGGGGAATCTACTCGCCATCTCGTGTTAACCCTAACAAATGCACCTACAGTAGGCTAGGTAGATAGGTAGATGGGCAATGATGGATGCAATACAAGCGCCAGGAATGGACAAGTGAGTTTGTGGGGAATGGGGAATGGGGCTAGATCAACGTTTATGTGATGACAAGTTAATAGTTGAAACCTTAACCTGTCGTATCTCTCTCTTCTCAGAAGGTCCCTAGGTAATTAACTAACGATAATCATTTCAACGGTCCGCCGGAGGAACAATGGTTCGGCAGACCGGAGCTTCAGTCGCGTGTTTTCTCGCCTTGCTTCGACGGCCGGCGGGAAAGCGACTTTTTAAAACTGGGTCACTTGGGGTAGTAATGTTTTTCTTAGCGGTGACGTCGAAAAAGGTTGTTGTTTACCGACGGGGAGCCGAGCTTGTGATTTTGCGGGGGGAAGTCCAGACAAGCCCAGATTTAGCAGGGGGTTTCAATGCATGCTAGGCAAGTACCCACGTACCCTTTACGTAGTTGAGCCCCCTAACCTAGCCGGTGATGGGTTTGAATGTCGGTTACTCCCGGGTAGAATATTGATAGTTCCTACCTACCTAACCTAGTACATAGTATGTACTACCACTCGAAAGCTTTACATATGAGGCTTGAGACTATGTGTACCTACCTACTATGTACTGACAGTACTGTACATGCCATGATGTTGGCCTACAAATGCCATTACCATTGCCATTCCACTTGCCGAGGTTAAACATCCAACTCAAGCTCTTCTCTTGGAACCAGGTATAATGAAAGACCAGACGCCTTGGGAAGCACAAGGACATCACTCGAGATCTACGACATCGGAATTGTAATATACTGCTTGGAGGTATTAAATATCACATGCGAAGCACGTGGCAATTAAATGACTGCATATAGAAAGGTACATATGTAGTAGCGGGCAAGGACATGCATGTGCTCTACATAGTACTCCGTACGCCTTCTAAAATACCTATATTTTGTCGATACATGCTACCTGCTGTACCTAGGTCTGGTAAACGCCGATTCTCTTCAATGCCATCCATTCATTGAGACCTAACTAGGAAATTAAATTGCAGCAACCACCCCAGCCCCTTTCCATTTCTCAGATTATCCGTGTAACAGTAGTGGTATAGTAAACTCCCCCATAAAGCAAAGCTCGCCGTGGAAATCATGTTAAATGTCATCCAATCCTTGAAGCCAACAGGATTTTATAAAGTTTAGGCAGGGGTCCCGAACTCTTCTACCTCAGAAGGCTCGCCCTCAAAACTATAAAGCCGTACCTCTCCATCTTCGCCACCGCTGGCCATTCGGCTATCGCTCAACCCAACGCAGGTGACAGGCCCTGCATGTCCAGTAAAAGTGCGCTCACACTTTCCAGTCCTGGAGTCCCATACTTTGACTGCATTCACATAATGTTAGTCTTTTGCTTCTTCAAGTATAACGATGAGAATAAATGGGAGATTCTTACCCGTAGCGTCGTTAGCACTAGTAACGTATCGCAGAGAGTCAGCCGCAAGACCCCAGATGCCCTCGACATGGCCAAAAAATGTCCGCGGACTTTTTCCTGTTGCCGTGTCCCACAATCTCATCGTAGCATCGAGAGACCCGGTAAGCATGTATCGTGGGGGTAAAGGTCGTTCAGGATCATTCTGGAATATTGGGCCATAGGCAGCCCGTTCTTCATCCATGTTTGGGGGCGAACCCGACGAAGAACTGCCGGAAGGGGTGCCACTGCGGTTACTAGCCACTGAGACACCATCTCCGTCCTTTGCGGTCTCATCCTCAAACTCATAGTCATCTGGGAGTGCAAGGACTTGTTGAACCTGTCCGACATGACCTTCGAAGGTCTTGATACAAGCCTTGGTGTCGAGGTCCCATAGTTTGACCGTACAGTCATCGGAGGCGGATAGCACCGTGCGTGATGCTAGATCTATGCGCACATGGTTCACCCAGTCCTCATGGCCGCGCAAGCTGTATGACTGCTGGGTTTTAAAGTTGAAGATCTTGATCGATCGATCCATAGACCCCGAGGCTAAGAGATCACCATCCATATGCACAGTTATGACGCCACCTTGGTGATTAAGGGTGTTGATGCAGGCACCGGTTCTCCAGTTCCATATCTTCACTGTGCTATCCAAGCTCGCAGAGACAAGCATCCGGTCGTCAAACTGGAGAGCCCTAATCCCCATGGTGTGACCACGGAGGGTCCGTATAACCTCAGCCTTCTCGACATCCCAGAGCTTAATTGTTGAATCGTAAGAGCCAGTTGCTAGAATGTTGTCGTCAAATTGCAAAGCCGTTATTCCGTTCTCGTGCTGCCCTACAAACCGTTTGATTGTGCATCTACCGTACCGCCAGTTAGATCCCACGCGATATCTCTCCCTATATAGATCTTTCCATGGCCTAAGCTTTTGTGCGCCCGTCGATGCCTTATGTGTGTTGCCGGCACCGTTAATGCATTGGCGTTTAGCGGAATCGACCTCTTCAATTTCCAAAGATGAAGCGGCCCGTTTGATTGGGCCTGCGACTGATTCGCTCGGTCCGATAAGTGCCAGCGCCCGTTGGGTTTCCAGGTTTGCCTGGTGTTGAATCTTCCACTCCTTTAGTCTCTTCTTTTCCAGCTTAGGTAATCCCCACTGGCACTTTTCGCATTTGCGTCCGATGTGCTGCTCACACATCCGGTGCCATACAAGGTCGTCTCCTGATAGGGTGTTCCACCGTCGACTAACCTGAGCAGCTTTGCAAAGGGAAGAGCAGTCAAGATAACAGAGGATTTTCAAAGATAGCTCAGTTGGTAAGGCGGTTAAGAAGTCTATCTTCAGCTGTTCGTGGACCTCTCGGGACACTGTGGATAGTTGCGGAAAACAACATTGAGTAATGATGCCCTGTAGCATAAGTTCACGATGTTTGGAGGGAGCGGCAGAGAATAGGGACCAGACATTAGTGATAGCTTGACGATCAGCAGAGGGCAGTGTCTCGAGTTCCTGCGATAAATGTTAGTGTCTCAGCGTTATACACTAGGGTGCGTTCAAGCGTACACTTTGAATTAAGCCCATCTTAGATTCGTCCGCCGCCCTACGACACTTAGAATCAGGGCGATGTCGGTAACAATATTTGCTATTAGGATCCTTTGTTGTGAGGGCCGTCATGGATGGGAGGTCGGGTTTCCCTATCGGTGCATATAGTCCAGGTATGTGTTCCCGTAAGAAAGGAGTCACAGATTGACCCATAAGTTGTTGCGACATGTTAGGTAAGCGAGATGCGTCCTTGGAGTCGTCTTCTGGCCTTCGCCTATCACAATTATCTCGAGAAGGTTTTTGATTGACTTGGTCGTTGGGTAGCGATGCAAATGACTGTCTCTGAGGACGAATGCGATCAGTAGAGGAGGATGTATGTTCTGTGTCCATTAGATTGGTATCGTTTGGGAAAAAAGTGTGATCATGATTTCGTGATGATGGCTCACGGCCGTTGGGTGTCGACATTGGTGGTAAGCCTTCCATGATGATGAATCCGAGGGAATTTCGATTGGTAGCCGGGTGAGAAGGACAATGCCCGGGGGGTCTTTTATTAGAATTGCACCATCTAAAAAAGTATGATGAGGACAGCGGTGAAACGCGGTGAGATGGCGTGCTTGATGAGGACCATTCAAGGTGTTCAAGGTGTCTAAGGTGTGTCCGTGTCTGACTTTTGACTGGCCCGACTGATCTGACTTGTCTGCTTCTTTTTCGTCTTATTAAGGTTCCAACTAATAGCAGTAGCTAACAAAACCTCGAAAGATATATATGTATACTATCGGGATTCGGTAGTATTGCCTAGGGTAGGCACGGTATATAATAGATGGTCTAGGAGAACTAAGTAGATAGATGTAGGTGTAGGTGTGTATGGCCAGGTGTAGACTCGCAGACTCATATAGTCTGACTAAACTGAGACTACCTAACGGGTTCTCGCAGGGTGCGGGCAGTGTATTGTATTTACTCAATATTGTGTCCAATATTGCACTGTACTAATGATATTAATGGCTGAGATCGGGGGCACAGGTACAGGAATTGCACATCAGAGTTGAGGAGATGGCGAAATCGGCCCAAAGTGCAAGCAAGGTGAATTTATTCCCTGTTCGTTTCTCGGTCGTCTCGTTTTTTTGGATTATTTGGTATGATCGGTTGACCTCGTTGGATGAGGGAGGGACCCTCACGGCCGTTGTTGAAAGCGGTCAAAAAGTTGCCGTTGCGGTTAATCCACGCCATTTTGAACTATTTTTGTTTGGCATTTGGGCATTTGGTTTGTTTTGCTTGTCATTTTGCGGTGCTTGGGGGCCCTAATGGCGACATCACTGGCCGATAACCACCCGAACTGCCGGGATCCACTGCGGCTGTCGGGTCTAGGTCACTCGTCTGGGGTAAATGCAACCTTTTAAACTTAAATGTCCTAAAATAAGTAGGTACCTAATATGTATTGGTTCCCAACATCTTGCTTGAGGTATCGGGTGCCTTTGCCGGTTAGGCCCTTGCAGAGAATTGAACTTGCTCATGTAAGTTTTCATGTTAGATAATTTGATCGAAAAGCATTTCATTTGAGGTCTAGAAGCTTTGGAGCTCATGTATTGAATAGAATTTTCAACTACAAAATACCATAAGTGTACCTTGCTTGTACCTTGCTAGGCCGAAAGCTCCGACAGCCGACAGCCCCTGTGGCTTGTACTTGCATGTAATAAAATTCCATGGATCTTATTAGTTGATCGATCTCGCCATTTCTGCGCATGTTTTCGTTTGATGATCTTTGACATGAACCATATCACGTGCGATTACCCCTGATTCTTACAATGTACGAAGTACCTTTGCCAATCAACTCAACAACTAAAGCCTTTTGATTACCACCAAATTGACCACATATATCTTCTGAACCATCGACATACCTTGTGGGATACGGAGATCGTTCATAGTCGTCTTGACCTACCGCGGGATTCTCGGTCGGCACGGTAACTCATCTGCAAAGGTCGCTTCGAATATCATGAAATATATTCTTTATCGTCGGTGAATAGATTGAATGGTCTCTTAGCTCGGGCACTAGGTTACATTATCTTATCTTCTCGAGGATACTAATCAAGTGTTTAAGTTGTCCAGAGTCCAGACCTGCCGATAGACCCTTAATGTCTTCGTAGGGGCCTTTCGTCATTCTATAAACATAGTCTAAGGGGACATGCTTGTGTCTTTTATATTGAAAAGGCGTAGCTCGCTCTTATCTACGAGTTCCATTCCCTTCTTGCATTGAAATCGTTCTTATCCTTAGTCGAATCCGTCAAGGGTTTGCCCGGGGTCTGGATAAGGTAGGGAAGGCTATATGGGAGCTAACTAGAACAAAAAGGGCTACATATATATATAGCCCCCGTAGTTTCCAAGGGAATGTTGCATGTCATCGCGCAACAACGATGTTGTTCTGCGTCTTCCAGATTCTACCTCATGGCAGAGTTGCTTAAGTCTCTCAAGTTGCTGAAGTCTTTGCCGTCGTTCGAGTTTTTATCCGAGGAATCTGTGGATAATGGGTTCGATTTTGTACAGCTCGATTTTGAAGGAGCTAACTTACCCCCATCGTACTACTGTACTTGCTACTGCGTGTCGTGTGCGTAAGCAATTGGTAGTTGCCTTATTAGGTAGTAAACCGCTAGCGGAAGGCCTATCACCTATTTGTAACACGCTGGTCAAGCGAGAAGCGCTCCTGTATTCTTTTCATCCTGTGAATATTGTTAGATCGCTCCGTAGCTTATGTACTCAAGTGAGGCGCTATTATGAATACATGACGTGGAGATGGAGATTACAAAGGCAAATTTGGTCTTAGGTGATTATTCTCAGCCAGGCTCTTGGTTCGGATCTTATTTCTCAATGCGCTACCTGGCGTGGCTCTCAATGGTACACATCACCCCCTTGGCCTCTGGCAGGGTACTCTCGCGTTGTTAATCTATTACGCCGGCCTGGCGCCTGCTGTTTCTAACCTGTGAGCGCTAATAAGCGCGTCTGCTGTGAGGCATCCCTTCGCGCCTATTTCGCACTCTGTAGATAAGCGCGGGGCACTTCAGTATAGTATCCATAGATTGTCCCATGATTAACCCATTGGAGCAGAATATAGCTACGATATGGGAATCCGAGGCGTAGAGGGAACGGGCTGATTAATGTTAATTTAGGGTCTTGCCTAGATCTAGATCCAGATCTAATGCATGATAAATAGGTACTTGGTATCCTACATCCACACTTCATAGAAGAGACTGAAACTCCGTTAACCCTTCAATAGTTAATGTCGATATCTATGCCAGCCATCAGATCAGGTCAACTGTCGTTGCCCGGTTACGTATACTTCATATGAATAAAATGCCATCAATACGCTAGGCACACTTACTACGCATACATGGCTGGCCTTGGTAGGACCCTAGTCCTGCCATGCGATATCAGGCATAGACAGACGGCTACATTCCTCTCATCTACGAAGACAGCCATTCCACACCCACTGATGGCTTGTCATATTCTTCATGTCACAGGCCATGAGATGAATGTCAAGACTCAAGTGTCGTCAAACACCCGACTAGGTACCTATATAATAGATGTCTGCCTCCGTACCTAGGGCGACTTAGCGCCTACCTAGGTAGTGTATCGATATCCCGCACGAAGGTCCTTAGCACCTAGTTAGTGCCACCTTGGTAACCTAACAGCCAAAAGGGTTACCATAGGGGTGCCCAAACCATGAAGTCATTTGCAATTCTATTCTTCCCGGATCCTAGACGTATCTAAATAGCGATAGTACCTAGCTACACTAGACCCACATAGTACGAACAGAAAAAAAAAAAAAAAAAAACATACAACACCGGGGATTCGCTGGTCGTCACCGACCCAACTACTGATCCGGCGGTATCTGGCTTATCTATGGGAGAGCGGACGGGATCCCGAGTTCTCCAGATCCTATGGTCGTATGTGAAAGACCGTGCGGTTATTTTGGGCTATAAGGCCGTACCCCAGAACATGACTGCCCCCCTAAGCTGACATAATCAGGGGCTGTGGTCCGCGGCAGGCCCAATGCCGACCCTCTTAGGATTCTATCAATTGATTTTTTGACTTTGATAGAAGCCATTGCCAGAGTCTGTCCCGTGATTAGAGGCCTTGCACTAGGTGATAGTAAGTGTTCAGAAACGGAACCTAGAAGACGCAGAACAACATCGTTGATGCGCGGGGACCTCTAACATCTCCCCGGAGGCTATGGAAGCTGCATATACAAGTAAGATGTCTTTATTCTATGTAACACCCCATGTAGTCCTGGGTAGACCTTTGACATTACATGCCAAGCGTGCTGAAACTGGGGCATTGTCATGGTGATACTGACATAATAGTATAGATAGCATTGAATTTGAGCTACCTAGAAGGATAGGGGACCAGTCTGAATACTCTAATAGAGTCGTGCGTGCTTAGTACGAAGGGAAGTAGGCATGCATGGCCAACGCCGATATTCGTTGTTTTATGTTTTTTTTTGACAAAGGGGGATGAATGTACAAGGCCATGCAGTATGAGAAATTGTCTCCGTTGCTGTGTGATCTGGACATATTCTCGTATAGCTTAATTCCATCATGTAGTTACCTCTTTCCAAGACTTTACCTACAAGTTACAAGGGAGTTATTTAGTTGATCATAATATCGGCGATGTCTTCCCCTTCTAAATCCCAAGTACCCTCGCAGGCTCAAGGGGGCAACTGTTTGATCAAGCTACATGATTCTATAGCGCTGTGTATCATTATTAATGTTGCCATAGAACGCATTGAGAAGACTGTTGATGTAACTGGGGCCACTTTCGAGTTTGACCCTATCTTCAGATTCGGACTCCAAGACTCCTTCTCTGTCAGAGCACAAACAGACCACCTGGAAGGTACTTCAACTTCTATGCGAAGGCTCCTATCATTAATGGCATGCTGTTCGAGACGCACAACTTTGGGTCTTGCGCTACTAGTAATCATGCCTGCTGGAAACCCCAACGATGCCTTTTGGACTCTCTTACAGGCGGGCTTAATACCTACCTAGTAGCCTGTTCTCTGCTGGCCATGTAGTTTGTTAGGTATACTATCATTACCACCCGAATGAACATGAATCTAAAGTGTTTCCTACGCTATCATCAGTGAATGCCCCGGGGGCCATGAAGATGCAATGGCGGCGGTCCTAACAAAGGCCGAAGAGAGGGCGCACCGGGACATCCTGACTCCCTCATCATGACGATGGCAATAGACCCCCGGTGTCAGGGCCTTGCGAGCGCATTACTTGTGTAACTATGTCTATGCAAGACAAATCCCGAAGCGATTGCCGTCGTGGATTGAGGCCATGATGGGGGAATCTCGGGACCCGTACACGAAGCACAGGTTCGAAGTTGTGGTAGAGGTCAACCTCGGAAAGGGGTAAGTTGGTTCTCATTGCTCAGCGAAGAAGGGTGGTGAAGGAGTCACTCCATGGCCAAGGGCATGGCGTTCCAAGAAGTAACCACCTGGGCAGCCAGCGGGTGGTCAAGGGCGAAAATATTCCTAGCCGCGACCCCTGCATGGAACTCAATGTAATATGTTCCATACGAGGGCATCCGTGGGAGCATATGTATATGCTCATGAGTTTAGGTAAAGTGGTTGTTCGATGCTCCCACAATGCCTGCGTAAAAAACCTTGTCTCCCATCGATCTGATAAGTCTATAGTTTCGTACAAAATATGCTCTTCTGTATGAGGTTTGCCAGAAGGTGGTGCCCCTCATCGTTTTCCGAGTTCGCGGTCTCGCGACTATCGTGTCACAATATAAATCCTTGAATAAATCGATCGATAACTTCTATGGGGCTCTGCGCATTATGTAGATATATCTTACGCTCGATCATAACTTATTACCTAAATTCCTATATTTAGAAGGTTAGAATAGGCTATCATCGATGAAGTCCCAAAGACTCAGATACTACCCCTGAGCTATATCACGTTGGACCACGCTGGTCGTCAACGCAGCAGTGTAGCTTAGTGAGCTTCCCTCTTCCCGCCCATGATCTAGAACCAGTAGATCACGGTGAAGAAGAAAGATCGCCATCATCACATCTTGGCAACTTAAAGGCTAACCTTATTTTGTGTGGATCTGCCTCGTGGTTTGTTGCCTTCGAGTAGGTTAGTTTTTTTTGTCTGTGGACACGACGGCAAGTCATTTGACTTGCGGAGTTCTGTCTTGTAACAAACTGAGAACTATGGTTGACTGTATATACTGTAGGTATGTGTATTTGTCAGATTTGTGAAGCATATGGATTGTATTCTGCGTTAATTGAATACCTACACAGTAGTACCGTGTTATTATTTGAAGTGGTTCGGAATTCCGTCGGGGGTGCAAGTTTCTAGAATCGTGAAATGAACCAGCGGGACGGCTCAGATCCCGGAGTGAACAAGCCGCAATTTCCGTGAAGATCATGCAGAGATTTTGAGTCCGCTCAATGTTGTGCACAAGTACATACATAATCATACTTGCTTGGTTATACTTACATAGTTACTTGGGTAGACACTAGAAGTTGAAATTACAACATATTCAGAGACCGTGACAACATCCCTACCTAGTGATCGTCGCATTAGGTAGGCTATGTATTATGCCTGTAAGACTCTAATTAGGTATCTAACCTAGCACATACCAACTTACATACCTACATACTTGTCCAGGTGGATACCTATGTAGATTATGTAGTTAGTTAGGCATGGAGGAAGTTAGGAGGCTCCTCAAAGCCTCAGCCCTAAGACAAAGGATACCTATCCTATATCGGCAGGTGTATACTCGCTCCCGTTCGGTAGATATTGTAACTAGCAAATAACTCTATAATTCTCCGCGAAACAACATTTGCACATTTAATGTTGTTGTTTCCACACCGCTGATTCAGCATCGCGACAGCCAAGACAAAAAGAGCCCAGACAAAAATCCGCTTTGACCGGTAGTTGTATGCATTTGTCAACTTCGTGTTACCTAATCTCACTTAGCCTCGTTATTTAATATCCACTGTTACAACGTTGTAGCTCCCATTCAGGACAGGGGATACTGACTTGACAGTGAATCTGACCAATTAGAGGTATATGGGTCGGGGTAGGCAGCTGGCCTCAGCAAGGCCAACATTCAACGATACCGTAGCACTACGTTGTATGTGGGCTGAACTGAATACGAGGCCAGCCTCAGTCTGCGTTTAGAAGATGCCAAGGCAACTTGAGCTGAGCAGTATTGCGGAGTGAGGACGGGCTCTAATACCTATATCACTGGGATGATCAACATGTAGTAATAGACACGTTCGTGAAAAGATATATAAGCCCAGTCCCTTTCGCGGGTTTTCATATTCTTTCCAGATCACTCAACACTTGCCAATCACCAACAAGTTCTACTACCAAAAAACCTACCTAGAACTTCCAGCCTCTAGACCAAACATCTCGCCAAAATGCTTGCCTCAGTCATCACCGTCGTCTCGGCCCTCGCCGCCTCAGTCGTCGCTGTCCCCGACGTCCAAGCCCGTGAAGTTTTGGCTTCATGGCCTGCCACCAACTTCCAGAAGGCCTGCACACCTGTGAGTATCCGTCAAGTAACCCTTTTCATCGTTCATCTCAGCTGATGAAAATTCCAAGGGCCACTGCCAAGCTATGTTCGATATCAGCGCCCCCGCGGGCTACGCTAAGGATGCCCCGGCCTTCAAGGTCACGTGCAAGGCGCCCCAGAACCAAGCCTACGTCAAGTGCGAATCTGCCAGCCCGCTTGCCAAGGACTCTTCGGTGCAATCGATGTTCACTGATGGAGCGAGCAAGGACGCCATGAAGATCTCGGTGTTCCATATTTGGAATGAGGGTGCGACGACGTTCAACGCCTCCGGCTCCGTTGAGGTCACTCCTTCTGCCACGGGCTTCACGCTGCCCGTCACCTCCCTCACCGGTATCGCCTAAGCGAATCGCTTCCTCATTACAGTCGCTTACGGGAAATGTTGTGTGAATTTGGCACGAGAAACTGTGGAGGATCTTCGATTCTGGGACTTGCACACTTGAGAGTTTGGCAAGGTTTTATAGATCTTAGAGGATAATAAATATCACCTTCAGCCAATATGATATTTCCGAATAGTGCTTGAATCGTCTTGGTGTCCGAAAGATTACTGTCACGGTTCAGGGTAAATGACTGTTATAACCTAGGCGGATTAAGCGTTGGGCTGCTTCCCAAACTTCGTCAGGGATATGCTGGGGAATCTAGAATCCTTGGGACGGATAATCACGAATGCGAAGTAAGTCACCCACAGCAATATTTATGACTAACTCTTCTGGATCGTCGGCATTGGGATACTCGTTCCGTTTGAATTGGGGTGAAGTGACCATGATCTGAATGTCAGGGTCCGGGCCATTGCTTCTTGAAGGTCGCATAGGTTCGCCTTTCCATGTACGGCTTCTGCGCCAGCAGGAATGATTTAAGATGCAGTTCTCTCTCCTGGAGTAATGCGTGCGTGAAAGGAATATTCGCGCCGGTGTTTGTAGAAAGGGGCTCAACCAGGATCTTCTCGGGTAAAACCCCCATTTCGAGAGCTATATATGCGAATATCCGAGCCTCTGGTTTGTCGTACCGACCTCTAGTGAGTCTTCCTACCCCACCGGCGAATATGAGATCATGACCTTCTGATGAATTGGATGTCATGTTTGTAGATATAGATAGGAAGTAATAGGTAATACGGCGTAGTAGGTAGATATGCCGAACTCTGGAGACTGACAGCGGGGAAGTACAGTATGGTAGATAAAAGAAGTGGGTGACAGAGTGACGAAGGAATTGGCGACACAATTTAAAAAGCCACCTGCACCCACATCCCCCCCACGTGTGCATATGCCCCCCCCCCCAATCTAATGAACCCCTTACCGGTTTTAAGTGGAAACAGCCTCAGTGTCAGCTGAGTGCCTTATCAATTCAATCAGATAAGATCTTGTGTCTTCCCTGCTTCCCTTATCCTTGTTAGGCAAACCGCCACCATTCATCATCATTACCACCTATTTCCTATTAGGTGCTCCCTATTAGGTGCCCCCTTCTCAATCATGCCCCCCGATACGGAATGGGCACTCAAATTTCTAAAAGAAAGCTTGAGAACATCTCATATTTCTCATGTTGTCGACGAGGTTCATCCTTTACACGGTGACGCCCCTCCTTCGAATGGCCCGAACGTTCCGATCAGCCCGGAGAGGCTTCAATATTTACGAGAGTTAATTTCCTATATTCTCCACGGTCGCGCCATCATCTTTCACTACAACGTCACTCTATTAATAATACTTGCACTTTTCTGCTTATTCCACTTGGCTGAAAAGCTCAGGCAGAAGTCAAGATGGCTGATAATCGAGCAAGACCCAGCTGCAAAGTCAGAACAACTCGACCAAGCAAACGAGGTTTCTGGTATCGCAAGCGAGGCTGGCTCGTCTTCTAGTAGTACTTTGGATGGGTCGTTAGCGTCCAAACTCACGCTAAAGCCTGTTGATATAGATGTTGAGAGACAGCCCCTCCTTGGAACTCGACAACAAAGTACAGCTTCAGTTGCAGAAAAGCCTAGGAATGCCATACTGAACAGTCTGAATTATCTATTAACATATCAGCCGCGGCCCATCCCATTTATCAATCGGACACTACCATCAAATGGAACGTCCATTTTCGTTCTATCGTACTTGGCCCTCAATGCGTTTTACCACTTATATCAGCTGCCTTTTGAGTCCCGATTTTTCTTTGCTTTTGCTGATCGAGCTGGTACCATGTTTATCGTCAATCTACCACTTCTATACCTCCTCGCGGCGAAGAATCAGCCATTGAAAATTCTCACCGGCCGTTCGTACGAAGCTCTGAACATATATCATCGACGTGTCGGCGAGCTAATGTGCTTCGAAGCATTTGTTCATTTCGCAAGCATGCTGATTTGGCGGCTTCTGGTATCACCTGCATGGCTCAAGACTGGCAGCACGTTTCGTGAATACATCACACATCCCCTCATACTTCTCGGACTCGGGGCATTTGTGTCATACGAATTACTATTTTTCACCTCTCTTGGCAGTTTCCGAGAGAGATGGTATGAATTATTCTTGGCTTCCCACGTCACCTTACAAATTGCGGCACTGGCATTTTTATGGCTTCACTTCTATACGAGCCGGCCGTATGTCTTCGCGTCCCTCGTTATTTTCATGCTCGATCGAATTGTTTGGCGTCTGCTTGTGAAATCTGACAAATTCACTGCGGATCTTACGATACTAGAAGATGACCAAACGCTGCTGCTCTCTGCGGATTGGGATATACCTTCGCAGAGCAACCAGGGGTGCTTGAATCGTATCAAACAAAGCATACGGCATGGCTGGGACCCAGCCGATCATGTTTTCATTACAGTTCCTGCGCTGGGGCGAAGCCACGCCTTGCAAGCTCACCCATTCACCATCGCTTCCGCCGCACCCGTAGAAGGTTCCGCAGACTCGCCAAGTCATGCTTGGCTAAGTCTATTGATTCGGATACAATCGGGCTTCACTTCTAGTCTGCTAGAATATGCACGCTCTAATAAAAGGGCGATGGTCCGCTTAGACGGACCCTACGGGTCTCATGATCCTCTCAATATGTTAAGGTCATGCGACAATGCCATTCTCATCTCAGGCGGTTCTGGAATTGCGGTTGTGTTCCCCCTGGCGTGGGCTCTTGCTACACGCCATCGTGGAAAGAGGCAGGTCCATCTTATCTGGGTGATACATTCTAGAGCCCAACGCGCTTGGCTTCCGGAGGAGAGAATTGCGGATCTAAGGAAGTTCGGAGTATTTGTAACAATTCCCGAGCCGACTAATGAGGCTGGTAGGCCGGACATTGCTGGTTATATTTCCAATTTGACCACTGCCGCGGAGGGCAGGGTAGGGTTTGTGGTTTCGGGACCTGACGGGTTAAACAGGACCGCTAGAAATGCCTGTGCAAGAATGGTTAGGGAGGGGGCTGATATCCAGTTACGAATAGAGAAATTTGGTTGGTAAAGACATGAGAAAGGTCGCGTTTTATGCATATTTATAGATTGGGCTTCGCACGACGGTATGCGACTTTGGCATCCATTTTTATCGGTTGGATTTAGATCAAGTAGAGGAAGGTAGGCGATAAGGTGGTTAGAGTCCTTCCTATTTTAACATGACTCGAGAATGATTATTTAGAGGCCTTTATATACGGCTGTTTTACACCCCCGATTTTGAATACTGAATTTGCAGTATGAAAGCTTTGTTGATGTTGGGATCTTGATAAGCCTTTAAACCCCCTTTAATATCCGTATAAACATACTGGCGTGTGGTTTACAGTAGCCTAACCTAGCCGTGTCTATACAACCAAGGAGGCAGCAAGCATGACTAGCCCGCCAAAGCCATCTAACCCCAAGCACCAATCTTCCCAGCTCTCACTCCTCCTCAATGGAGCGGTCCCAGAATCTATAGGGCGACTGGATGGCCACAGATCGTCGCTTGATAAACGATCCTCTAATCTGATGATCTCGCCGTCAGTGGCCAAGCCAAAGGTTGTCTGGATCCCCGACTCCTTCTGACATTCCATCTTCCACGTTAGCTCGTCGCCGGCTTCCCATAGCTGCCGTTTCGCTGGCAGTGGTGCTATGAGGAGGCCTGTAGGGATCTCACACATGGGCGCGGGCTCGAAATAGATGAGCATGTTCACTACTCGATAGACCACGCCTAGTCTGTGGTTCGATTTAGTATGTACGTCCATTTGCGACCGAACTTGTGCGATGGGGTCTTACCTGCGTCGTGATTCCCTGAAAATCCAGTCTTTCCAACTCATTTCGGGTCCATCGCCGCCCGGTGTATGGAGCGTGAATCGGGCATTATCGCGTTGGGTGAATTGCTGAGAAATCGCCTGCGCTCTATCATTAGAGCTAAAAGTAAAAGGGATAGGTCAGGGGAGGGCCTACAATGAAGGTCTTTAGTAATAGGTAGTCAAAGTTGTTGTAGTCCGTCTCGCCTTCATCCAACCGTATGAGGATGTAGATCGAGAGAGCCTGCATGCCTGCAAGTAGCTCCCACTGGCCTAGATTCGGATGCTAGACGTGAGGTAGGTGGTATCTATCAGCTTCACTTCAATTTACACTAATATATCACAGGTGCTAGGCAACTATGGCATGCTCAACTTACCTCTTGTACCAAACGTTCACACTCCTGCCGAACATTCCTCCAGAACAACTTCCTACTCCCCTGGACCCGGTGGCTGATCATATGCACTAAGCTGATGCAATTCATCAACGGTTCCATTTGGGGATTCTCGAAATCGATTGACACTAAGCACGGATGGATCAGGGGCGGGAGGGTACTATGACGCAGCAGCATCCGGGGATACGATTTCAGAGTATGGAATATGAGATTGGCGATTCGTTGCGCACTGGCCTGCACTCTTGGTCGTTGGATAAATGATCGGATGGTGTAGCTTGGTGCTGCTGGTATTGAGGAATTGGGCAAGGGGAGATCCTGTCGTGTCCTGGCCGTTTGATCAGTTGCAGGTGTCGAGCGGTGTATCAGAGGAGATAGCCCTGATGGGAAATAGGGGTCCATTGTCGGTGTATCCAAAAAGTCGGCAAGACCGAAGCTGGCGGCATCCCATTCAAGAAACTGGCCTTCAAGGCCCACGAAGTCCGGGTTTATTGGTGTAACAAACGCATCTTCGAGTATGATATTGATATTATCATCACCATTATTACTTGGCTCTTCGACATAGCCCAACTTAGAAGAATTGGTGGCCGACGAAGATGTCGTCTTGCTCGACCCAGCAGACGCACCATCACTATGGCGAGTCTCTGAAGCTGTAGGCTTGGGTGTGCTCGGGTAATAGCATTCAATGCCCTTGATCATACACCTGGAGCACTTGGGTCGCTTCTTGTCGCAACCCGCCTTCCCTCTAGCGCATGAAGTACAAGATCGAGGACGAGTAATGCCACCAACTTTTCGAGACCGACAATAATAGCCATGTCTCTTCAATGTAGACTCTAAGTATCACCACGCCGTTAATATTGCTTGCTAGGTGACGTTCTGCCGGAAGCACAGCTACAACTCACCCTTGTCGAAAGGCTTATTGCACTGCCTACATCGTAGAATAGACTGGACGCCGGTTTCGTACATTTTAGTTACAACATAGCGGACGCAGGATGAGAGTACTTTGGTCGGTATGTGTACCTGTCTAAGATAAAAGAAAATGTACTTTGATTTTCAATTTCGGAATCCCGCTGGCTGGATCATGATATCAGGTTTAAGGGATTTGTCAGCATCCTCTATTTGTCATCTCTCAAACTGGCATAGTGACGGGCGGGACAATTTGTAACAACTTCATTCACGTGGCGATCTCTAGTACATGACACAACCCCTAGTTCGAGTCATAGTAACTGGTAAGTCATTACCTGCTTAGGTAGGTACTGGTAACTTAGACAGCATCCTCAAATGGCCACCCCACAAGCCCAATATTCAGCTTCGTTCCCGCTTCAAGCTCCTTGGCTTGCGCTTTGAGTTCATCCACATCCCAGTTACACCACACGAACTTGTTCTTCAGAAAACGGGACTCGGGGCTCGCAAGCCAGACATTGAAGCTTGCCGGCAAGGACACTATAATCAATGTCAGCCAGTCGCACCACCACCACCACCATCATCAACATCGCTGTCACAGCACTTACCATCGTCAACCTCGATATTCTCAAAACTCGCCGCCCCTCCCGTCGCCAAATTCATCTCCGTGAGAATGACGCCCGGGTGCGTATGAAAAATGCTCAAGCTCGGGTTTGAAAACGCCACGGTGTCCCAGAGGCGGTAAACGGCCATCTTCCCGACGCAGTAGGAAGAGAAGTACTCATTGAGACTCAGATGCGTCCCGAACGTGTTCATCGCAACCACAACGCCATCTGGCGCCGCGTGTCGGAGGAACGCCCGCGCAACATAGAAAGACCCCGCGATGTTCGTCTGGATGGCGCCGAGATACGCATCCCCATCCGCCTCCGCTACGGGCTCCTTCGGCCCAATGGTCGCTGCGCTGTGGATCAGCACGTCGATCTTCCCACCGCTGCCCGCGAACTGGGCGAACGCCGCGTCGACCTGCTCCTGCTTCGTGACGTCCGTGGGGATCGCGAGCACCTCCACGCCGGGGTACTTGTCCTCGATGAACGCCTTGTTCGCCAGGAGAGGCTGCGATCGGCGACCCAGGAGCGCGATGCGGGATGCGCTGGCTAAGGCGAAGGACCGCGCTGTTTCGCCGCCGATGCCGGTGGTGCCCCCGCCCGTGATGAGCACGGACTTGCCTTTGGCGGAGAGCGAGGGGAGGGAGGGGAGGGTGGAGGGCTGGGCTGAGGTGTGCCAGCGTTTGGTGGGGGAGGAGAAAGGGGGGGTGGTGGACATGGTGGTTAGGGGAGTGGTGTGTGTTGACCGAGTAGCTGATGTCAGGATACGGTAGGTAGGCATGGTAGAAAGGTGAGGGGGGATAGGTATAGGTCGATGAAGATTCTGTTTTTGAGAGGCCAATGCCAGCCCCTTTATAAGTACCTAGGCATTCTGGGTAAGTTGGATCTTAGCTATTGATAACTAACACAGCTACGGAGCGGTGCATTTTGTGAAGGCAATTCGGGCTGTCTTTGATTAGCAAGCAGCATGCCGGCGTTGCTACAATTTCTCCCGCCCGTACAATTTTGCACCCAGCTAAACCCGAGGTAAGCATCGGTAGGTTTGATCCCTCCTACCAAGGTCTTTTCACTTGCCTTTCAAGATCAATGCCGCCAAAGACAGCCAGTAGGTCCAATTAAGCATAGGGTTTAGGTGCCTGATATGTTATCAATATTCCGATCAAGGGGTCACTGATCGCGACTCTAGTATCGTTGTCCCGAGACTCCCGCTTCAGAGAATAAGGGGTTCGACCCACAAAGACATGCCAAGCGTAACACTAGATGGAACACTCAGGGAACCTAGTCAGTAAATAGCTTGAGTCAATATCACAGTTTGCGCATTTTGTTGAGATCCATGGATCATTAGAATGGGACCAGGACGCTTTTATATCGGTGTATCTACCTACCTACCTACCTACCTGCTAGGCAGTTGAGAGCAAGTAGGCCCTACGCACCACTATACATCGGGCTTTCTACCGTATACTACTAGCATTTTGGTAACGGCGCCTTCGGTTTTCAATTCCTCCTCCAGACGAGTTGGCCAAGTTTCAAGATCCTCCGATGAGATGCATTTGAACCCGCCAGGAATGCCTATGCAGGCAGAGAACTTGTTAGTGTCACCGCGACCAGCCATTCCCATAGTTAGGTGCACTTACGTTTCGCGGCCAAAGGGATGTTTTTGCCTCCGCCTATCATACTCTGGACCGTTATATCAGCTATATCCGGACTCTTCGCCTTGGGACCTACGCCGACAGACAGCACCACTGTTTTAACGTCCACGAAACCAGCGTCTTTTAAAAACGGCTCCAAGTCTGACGCAAAGTCGCTCTTGGTTCCTCTGAGGTCCCAGAGCTCGTTGACCATGGCGCCGAATTGCTTATAAGCTGGCCCGCCATCATCGCCGAATCCGTACTGCGGCTCCATGAGCTCGATCCACCCGCCGGGCTTCACGAGCTCTGTCAGCGCGCCGAGTACTTTGCGTAGCTTCGGCCCCGCTTGGTATATCACCAGTGTTTGGTGCACGAAGTCAAAGCTAGACCTCCACGACTCCGGCCATGGCTCGGTGATGTCTTGAATTTGCAAGGTGATGCCTGGATGCGGTGGGTCGGGGAAGCGGTCTTGGATGTCGGTCCCGATCAAAGTAGCTGAGCCCGGGTCCTGGAGGGAAGCCTGTAATTGTGACAACCAAGCACCTGTTCTCGAGCTATGAGTTAACGCGTCCTAACAAGAAAGGGCGTCAACGTCAAAATTGTACCGTTGCTCGCAGCACTATCGAGGACCCTGAGGTTACTGCGTCCTGTGTCAATCGGGGCGAGACATGATTTGCCATCCATGTAAGCCCTTATAACCGAAACCCCTATCTCCAGACGCTTGTTCTCCGCCTCAGCCGAAACCACATTATAAGCAGCCATTGCGACGCGATTTCTATAATCCTCAGGTTTCGTGAACAGAAAACTCCTTATTGGGCATCCAGCGAAGAAGAAGCATTTAAGCCTCTGCCTAGAGTATGAAGGAGGGGCGGGTGAGTGCGCTGGCTGCGCTGATAGGATTACACGAACATCATATCACGTGATATGCCAGGATGAGTAATCTGCCCAGAAGTTGTGCTGAATCAGAGAAGGAAGGACCCTGTTCCACGTGACCATGCTGGGGATAACTCATCAATGTTTATCCGAACCTTAAAGCTTAAAGTCTCACAAGTCGTGCTTACAAGCACCTGACAAGTTATCCTTTACCTAACATAGTCGGAAACCTATAATTCTGAATTCACCTAAAGAATAGTCTAAATATGTGCTCCTGAAGTGTTTACTTCGACAGATCTAGGGCTCATCAATAGCTACTAATTCATAACGTCAGATCAGTTAGTGGCTTTTGATCGAGAGCACTCCAAAGATGATGCAATTGACCAAGAACAAGAATCATGAAAGATGACAACCTAGTAGGTACCTGACTATAACTTATAGGAATACGAGGTTTGAATGTTTGCGCTTGCGCTTATATCGGTCTGCGATACACCGAGGAATGAAGTTGATTCGATCGCAATTGAACGATGAGAATCCTTCTTATGAAAAAGAATCCGTATTCTCCTATTGGAGGATTGGTCAAGTTCGTCCGTCTAGCGTTACGACGCTGCCTACTAGGCAATGCAGGTAACCCTTCGGCGTGGTAAAGTCGTACCTTGACACCGCACCGCCATATCCTTGTGCTCCATCTCGCTTGTCATCCAAATCGTCCAATTCAGGAAACAAACATACCAAAGTCGTTCAACTAGCATGCTGAATATGGTAGATTGTGATCTCCACGTCCGGCAACATGCGCCGATTTACCAGTCTTACCCCACAATACCCCAACATTGGCGTACATCACCTATAGGATCTATACTATGTAGGGCAATATTCTTTGACTTACTCCTCAAGTTGCTCCCCAAGTTTCTTTGTACGCGTGAGGGGGAGACTGGGTTTGTTCCTGGCACAACATCGCGCAAACTCAATACCCCTACGTGCCTAGCTAGGTACTTAAACGGTACCAATTCCTTTGCGAAGACATTACAATCAAACTTCTTCCCTGACCAGTTTCTAGGTTAGTATTCGGGTTTTGTTCAAAGCTCCCTGTTACCGGCCATGAAGTCGTCACTGCTTCTACTCCCCGCGCTACAAGCTCTCCTTAGCTATGCTTTTAGCACAGGAGGGCGACCCGACGACTTAATATGGGACCTAGCTGAGAAGCGGCAAGCTGGGCAAGATATTGTCACTTGGGATGAGCACTCTCTCTTTGTTAAAGGAGAGAGAGTGCTAATATTCAGTGGGGAGATCCATCCCTTCAGACTTCCCGTGCCGTCTCTGTGGCTGGACATTTTCCAGAAAATCAAGGCTTTGGGATTCAACGCCGCCTCATTTTACGTGGATTGGGCACTTTTGGAAGGCAAGCCTGGAGAGTTCAAAGCAGAAGGGGTCTTTGACTTTAAGCCTTTCTTCGAAGCTGCTCAATCCGCCGGGATTTATCTCATTGCCAGGCCTGGCCCTTATATCAACGCCGAAGTAAGTGGCAATACAATATGAGCTAGTTGTGAATGCGCTTAGCTAAGAACTTACAATTAGGTGAGTGGTGGTGGCTTCCCCGGTTGGCTACAGCGAGTGCGAGGTACCCTTCGAACAAGAGCACCAGACTACCTTAATGCGACGAGCTATTATATGGAAAACATCGGAAAGATTATTGCGGATGCCCAAATCACAAATGGTGGCCCAGTAATCTTGTTTCAACCAGAGAACGAATACACTGTAGCCAACAGTTTCGCGCCATTTCCAGATGGAGACTACATGGAATATGTGATCCAACAAGCGCGAGACGCAGGAATAGTCGTGCCTTTCATTAGCAACGACGCAAGTCCCTATGGCTACAATGCCCCAGGTACTGGCGTGGGAGAGGTTGAGATCTATGGACATGATGGCTACCCCGTGGGCTTTGACTGCGCGCATCCTACGACTTGGCCTAGCAAGGGCCTTCCGACAAATTGGAGAAACTTACATTTGAAGCAGAGCCCGACAACACCATATTCCCTGTAAGTTCTTTGAAGGAGTTTGGTAAGCTTGAAAGATCAGCGCTAATGTTGTATGAAGTCTCGAGTTCCAAGCTGGTAGTTTTGATCCGTGGGGAGGATGGGGTTTCGACCAGGTATGTTTCAAGACGTTTTCGAACGCAACGAATGCGAGAGGGTATGCTCTCTACACTGTTGGTATCCCGACTAACCGAGATATAGTGCAGTGAGTTGGTGAATCATGAATTCGAACGGGTGTTCTACAAGAATAACTATGCAGCGGTAACTACACCCAATCTAAAACTAGCAAATACATCCATCAAGAGTCTAACAATACGGTTCTAGGGTGTAACAATCAACAACCTTTACATGATCTTTGGTGGAACTAATTGGGGAAATTTGGGACATCCGGGAGGTTATACTTCCTACGATTATGGCAGTGTCATCAAAGAGGACCGAACTGTCACGCGAGAGAAATATTCGGAGCTTAAGTTGCAGGTGACTTTCCTGCAATCAAGTCCCGATTATCTCACCGCTGTTCCTGGAAACAGCTCGACCAGCCTCTATAGCGACAACCCTGATATCACTGTTACACCAATGCTATCAAACAGCACTGATCATGCCTCTTTCTTCGTCATTCGTCATACCAACTACACTAGCCTTGCATCAACTAAGTATAGGGTGACACTGCCTACATCTCAAGGAGACCTCACAGTTCCCCAGACAAACCAGTCGCTCAGTTTGAATGGTCGAGACTCAAAGATCATGGTTACGGACTACGACGTCCAAGGTACTCGATTGTTATACTCCACTGCAGATGTGTTTACACATGCGAAAGTCGACAACCAGACCGTGCTCATCTTGTATGCTGGGGCCGGTGAATATAATGAGTTCGCCATTGAAGCGCCGAATGCTGCGGTTAAGAGCCTTCAGGGGGGCTCTTCTTACAGCGTCGTAGGCAACAACTCTTCTAGCTTGACGGTCATTGGTTGGACGGCAAAGCCGGAAGAATCCATACTTCAAGTTACTGAAGGTCTAGTTGTATATCTGCTGGACCGCAATACAGCTTACAACTACTGGCTCACCGATATCGACAACACGGATTCGAAGCTAATCATCAATGGTCCCTATCTCGTACGATCCGCATCGATAAGTAACGACGAATTGCACATCAAGGCTGATTTCAACGCATCCACAAAGGTTGAAATCGTAGGCATCCCAGCAGGAACTACCAAACTCTTCGTCAATGGCGCCGAGACTGAAACGCAAGCATCAACTCTTGGAAAGTTGGCTGATCTGTCAATAAATGCACCTTCATTCAACACCCCTGCCCTATCAGAGCTTGAATGGAAATACATCGACTCACTTCCAGAGCTTCAGGAAGGATATGACGACTCGTCATGGACGGTTGCCGACAAGATAACGACAGATAACACATTCCAACGCCTCATCACTCCTGTTTCTACATATTCATCGGATTACGGTTTCCACACCGGCGTACTAGTCTACCGAGGTCATTTTAACGCCACAGGACGTGAAGCCAACTTCTCAGTATGGACACAAGGTGGAAGTGGGTTTGCTTCGTCGGTTTGGTTAGACGACCACCTACTATCATCATTTACTGGCAACGCGGCAAACTCGAGCGCCAAAGTGAAGTACGACGTCACAGGGGTTACGCTCGAAGCTAGCACGGAGCACGTGCTTACCGTAGTTGTAGAAAACATGGGGCTAGATGAGGACTATAATGTTGCCGATGACACGATGAAAGCGCCACGGGGCATACTAGGTTGGCGGCTTGAGACCTCCCAGTCGACGGATACACCCATTACCTGGAAGCTTACCGGCAATCTTGGTGGCGAGGACTATATTGATCAAATTCGTGGCCCGCTAAACGAGGGTGGGCTATTTATAGAGAGACAGGGTTACCACCTTCCTGGCGCCCCGACAGACTCTTGGGAATCTCACTCCCCGCTTGAGGGCCTCGGTCTTCCAGGCATTGCTTTCTATGCTACCTCCTTTGACCTCGATCTACCATCGGATGAATGGGATATCCCGCTCGCGTTCTCCTTCTCCAATGACACGGCGTCTTCTGGCATCTACCGGGCCCAGCTGTACGTCAACGGGTGGCAGTTTGGCAAGTTAAGCAGCAACATCGGTCCCCAGACGGTGTTCCCTGTACCGGAGGGCATCCTCAACTACCACGGGTCGAACTATGTCGGTATCTCGCTATGGGCGCTCGAAGAAGGTGGCGCGAAGATCCCTGGTCTTGAGCTCGTGCCTGGGGTGCCTGTATGGACGGGCAGGGAAAAGGTTACGCTGGTTGACAGTCCTACCTGGACGCAACGCGAAGGGGCTTACTAAAGAGTAATCTAATAGAATAGTTACAAATACCTAATACTTATCTACCTAGGTACTTAATTAACACTTTCCAACTCTACATACCCGTAGTCAAAACGTAGCTCGGCTAGAAAAGCTTAACATGATGAACGCACAACTAGACCGAGCTTGATGAGGTTAATGAATAGCGGGATAGCCGGGAAACTAGGCTAAGATAGGCCTGGCGCCAGGGGAAGGTAATCGGGACTACCCTCTGAGTTATTGTTCGATCCTGGCGAACATTATTTTAAGTGCCTACTAGGTAACCACCTAAGGTTAGAACCTAGGATTCGCGGGGCGTAGAAGGTTGTCAGATTGAGAACCATTCCTTCCCGCAAAGCATCATATCGAGGTTAAGCTTAGCTTACAAACTCCCCTTTTGACGTTCCCCCAATGAACATTCAAGGTAGTTAAAGTCAGCCCCTGGAGGCTATTTGCATTCTCTTTTCGTGCCACGAGAGTGGATACTTTTTACTCACATTTCCACCTTCAATGTTATTCATAGCTTATTCGTTCTTTTTATAGGTAGGCAGTAAAATGGCGCAACTGTGGCTCCCTACCTACCTAGGCAGGTAGCTTATCAAATTTGGCAATGTCTGCCAATAATTCTTGGGATTTTCGTTCTGAAAATAGTACATCTCCTATGAATAGCATTCCTTCTTGGAAATGATTTTTATACGGAAGTGAATAAGAAGATATTTTAAAGGGAAAACAATTAAAATATCTTGAATGAGTGATCCTTTCATTCACCAAACAACTACTGAAGTAGATAAAGGGGGTTTGTAAATGATTCTTATAGATCTATGCTCTCTGTATCATGTAGTACTATAATCCATGTTAACAGGCTCCTTCAATACTGTCCGTTATTTTACACCTCGTCACGCAAATAGGGGCATATCTTCGCGATGCTGAGCGGGCTATTTATCGTGTATCTAACCTCATGGCTAGGCATTATCATCGTCGTAGAATGCAGAGCAGACCTAGAAACATTCTTCCACGTGGGAGAGCACTATTTTCCAGACCGAGATACCGATTGTGGTTGTGGGAGCTACCAGCATAACTTGACGATGTCTTACATCGAAGCAGCAGATGTTACTTCCGCTCCTTTTCTCTTGCTGACTTCTCCAATTGGCAATTAGGTACTAATCTTTGAGAAGATGATCGATGCGGCTAGCGAGGCTCTTGCATACCTCAAGAATACCCCGAGGCCAACGGGTAGGGGGAGAGAAGCAGAGTTCAAGTGGGACAGGCTGGCAGGTGCATGTTGGAGTGAGCTCCCCTTTATTGTTCCTTTTGGTTTGCTTAACTACCTACTAGGTGGGTAGTAGCCACATCTACATCTACCCCTCGAACCATGCTAACCACCGACGAAAGCATACCTCGGGATTCTCATGGATCGAGACGTAGGAGGGCCAGTGCCTGCACTGCTAAGTCAATTTTACTATGCCCAGTCGGTAAGCTTTCAACGTAAAACATGATCGCGAATATGCATACCTACCCCTAGGAGGTTTAGAGACGGCGTTTAGGGTTATCTGCATCCCTAGTACTCTGCCATCCAATTTCTTCTCCAATGCTAAGCCCCTTAATTAAGAATTTAACCCTTTCGTCCCATTTCCAACATCACACAAGCTTACTAATCATGTTGTCCTTCTCCCCCCCCTTTTTTTAGATTGTTGACCAAATGAAATTTGGCATGGATAACGACGAAACCGAGGATTATAGAGACAACGCGCTGTACTGCGATGCTGATGGCTTTAAATATTACGGGCCTAACGATAAGGATCCGTCTAAGCCCGGCGAACCTATTCGATTTGTTAGAGACGAGAAGGATGAAAGGGGGAATGTTAAGTGGTCTCAGGGGTATGTATACCTACCTAGGTAGTCTATATTTGGCTGGTGTGTTACAAGGGGTATCTGTCTCATCGATATCAAATACTAACCAGAGAGCACATGCAGGTTTTACTTTTTCAACTTCATAAAAATGTGGATCGAGGGGGTCCAGACACCGACGAACAATGCCATATGTAAGGGGCGCGATTTGGCAGTTACGGTTCCTGATATTGATGCCATGATATGGTGCAAAAGGGCTTTGAAAACGTTGAATGTGGTCATCCCAACGAAAGTCGACGAAGGCTTCCAGCTGGCTGATGATGCGTTCGAGACGATGTCCAAGTACTGGGTACACGAACTGTAAGTGGCCCAGGCACTTGGTAAAGCTTGGAATACCAGCACTGACTAGTCGGGTTAACTTAATAGGGCCCATTACTATGGGCAGGTGGATGATGGGCCCTTGGTAGATGGTATAAGCACCTAACCTTACGTTTGGTGGTACCCCTTATAATCTTGGACATTCACTAATTAGTATCATAGTCCCAGCCGTAGACGAAGACGGTAAGCCCGAGTACGACGCGGACGGTAAGCGGGGGAAAGTATACCGGCTAGCCCGCCTCGTTAACTTGGTGGCGAATATGCCCGAGTTGGCTGCTAACACGGCCGAGGCATATGCCTACTTTGCTATGGCAGTGTATGTAGAAGCTCTATAATTACCCAACATACCTAGGTGTCTAACCTAGTAGATTTTCAAATGGGCAAGTGCTGACATGGTTGAACTATAGGTATCAAAGTGGCTGGAACTGGTCGGCTGGCTATGCAAGCAGGCAAACGAATACCGAGTTAGGCATTGATTAAGCCCAAATGGTACGACCTAGTTGACTGGGTGGTACCTATATTGAGAATATGGGCAAAGGAATGAGTTGGATTTGCACCAGGATGGCAATCTACTATCTACTATATACCTGTACATAGGTAGTGCTCACAAGAGCAGTTAAACTGTAATCGTAGTATCTATTATGTGAGCATGTGTGGAACGTCTTGAAGCTCATGGGCAGTTACTGATCACCATACCTAGATGATTATCAGCAGATTTGGGTCATTCGAACCCACAAAGAAAATGAACATCCAGAGTCTTCATGGCTAGTTAATTACATTTGCCAATAAAGAGCCATGCTTAATAGACACCTATATAGTTATTCCTCCTTATTATTGAACGGTTGGATCGATATTACATGAGGTGAAGGTAGGTACTCAAGGTTTCATGTCCAGTGAGGGGTTGTTCATGCGTTCACCATGGGTGGGAAAGCCTCCATCGTGTTCTTATTATTACCTCCAATTGCTTTGCACAAGCCAGTCGTTCAAACGTGTTTTCCCTTTAAACATAACTTCCATCAAACCTCATCACATATATTAGTCCATTTTTACCTCCATGCAGTAATCAAACACCAGTTTGCACTGCAAAAGCTCATTGACCTTGTCCACTGAGACGATGTCCGCAATGGCAGGGTAATCAAGGTTATTCCCTTGAAGGCGATCCGCCATCAGACGCCCAACGAGGTCCGTCTCACCGTTCACGAACAGCCAGTGCATGATTCGGTACTTGACATCAATGCGGAGCTCGCTAAAATTCGCGGCAGTCTTGAGCACCAACTCGCGCTGCTGTGGATTCTTGGGGTCGATTGAGCGAGAGACCCAGTCTTGGTTCAGACGCTTCTTGTGCTGCGAGGCGTCACGGGTTAGGGAAACGTTGGCATGGTGGTGGACTGAGGGGGGGGGGGGGTTGGACGTACGTGCTGGACACGAGATCGTGTCATCATCCCCACCGGCATGGCGGTGGGTGGAAAGGTGGTTTGGCTAACCAGATCTTCAAGAATTGCCTCTGCTGCCGCTTTGGTGAGAGCGGGGGGAGGGATGCCATTGAGCGTTCCTGGCTTCGGCATGGCTGACATGACTGGAGGTGTGCCGTTTGTAGACGAGGACACTGGTGGAACACCCTGGGAAGAGGCAGTGCCTATAGAAGTTCAGTTTGTGAGGAGGGACTGTATCATCTGCATGTGTGGCATACCTGTGACTATCTTTAACACAGGCTCAGACTTGCTTCTGGGTCTCTTGCCCAGTAGGGTCGATGGCTTAGAACTCTCCATAGATTCGAGCTTAGGTGACAGAGTCAGTTCATCTTGTTCAAGTGTTGGTTGGTGATGCTAGTGAGAAGACAAGACGAAATAGCAAAGGAAAGAAGAAGAGGGAATAGATACATACCAGGTGCTGTGAAGAACTAGTGATATGTGAGTCTTGAAAGATCAGGGCTGTGTGTTCCTTCTTGACAAACAGAAGAAATACACAAGTTGATGTTGCAAGGTGAAGATTAGAAGTGAAGGTAGGAAGATGGGAGAAGGGAAGAATTAAATATTTTTCCTTTATGGCCCATGCCATTGGGGACATGCTTTTGATGTCAGCATTCTCCTTCCTCAGGCACCTTTCTAACCTTAGGTAGTTATATTTCGATCTGAGCCACTCGATCCGAGACCCCATCTATCTCCGTATATTTGAGGTGGTGCTAGCAACAAGAATGGATAGCTGTCCATATAAGGTTGTCTAGGTCGATACCTTCAAAGCCAGACAGTACCTAAGGGGCCTGTGTATGGCCATACTTGTATATGTACCTACGAAGTCTTTCGAGCCGAATCAAGCCTTGGGGCTCTTCCAATATGGGGAGAACTTATTTTGTGGTCCAAATGCCTGGGTACTCATGGTTCATATGGAGGTTTGACTATGGTTTCCTTTCAAGCCAGTAATGGGAAGTATCTACTTGTAACGGGGGTGTCGGGATGGCCTTGGTCTACAGGTAACAGCATGATCAGTCGTTCACTCAAGTAAGCTGTGCTTAATAGGAGTGGCGAAGTTTAATTTGGTATATTTTAAAGGGGTTAAGAATGTTCAGCAACTAATGGGTGAGTTATACCAACTATTATAAGCTCAACACAAAACCCCCAAATTCTTCACGAACAAGTAAATCTAGATTAGTGCTTAGAGATTAATTCTAAAAGATAAAGCTCCCTTCTTCAAAGAGGCTTTCGGTGGGTGTTAGTTGGAAGGTACCAGGAAGATCAGTTGACTTAATCAAAGCTATTAGGGTGCTCCCGCGGAGCTTATGAGGCTCCCTTCTAGGGTGGATATAAGCTTAGATTCATAACTAGAGATCTCTCTGTCTGAAGGAGTCAGATATTCTAATACTTAAACATCTTATTACACTGTATGGGCGGCGATGGCTGAACTATAGCCATTGTAGCCAAGACGACGTCTGCTCACGATGAGAAGGGTGAGCCAGGAGGGGGTCACGTGATATCCAGTATCTAAGCGTCAGTTGGAACAGCTGTTCAAGTTCTCCCAGGATGATATGGAGGCCTTAATGGTCATCACTAAGGAGATAGATACGTTTTACTACCAAGTTAGCTTCTTGTTATGATTTATTCGAGCTTGAAGGTTTGTACGATGTTGATGGCTTAGACTATCTGGTAGCCATGTATACTTTATCAGATAGTTAGAATTATGCTTCATTATAAGGGAGTATAATATGTTGAGAGAACCTAGAGTAGGAGTATTCAACGATATATTGAGTGTTGTTTTGGACCTAGTTGCACATTACATAGGTAAGCACCAATATAATAGGGAGAAGTTAATAGAGACTCAATGTTGGCGCAGCCATGTGAATAGGTACCTAGGTACATAGGGTAGCTTATGTAAGGGTTGCGCCGACCAAGTTGGTACATAGTATCATGTGACCTTCATTTGGCTACTAGGTACCGTAGTACTAAAGTTTGTACCGAGTACACTCAAAATACACTAAAAAACTTGAACATGTATCTTGTACATGTACAAAGCTACATACCACGAGGCACTGAGCGATGTCGGTCCGAGAAATACTTATCAGATCCGTGTCGAGCCCCACAATGCTGTCTTGGGACGCGCCATTAAATTGTTACTAGTCTCGAACTTTTTATCTGATCCGTCGCTAGCCATTTGTACCACGTTCCCCGTCCCCTCCGTTGCCCATTCCACGTTCCTGACAGTCAACTGGCCGCTGCGTGGACACGTTCCTCCAATACACCCGCTCAAACTTATCAGATCCGCTTTCTACAGAACTTGGTAAGAGCCGATACTACCACTAGCCAATCCTCTAAGTTCCCAGTTTCTTGGTTAGACGATGTTCGCTTGCCTATGTAGCCCTAGGCTTAACCATTAGCCTATATATTCCAGGGTAGGTATGTAGCTGTCAGGCTGTCAGGCTATCCGTCCATTAAGAGTCAAGACACGCTGGTATGTATTGAACGGCGCGGTCTTCTTGCATTAGCGCACGAGAAAAGTTTTTTTTCCTCTTTTCTCTTTTCTTTACTTCAACGTTACTACCTACTACTAATGTAATAGTAAGTAGGCAGGCAAGCAGGTAGGTGGAACGTGGAAAGTAGCTAAGCAGCCAAGGAAATTATAGCATGAACTCGCGAAGCAATGCTATACTTCAAGGTACTTACTACGTACGTACTTTCATTATCAGATGGGTTTAAGCTTGCCGTTGAAGTACCTAGGTCCTGGGCATGTATGTAGGTAGGTACTGGGTATGGGACCCAATGTCGCAACAAGACCCCTTCTAGACTAAAGCTGAGGACTAGTGTAGCTAAGATGCCGGGATGTGTCGATGGTGGAATACTCTGATGGCATGTTTTCTGTAGCCGACCTGTTTACTTGTTTCTTTGCCGAGGGAAATATTTCGTGCTTTTCCTAAAGAATAATAAATTTTTATTTTTTTCAGTAACCAGCTACTGCCTTCAGCAAACAACTTCGCGACTCTTGGAGAAAGTAGCAGAAAGTCTTCCTGTCACAAACACTCCTTCAATTACGAATTCCGTCTCCCAATTATCCTATACCACAATCCCACAATGGCAGCTCCAACTTCGAATGAGCCGGTGCTCAAGCTCCCACACCCGTACCTCACCTCCTACGTCCTGGTCAACACCTCGCGCCCTTCAGATTCCACCCCTTGGCTACAAGTGAAAGCCCAAGAAGAGGATGCTACCAAGTCTGATACGAAGAAGACAAAGCCCTTACCTGAGCCTCTCGACAGCAACACCATCTTCTTCACAGAGCCCACGGAGCTAAAGTCAGGCGAGCGCCCGCCCGAGTCAAACAACACACCATGGGGACGCGCTCGTCGCTCCCCTGCCTCGACCCTCGCATGGGATGACGCAACGCCGCCTACCCTCGCACAAGCCTGGCTCATCATCTACGTCCTCTTCACAATCCGCCCGTCAATGGAAGGGCTGCGCCTCACGGTCTCCGGGCCCGGCAGGGATGTGCTCGTAGCGCAGCTCAAAGACGTGCTACTAGCCGTCGACCACCCAACATCCGGGGGCCTCAGCGACGAGCTCCTCGTGCTACGCAGCACGTTCTGGCAGGGGGCGGGGTCGCCCTTCGGGCCGCGCAGCGTCTGGCTCCCGGATACCGACTCCTCCTCGGTCCTCGCGAAGCCACTGTCGAGCTACCCGCTGACACCCCTCGACTACACGATGACGTCGGAGGCCGGGGGCGCGCCGGCGTGGCACCCGCGACGGCCCGCGAAGCCGCGTCCCGGGTCCGTCGTCTACAGCCGGTGGATCCCGCACCTGCGCGAGAACTTCAGCATGGTCGCGCTCGACTGGCAGGACCCGGCGCACCTGGAGCTGTTCCACAACTGGCAGAACGACCCGCGCGTGTCGCAGGGGTGGAACGAGACGGGCACGCTCGAGCAGCACCGCGAGTACCTCCGCCGCGCCCACGTCGACCCCCACCAGATCACGCTGCTGGCTGCGTTCGACGATACGTTTTTCGCGTACTTTGAGGTGTATTGGGGCAAGGTACGTACTGCATTTGACAATGGCTTTCACGTCTCGCCGTGAAGCAAAGGAAGAAAAAAAAAAGGAAAAGAAAAGAACTAACGTACTATGCTCGATTTACAGGAAGACCGCCTCGGCGCATACTACAGCGCCGGCGACTACGACCGGGGCCGGCACTCCCTCGTCGGCGACGTGCGGTTCCGCGGCCCCCACCGGGTGACGGCGTGGTGGTCGAGCCTGATGCACTACCTGTTCCTCGACGACCCGCGCACGACGCACGCCGTCGGCGAGCCCAAGTACACCAACAGCTCGGTGCTGGCGTACGACTTCATGCACGGCTTCGGGCTCGACAAGTTCGTCGACCTCCCCCACAAGCGCTCCGCCTTCGTCCGCTGCTCGCGCGAGCGCTTCTTCCAGCTCGCGCCGCTGGCTGAGAGCGAGAAGGTGGTTGGAGGTACGTTGGTGGGGTTGATGCCGAAGTTGTAAGATGGGTGGGGAGGTAGGCAAAATGATGATGAGAGAATGAGAGAATGAGAGGAATGAGAGGAGAGGAGGGTCGGTGTAGGAATCGAATCGAATCGGATCGGATCACGTGCGTGCTCGAGTTGTACAATACACAATTGAACTTGCGGGAGAAAAAGTTGGCGGCCGTTTTGTTTTCTTTAATTCTTTTTTTTTTCTTTTTTCAATCGGTCTCTAAATTTGCAGGAATTGATACATATATACGAGGACCTATATACCTAGATGATAACTGGAAATGAATATACAGTAATTGTGCTGTACCTAAGTACAATCTTATTTACGCTCGACGAACTTCTTTTGATGAAAATTGATCATTATGTACATAGAGCCATATCATGGACCTATCAGTATCTAGCATGGCATGTAACGCTACGCAGACACGCTCCAAGTTTATCTACCGTGGGTCTTTCCCTCTGCGCCGATACACCTAATATCCAAAGCCAAGCACATATCATAGTTTCTTCTTTCTTCTTTATGGGTTTTTTTATTTACATCCCAAGACGGAGATGATCCCAGACAACTGTTGGTACAGGTTAGCAATCATTGCAACACGATGAAGGGGGTTTTGGGAAATTACTCACTTCTGAAACCGAGATCCGCCTCGAAGAACCACTCCATTACCTGGGTACCGTACTTCATGCCGTCCCCACCGTACGAAAGCGCGTTCTTGCCGACCGCGAGCCCGATCATCGGCGGTGTCTCGGCGAGCTTGTTCAAGACGGGCTCTTTGCCTTGGATCTCCTGCAGGATGATCTGGTGGATGTTCAGGCCGGCGAACTTGCCCTGGTGCATGGCGGAGCCGCAGCGCTTGATGCCGGACCAGTGGATCAGGTCGCCGACGGCAAAGTGAGACAACGCGTTCGGGATTTTGTCCGAGGACAACTGCAGCGTCGGCAAGACGTTGACGTAGCCCTCCTCTGTGAGTGTCTCGGCGGGCATGTAGGTGGTCGAGGGCACGCTGCGGGAGACGGCCATGATGACCTGGCTGGCGGTCATCTTGTGGCCGTTTTCGAACTCGACATCGTAGACTACGGTGCCGTCCTGCGCGTTGGTCACGGGCGTGCTGCTCTTCAGTCTATGGTTCAGCAGCACGTTCACTTTGGCCTCTTCTGTCAACTCAAGGGCGCAGTCCTTGACATTATCGGGGAGTGGCTCCGCAGATAGGAGCTTACTGCGAGAGTGGGCCAACGTGACTTGGACATTTGGTTGCGTCTCTTTCAGCTCGGCTGCCATCTCGATACCCACAGCACCTGATCAGGCGTTAGTTAGGTGGGGTAACTTATCGAGCTAAGATCGAATATGGATAATGAAACTTACCTCCACCAACCACTAACACCGGCGCAGTGCTATTAGTCACGGCATCGATGTGTCGACCCGCCTCCTCAAGATACTCATCCCGGCTCTGCGACTGCGGTACCACGGGCCAGACTCGCCGGAGACCAGTAGCAGCAATGAAGAAATCATACAGCTCGGCGCGTTCTGTTTTGTTAGGCTTTTCGAGGATCGTCGCCGTCTTGCTCTCGGGGTCGATCTTGCTGACGCTGCCGTGCACAAACCGGACATCCGGTCTCTGAAGTACCGGGATATCCTTATACTTGACCCAGGCCTTCTCGGCGTAGCTTTTTGAAGACAGCGCGAGAGGCGAGCCGATTACGTGGTCTAAAAAGCGAAATGTTAGATGGATGATGGAGGTTGCAGTTGAGAGTGGGGGTTGCGACATTCTATGCAGCTACGAGACAAGAAGAGGGGGGGTCACATACAGAATCCATCCCGCTCGTCGACGATGGTGATGTCAAGGGGAATAGGGTCATCAAATGTGTCGCAACTTTGGAATAAGTTGATAGCTGCCGCTAAGCCGGCATAACAGCCACCGGCGATGAGAACCCGGTAGGGGTTGTGTACGGACCGCAAGGCGCAGACGTCGGAGAAGGGAGCAGACATGGCGAATCTTGGTGTCGATGATTTTTTTACTGTCGAAAAGAAGCAGCCCGAAGTAGGAAGATTGGGTATATGGTGTAGGTTGAGAGAGGGGTAGAAGTTGACAATGTGACGAGCACTCGGCTTGTAGAAGACGTTGACGAGGGTTGGGCGCAAAAACATCAACTAATGTTCTTTCTGGGCTAACCGGGTTAAATAAACAGAGTGGGCGAGTGAGTAAGAGGAAAAGAGATGGAGGAGGAAAGGGGGAAAGGAAAGGAAAGGGATTGCGAGTTAATTTAGTCAAACGTTATGCTACCTAGGTACCTAGCTTCTCGGGACACGGAAGACACTCTTGGAAAATAGTCTGATTAATACTTATGAAGAGGTGTTGAATTTGTCGGTGACGAGGTTGAGAGATTACGAAGCTAGGAAAGTAGGTACTATCATAGTAGTATAGTAATCCTTGGGCTTGGTTGACCCCAGTGGTTGTTATACGTACTGCCGACCTCGTAGTACCTACCTATTTCTGCCGTGCCGTATATGATTGAATATGCCATAATAGTTTCGGTTTCACTAGTACCTAGTACTTCCAGGGCTGTTTTCGATGCTGTTTGAATATGAAGATGAATAATGCCTACCTACCTAGGTAGGTAAGTACCTGCCCAACCGAGCATCTAGTAGCAAGCCAAGATCCACACATACATAAGTAGTCCTCAATGCTCTGCTTCATACAGGTACCTAGTACTGGAGTAAAGGACTTGGCCAAATACATACATCGAGTATATGTACTTAAAGTCAACTCTCCTCTGATTTCTAGCTGATGTCCTGCTGTGGTTGATGGATATTTGGATAGATGGATAAATGTTTCATAATTTATTTTCTGAAGATCTGATAAAAATCTAACGGTTAGAAGAAAAGGAAAGAGTGCGATGATCACGTCAACCCCAACCAAAAAGAATTACACGATGATACCTAGTATAGTGGGGTGGCGGGGAACAAAGTTATCAGATCCGCATTTGCAGGGGTAGGTGAAGAACACTGGCTTGGGGCAAGCGACACCGGACTTGGCATTGTCCAATCATAGGTCCAGAGGCTGAAATATCCCTGCGGTGCGAGACCTAGGTACTCACGTGTGCATGGTTATGGTCGGTACAACATTGAAACACAAATTCCATTGAATTCATAAACGTAGATGGCCCTGGTACTCGGTACATAGTAGCTTCAATGTTATGTCCGCGGATTAATTATAACTGATGTGACTCAAGAGAGTTGTCACGTGGATAGTGATCCACGTGATACCCTTTTCTCATCATTCAAACCAATTTAACTAGGTATCGTTTGCGTTCACTTCTGCAATGTTTCTCTATATAATTCAATATCAACTACATTATGTTTCACATGGGCAGAATTTTGCTCAATAACATGTAGTTACTATATACTAAGTACTACTGATAGTACTTTCGATAATTTATATGTATCGTACCTGTGGATATTTGTACTTGTCCAAGGGATTCCGCTGCAACAATATCTCTTGGACTACTGATTACCTAAGTACAATCTTGAATCGAGTGATGAATATGGTATGTAATAATTGATGGCTTTAAGTACTTGGAAGTGATTCATTTTCTGGTAAAACAACGAATGAATCACAGCTACTTCTCTAGGCAAGTAGCTACCGATTGAACATTGTCATTCGTGCCTTGTCTGAGTTGATGTGCAACTCCACCACCATGGATCTATCATGTCATACTATGATTGAGATGAAAGTTGTATTAGTTAAGAAAGAACCGAGATATAGGAATGCAAACATACTGGACTGACTGTCCACGTGACTATCTGATAGATCACATGACTTTGCCTAACACATCCCTTTCCACGATAATCCTCTCGTTCAGCATCCCTTCTGAGAATAATAACGTCTTTGCATTCGACTATAAGATTTTTTGAAACGTCAGATCTGGGTACATATGTTCCCAGATTAGAGTAGTCTTGACTGTAGCTCACCGTCGCTCACAAAGTGCAACCCGCCCTGGCACCGATACCCGCCTAACACTCGAGTCCACTCGTAACCGTATTCACATCGACCCATCTCTCTCAGCTCTCGCTTGATTCTTTTTTTCTCTTGGATGGACTGCTTGAGATTATACAGTTGGTCGCGAATGGTATCATAGTTTTCTCTTGACGTGGGACTGAAGAAATTTGAATTTTCCCTCAGATTTATCTCCGCAGGATCAAAGTCTCGCTTGAAGCTCATGATGTCTGCCTCGAGCTTTTCACTTTCCTCTCTTTCTTTCTTCTTCGCCTCACGCAGTTCCTCTTTAATGGCATCGGATACGACCTCTTCCACTTCGTATATAGCGGGATGTTTAGCGTTCTGGTTATGTTCGTCAATCTTCCTTCCCGGGCTCGCTGTCTCCATATGGACTCTGTAATCTTCAGGCTTCCAGGAGACCTTCTGAGTCGTAACACCCCTATCATTACTGTTGAGTTTTATGCGCTTGCTTGCAGAATTTCCTGTTTCAGCTTGAGGCTGTATTGGAGTGGTGGCGATGGTTGCTCCTTATCTGCCACAGCCTTACTCCAGAGCTTGCGCCAAGAAGGCGCTGTGTGTGATGCTGATGACAATGCCAAGTTATCTAGCGAATCCGTGCTTGGTCCTTTCTTACTGGAGCATCGGTTCTTCTGCAATGTGACCATTTGTCTTATGTAAGTCTTGATATGCGCTGTGAACAGGGCTCGCGTCTGTCTATCGATGTTGCTTTCTTCTTCGAGGAGCGTTCCTATCATCTGTCTTGTTAAATGCTTGATATCTCGAGCGTTACTCCAACTCGGGGCCAACTGCATATCGCTGAATAGTTTCTCGGCTTCCGCATAGTCTGGTCACCGCAAGTTGTTCAAGAAATTACCCTTGCTAGAAAATCCGAACCGCTTTAACTCTTCGGCCAGCAGCGCAACGCAATCTCTAGCCGAGATATTTTCAAAAATAATCTCTTCTTGGAAGATCTTTGATAATCCTGGATGGCTCATTAACTCCCGTATACCTGCCATATGTCCTGCGAGGATATTAACGACTGTATTGCTTTAGTGCAGTGGCTGTGAGAGAAACTGTATCATTTCATTCACCGCCTCTATTTCGTATTGGCCTTTAGCAAGTCGGTAGGCCTCGTCAACAAATCATACTCAACCCACACCTTCCAGGAGCTTGTTCCGTGTCTTGGGAGATGTCCCGCCGACATATTCGCCCAAGGGACCAGTTACCGAGCATTCGACAACCTCCGATGTGGAGAGAAATTCTATGCCGTAAAAGAATTCACCCATCTTTTGCGCTGTTGTGGTTTTCCCGGTGCCTATTCAAGTATCGATTTTGATAACGAAAAAATCTCTCAATGATACGAATGTGTACCGAACCTTCCAATAGCTTCCAACAGTCAAGCCGCAAACATCGGCCCAAATCTAGGTTCAAGTCGATTGCTTCAAAGGTCATTTCGTAGTCGCGCTTATCCCTCGGAGTCTTGGATATCCTCCTAGTTAGTATAGTTCAACTTGGCCCTCTGTAAGAGGCTGTCGACCTCACCTGCGTTGGTATGGTTTGGTCGCTCTAGTGCCCCCCGAAGAACATTACTAGCAACTTCGATGGCTTGCTCCGTACACGTGAAGTCCTGGTCTTGCATCTTCAATTGCAGAATCTGCTCCAACTGGTCAATGTTGAAGTTTTCAAACCGGAAGGGCTGGTCAATAGGGAACCAGCGCGAAAGGCCTTGGTTAGCGTTACGAAACATGTCTCCTTTATTAGTATCCCCCGGATCGAGCATATACGCTTCGTCGATTACTAAAACATTCACGACCGAAGCCTCCAAGATCGCCTTCGTTTTTACCTCGGATTTCCCAAGATAGTCACCAATGAAATCTGCTGGGTTCTTTATAACCACCATATGTCATAGATCAGTTGAGGACGTGGTTCGGGAATAGAAATGGGGTAGTTTGCTGAAAGGTCCTATCATTGCCACAACTGAGATATCCTAAGTCAGTTAGGATATGGCCATAAAGTTTTGCAACAGTTGTCTTTTCAGTACCCGAGGATCCAGGAAAGAGTTGATTCAAAGAGAACATAATCGGCCTTTTCTCATGAATCTCTAGATCATAATTGATATAGAGTGTCGATATCATGCTTTTTACGCATCCCTTAACCTGATCCAGCCCGACAAGCCTTTGCAGTCTTACCCAAGCCTGGCTCTCTTTAACAGCCATGGAGGGGTCAGGCCCATTTAGGTCTTCTTTCGTGAAAAAGTATAGATCAGGTGTGGCGCCTTTTCGTTTCTCCTTCACTAGGCGTCTTGCCTGCATGCTGTGAGATCTTATTAAGCAGATTGAGGACTGCACGTGCGTTGCCAAATGCTCTACTCCCGCGTCTCTGAGCTAATCGGCGAATAGCTATACGCATATATGAGCCGCCTATACCACCTTCGACCTGCATTTTACCGTGGTATTTCTCAGAGATACGGTTGCGGAGTAAGTTCCATAGTTCACCGTCCGTTAAGTTGTCGAAATGTATAGTGTAGGGGATTCGACTGCTCAAGCCAGGATTGTGCTCCAAGAAGGATCTCATCTCATCTTCATAGCCGACGAAGATGACAGCAATTTTTCCAATGTTGTTTTCGATGATAGTGAGAATGAGGTCTAATGCTGCCTTCCCTGAATCACCTAGGTATGAAACAATACTCAAGGAACCTTTTTTACTCATGATGTCGTTGTCTGGTGTTAATCAGACATTCGGCTTAACGGATTCCATTTTCAAGTTCTTCAACATGATGATGGACACAGATATATTGAATGAAGAGATCTTCGGGAGAATTCTCAAAACTCGACCAAAGGAGATCAGTGGGAAAGGATACAGCTACTTTATTACAGAAAAGGGCATACCTACTGGGAATAGCGACAACTAGAGTCGAAAAAGGGGACTATCTCTGCTCAATGGCTAACTTGCCGGTATATCTCGTTCTGCGAGAAGTTCACGATTCAGATTGTCTAGGTACATTCATTTTTGGCTACTACTTGAAAGGGTGTCACGTGAGTACCCTAAGCGAACATGGCCCCTGTAAACAAGACAGTTACTGTGTGGCATCAATATCAGTGTGTTTTTGAAATTGAATCATGGTTTATTCTGCATATGAAAAGATATCTAATAGTTCTAGGACATGACGATCCTACGCTACATAAAACAGTTGCTTGTCTATTCCCGCTTCCTGTGATATCTCCATCTTAATCACAAAAGCTTTGCTACGTTACCCTTCACCAACAAAGTCTGCTCATTGACCCCGCTCTAAGCATTTGCCTTGATGTACTCCTCGCTGAAGGGGTAATCCAAGTAGCCCTCCTTGGTACCGACCGTGTAAAAGGTATCGCGGTTGTACTTCTGCAGCGGCAGGCCCTTCTGGATGACGAAGGGGAGGTCCGGCGTCGAGATGAAGTAGCGGCCAAACACCACCGCGACATCCTTATCCTTGAACCTCTCATCCACGAGACTCTTAGCGCTCTCGGCCTTGAACCCACCGGCCACGAAAACAGGGGAGACGTTGTCCCAGGCGTCGACCGCAAAGGTGATCTTCTCGGTCGACTCGACGTCCGCGCTCTCGTCGATGTACGCCTTGATCACGTGCAGGTAGGCCAGCTTGAGCTTCTTCAGCTCCTGGATCACGTACGTGAACTGCGGGACCGGGTCGTCCATGAGCATGCCCTGGAAGTCCGAGCGGGGAGACAGACGGATTGCAACCTTGTCGGCCCCGATGGCCGCCACGACGGCACTGGTTGCTTCTAGAGCAAAGCGGGCGCGGTTTTCGATGGACCCGCCATACTGATCCTGCCGCTTGTTGGATACGTCTTGGATGAACTGGTCGATCAGGTAGCCATTAGCGCCGTGGAGCTCGACGCCGTCGAAGCCGGCCTCGATCGCGTTGCGTGCGCCCTGCGCATAGTCGGCGATGATGTCTTGGATTTCCTCGACCGTCAGTTCCCTCGGCACCACTTTGTCCTCCTCGTATGGGATTGCGCTAGCGCCTCGCAGCTCGTATCCGTCGGCCTTCACAACCTCCGGGTGTGCGACACGGCCTAACGCCCAGAGCTGCAAGTATATATATGATCCCTTGGCGTGGACAGTATCCGTGACTTCCTTCCACGCTGTTATTTGCTCCTTGGACCATATGCCCGGGACGTTGGAATACCCGCCCGCTCGCTTCGATATGAGGGTGGCTTCGGAGATGAGAAGCGTGCCAGGTACCGAGGCCCGTTGTCCGTAGTATTCCTTCACAAAAGGGAGAACTACGTGGTTATCATCCGATCGGAATCGAGTCAGAGGTGCCATTACAACGCGGTGACCAAGTGTCGCATTGCCGACTTTTAGTGGTTGAAAGAGACGAGATGTCTGAGCCATGATGTTGATGTAGGTAGGTAAATAGGGGGTATACTAGATATAGAGGTATAGAGGTATATTGCGAGCGAATGTTGAAATAAAGTACCCGAATTCAAGAGAGGAGGAAGCTAGTTTTATAGATCTTTCCATCCTAGATTCCCTCCCCACCTACAAATACCCCTAGTCGGCCGGCTCTTCCTAGTCGCATCTAAGTAGCAGACCTTCGACGGGAGTTAAGTTTCATTGCCCAATCAGTAGCCTACCCTTGAGCTTGGAGGGTGTGGAGTACCACCAAGCACCCAGTAGTACTCCTGACACAAATGATTTATAAGCACCGTATGATCAACATCTTTATTAGCAATGTGCTCATTCGTAGAGTGTTATGCGATTACAAACTAAATTTTGCAGCTGTCAAGTGCTACACACAGTTGCACATCAGGAGTACGGTGTCTATACTGTGATCCATTCTAATGGTCTCCACCGGTTTCAAGTCTTGGTTAATTGGAATGTGCTGGCTCAGGGTGCCCACGTGACTCCCTTTCACTTAACATTCATTACCTCTTAACTTTTAGCATCAATTAATTAAGTACAGCCAATAATAAAGCTTGACATGAAATTCATACCTACCAAATGCCAAAATCACTGACCTAAGTACGTACAGTGCGTAATTGAAAAGAAAAAAACGATAAGTACCTAGTACCTAAATAACGCTTTATAAATCAATGCAGTGGGAGTTGTAGAAGTTGGCACCATAGTTCAATGAATTGGCGAATGTTGGTTCCCGACTCGCATTTTCCATAAACCCCGACGCCTTTGAAAACCACATCTAAAGCCCGAAAATTATGTAAGTTGATTAGTAAAGCTTTACTATTCTACCCTAGGTAATAACGCCGCCGACACCTTCAGGCCTAAAGCCCAAAAAATTTATGGGCTCAATTTTAGCACGGACCAATTTACTATCGGTGCAATCGTTAAGATGAGGATAATACAGGAAAACATTGAGCTGAAGTGGTGGACTTCGGCGTTAGACAACAAGGTCGCTACAGGAGATATAGATCCTCTTCAAGATCCTGATTACATCCAACCTATGTAGGCCACCATGATCAGATCCAAAGATCCAAACCTAAAGGAACGTAACTCTATATTGTAAAGGAGTGTGCTGTTGCCAAGTCTAGTCTGCGATTTGGGTACATATATGTATCTTCTCGCGATTGAAGTCACGTGACTACATAGCAATCCACTCCCCATCAACTCACCATACGATGACATGGAGAATTATTAGTGTCGACTACATTCAAGAATTTAGAGACAAAAGTTACATATCAGTTCTTCCCGCACCAAATCACGTGGTTGGCAAAGCATGTGGTGAGTCACATGATACCGGCTCTGACAAAGACGCCCCGGGCGCTAGGCCAACTCCAGTTTAGCCTCCGGTGTATCCGTTATCTCAAACCTCTCTCGTCGCCTGGTCCAGACCAGCTGAGCAAGAAATCCATGAAGTTCATCAAGAATAACTATTCCTTGAATGATTTCAAACAGGTATATTTCAAGCTTTGGCATGCTTATGTAAGCACGTTGGTGATTGGTCCCTCTTTTAACCAGCTCGATCCTAATGCAGCCAAGGAATCCCGCGCCGTAGAGTCAGAACTCACTCTCGACAACAACCTAAACCATTTTGCACAGTAATTTACAAATCCAACACCTAAAAATAACTTTATCATGCGTCAAAGTTCCACCCGGGGGTTGGCCAAGGCAGAGTAGACTTATACTGGATGCTAATGAGAACACAGATGGCTACAGGTAGTAGGAAAGCCGGCCAGTTATATAAACTGGGCACTCACACCCAGGTATCTACGTAAGAGTATCTCTTTGAGCGCTGCGCCTCTCCACGAGGCTAGTGAGCTGGGGACGTAACTTACGAGTGATCCTTGAGGAGCCTTACTCTTTTTATACTCATCTTGACAAGATAGACTCTACACAAGCAAGGCAAGTACCTAGTTACCTAGTACTTTGATTGGCTACATTGACGCACGCCTTTTCTCTTAAGTGGAATATGTAGGGATCACTGGCAACTCAACCTATTGGTCTTGTTACTACGCCGTGCTGATCATGATCTTTGAAGCCCATCCATCACTACTGCGCCGCTGATATCTTGCTGGCATGCACTCTACGTGGTCAGGACTCAGGGGCCAGCTGAACATCAAGCAGCAGCTATTACCAGATATAAATAATCCCGCAGTTCAGCTTACCTACGATGAACTCTCTCTGTGCTACCCGTGTCTGTTTACGGTTACCTACTTCTATCTATAGCAACTGCCCAGCCACCGACCTACCGAGGTAGCACATAATCAACCTTTAAAGATACCCATCTCAACGAATGCTCATCTTTCGACATTTACCCACCAACATAATGCTTTCCAAGACCTTCTCTGTTGCTTTAGCAACTGTTGTCGGATTACTCTTATCACCTGCTGGCGTATTTGCGACACCTGCGGTCGAACCAAGAGCATATGGCGGTGTAAGTCCTTCACTTCTACCCTTCTTCCTTCCTCATATTCCTCCATACCTAGGTATAGAATCATCGGAAAATATTCGACTAACTTCGAATTGAAAGTATTGCGATCTGTCCGACGGGGTGTGTGAAGGGCGTGGAATTTGCAACGTGTATCTTGGCGAGGTTCAACATTTTAGTCAATGCTGTGGAAAATTGCCTCGCTATCACTGTGGCGCTACCGGCAACGGCTGCCGCACAGGCTCGCATGGGGTTATCACGGACTGCGATTAAGAGATGAATATAGCACGCATTTGGAGAGTTGTTTGTTGATATCAGCTTTCCCTCGATTGACAGACAAGACCTGTCGAATACTTACATAATTGTTCTCAACTCACAAAGACTACAGTTATAAGGGCCACAATAGAATATACCTACTTGAAAATGATAGTATAAAAGACATTAGCAAAAGCGAGAACCAGTCAATACTTCAACTCTACCTACCTAGGTATTCACCAATCTTGAGTCATGACCGGAGGCCATCATGGGGCTCTAGGTAGTAGTAGGCTTTGACATTGATGATGAACTAGAAGTACTTGACGTGATTATATCAATGTTACAAGCCTACCCGAAAAAGTCGTGTCCTACATCACAACCCTTTTATTCGACTTCGTGTGAATCTCCACCCAACCTTCCACCATAAAATGCCCATCTAACTCCTAGGTACCTACAACTCTCATCTAAAACCAGAACAGAAAGTTGTAGTAATAGGTACCATGCTTTCTCAGAATAATAACTTACTGTCAGAAGCCACAAGCAAAGCTATATATAGGTAGCCTCTACCAAGCTGCTTGGCAACAGGGCACCCGACGTACAGCGTACATATACCTAGGTATGCATGTGCCTCCCCTTTTCTCCAATTTGAAATACCAGATAGGGAAGATTTAGAACGTCAATGTAATTATCATTTCCTCTATAACGCTCAGTATAGTGTAGCTATCGAATTGCTGCAGTTGGAATTGTCTGGTACCAGGTGCAAGCCCTCCATTTGCGGGATAGACACTAACACTTCCAAGGTGACAGGGGGAAATCTTTTTGGAGTTACGCGTAGTATATAACGGTTATAACCTGCTACCGTCAGTCCTGGATAGCTCCCTGAACACTAGGCCTAGTACCGCTATCCAAGACGCCTCTCACGTAGCTCAGCTGGCCAGCTTCTCTTGGATACCTAGGTATATACCTAGGTACCTAGGCAGGTATATAGGTACACACCTATCACGTTCATCAGTCACATACTTAGGTATCGGCCGTTACGTAGGTATAGCCAGAATAAGCGATGGAACCTAAGTACGACGTGAGATGGGGAGAGCTGCAGAACTTGCTAGGGGATAGTTCTCTATTATATTGACAGTATGGCTGATCATACGCTACTAGGTACAATGCGTGTTATGCAAATATAAAAAGTTGATACAGGGGAAGAAGTAACAAATGGGTACTTAGGTAGGTAGACAAGTAGTGCAGAATAAACAAATATGTAGTATTTTCTTGGTGGGTTCGTTGGTAAATATGTCTGGTATCAATATACAGCGCCAAGCCGTTTTATGCTCCCGGATCGCAAACCCCAGATATATCTAGGGGAGGGCAAGCCACAAGATCTAGAAACAGACAAGCATAGCAATGCAGCCTAAACACCAGTCTTTGTCTGCCATTCTCCGCATCTTGCTCCTTATTCTCTGCCACCTAGCCAACATATGTTTCATTCATGCATTCATGCCCTTTCCGCCAGAATCGCGTTTCCTTAAGCCTCTAAAAAGAATCCGAATGCAACCTTTTTTCGCATGTCTCACAAGGGTATAAAATCCGGTACTTCCATGTCGGTTCTAAAAATCGTGGACCCAATTCGGATGATCCGGGATCTGTCATTAATATTAAGCAATACAAGTTTTCACACACACAACTCCAAAGAAACCATTAGTGCGCCTCATCAACGCCTACGCTCTAATAGCTCCCCCGCCATGCTTAGTGTCATGGGTATAGCAGGACGCTGAATTTCCAAACTCCTGCTTGGGACAATTCTGCCACCCGGCGTTCTTGGATGAGGCACGTTCACTCGTCCGCTTCGCTCAGTAAGCCTACTAGGCGGGTGAACCCCCTCGTCAGCGCTGTCCGAGTCATTATCGTCGTAGCTAGCTAGTCTTGCGAAGTAGTCGGCCAAGCCATCCACACTGGGAGTGCCCACAACGATGTCGTATTGTGGTGGTGGGGTCGGCATTGGCGGCGGCGGTACATCATCGTCGAAAGCTGGAGGATTGAAGCTCGGGTATCGCAGCAGATGCATGGGTCGCGGCGCGTATTGTGCACTGATAGGTCTCTGGACAGGTTGAGAACCTCCTGCGGGATGCTGTTGCAGATGAGCCGCCTGTGGTAACGCAATGCCAGGGGATTCGGCGCCAACAGCATGAGCGCCAGCGTCGACGGACGGTATCGTGCCAGTACTCGATGCCGGACTGGGGTTAGTAGCCATTACATCGGCATCGGGGCAGCCACAGCTTGCCTGCTGTCGATACATGGGCTGGTCGGTGCCGGAATACTCGGGCAATGCAGTATTAGCCTGCGTAGCACGGCAATTGAGAACTGTAAAGGGCGAATCTATGCTGATTTCGAAATGCCGACGACGTTTACCGGCTGGGTCATCGGGATCGAGACGAGATATGCGCATTACGATCTATTAAACGTTAGCCGATGATTCTAATATGTAAGTAATACAACATGATCCCGGGAGTGAGATTCTGAAGCATGGGATATCTTGTCTGCATACTTTGATCCAATGGTACACATTCACGTTCTTCCAGCTACAATCCGGATGTAGGCGTAAAGTCTTGTCCTTGGCCATCTGCTCACACGTTGGAATCTGCACATTCATCTCGATCTCTGTCGATGCCCAGTAAGCCTCTAGGCCTAGATCCAAATCGCCCAACAAGTTGTCCGTAGGATCAGGCAATGGTTCGGGTACCCTGTGAGACCTCGAGGCCTCGATACTCCGCCGTCGCTGTGCTGCATTCCGCGCCTCGTGCCTTTCGTCGGGGGTTAGTTCGCCGCCACTCAATACTCTTATTTCCGAGGCTTCAAACTGTTTGTCGAGAGGCTTCCCTGCAGACTTTTCCAGAAGTAATATCTTCCGTCCTGCATCCTTCCGAGTGACCCTTCGGTCGTTGGTCCAGTACTCGACCGATTCCGTCACATACACTTTCAATTTGTGTACTTGTACTTTTGCCAGCGGCGTTAATTTGAAAGCAATGGGTATTTTCGTGCCGATAGGAAATGATTTGCCTGATATCATGATATCATAATGAAGCTGATCCTCCCATTGTCTGCTGATAGAGATTGGCTCTGTCATTTCAAGGGACAGTTGATCGGGCACTCGAACGATGCATACCTCCTTACTCCCGTGGAGATTAGGCTTGAACGCACCAGCTCGTTCCACTACCGTCTCAAGCTCCCATTTGACAGACCCGAACTGCAATTTGGTAGTCTCCAGCTGATGGTGGTCGATGGGTAATTCGAAAGAATATTCGTATACACCGGGGTAAAAAACTTTGTATGCCTTCTGTTGCACGACGTTCGGGTTTGGCGAATCTCCTTTGCCAAAACTGCGGGACTGAGCCGATTGTAATGATAGTCTCTTATAGTCTCGTGGTGACAGGTGAGTGCCGGCGGGTCTGTTCTTCAATGCCAGGGAGATCGTCGATTGGGAGGGAGATCCCCGACGACCGCAGTCAGAACCAGCCCGAAGAGAAAATGTGCACTGATTCCCATACTCCGTCTCCCACGACTCATGCATGGCGTGAAAAAAAGTTAGTACTTGGGTCCGAAGTGATTCTTCTTCGGACTGATCGACCTTCAGCGGGGGAATGCCTTCTGGCCACTCCGTCCTAGCTCTGCCGTGTAACTTAAGGGTGACCGACTTAATCTTCACATTTTTAGATATGTTCAGCTGTAGTTTACCCCTAAGCAACGCCGTAGAATTGGCAGCATCATTCCGAGGGTGGCCATCGTGCTCAAATCCAGTGAGAAAAATATTAGGTTCTGCCAAGATGATAGAGCACGAAACGCCGCTTCCGCTTGCTACTGGCTTAGGTACTTCTGTCACCGAGCTCATCACACTCTTGGCCGAACGCACAGAGATGATACTATTCCTGTGGGATCGATGCGAGGGCGGAACTAGCATTGATAACCGTCCAGAATCCGGCATTGCGGAGGTGCTTAACATCGAGGATGCTCCAGTGGCGGGAAGCACAATCATAGAATGGGGGCGCGTGCGCAAAACACCGTCTGTACTAGGTGTCGTTCCGGGGCTGTTCAAAACGTTGGGGGGGTTAAGGGGGGCAAGTGGTTTGGGACTCTCGGCTGTGACGTATTGCGAGAAATGGAGTTTTAAAGGTCCTAGAACTCTCTCAATTACTCGTCGCGGTGAACTTATATTGCTGGATCGACCTTCTTTCTTAGCATCGGCTCGATTGTTCTTTTCTTTCTTTGGTTTGGACGGCTTGGATTTGAAGAAAGGAGGTGGTCTCAGGTCTGGTGGAGTGTACCCTGGGGGGTAGGACACGATGTGGATAGACTGCGGTCGGCGCTGGCGAGGTCGAATATGCGGAGTGGGGAGGCCCGAAGATGGGCGGTGCCTCCGTTCCGAAGACCGCGGCCTGTAGTATACGTTCCCAGCTACGGAGCGTGAGTGTCGTTCCGGGTGATCTGGGCCGCTTAGGTCTGTCATGATGATACTATTAGGAATAAAGGAATTAAAAAATACTTGGCAACTAAGAATGCGCAAAGCGAACGAGCACTCCGTCGTCTACTTGACAGAACGGAAGGATATGTGTTCTAAGATATGTCCAAAAGGCACATGCTAGCTAGGCCAACGAAAAGAATAGCACGGTATAGGATGATGAATGAGCAAATAGGCCTCTGGTCCCTTGTCCCAACTTGTCCCAAGTCATGCGCGAGGCTCAATACTCAATGCTCAACAATAAAGGGGGGTGCGATGATAAATTTTGAGCATCGGTACGCATCATACATAGACAAAAGTGTGGGTAGGAGGTAATGAGGTCGGAAGGTACTATGTAGGTAGGTGTAGGTACTAGGTAGATTGGTGGGTTGGTAGGGCAGAAGAATGAGGAGAGCAAACTGAAAAAGGCGCAGCACAACAATAGGCAATAGGTGTGATGTGATGTAGAGAAAGGGAAGGGGAAAGGAGGGGAGAGACCTACAACGATGTGAATCATAACCAAGTCATGATTGACTCTGGGGAAGACCCAATTCTATGTGATAGGCAAGAACAGAGACAGAATCGGGATGGGATAGAGTCAGGAACAAAGCAATAAGCCGCTTAGAAGGAAACACCTGGTTAGGAAAGTCCGGGATGCGTAACGAATATGCACGTCGTGCCCCGCCTACATACCTAGGTAGTAAGTAGCTTGTGAGTACTTTAGATACTATGTAGTAGATAGCAGTCAATAGTTGATGTAAATAGAGTAATATGCCGGTTAGGTAGTAGGTAATAGATACTAAGGTAAATAGGTCAAATGTAAGTAAGCACACTGGAAATGCAACAATGGGAAACGTTTGCAGCGTGACAAGGGGGGGGAGGGAATGTAAGGATGGATAGATGAATCTTGGGGATAGAGGTGTGGGGTGTGTGGCCTCGATACGGTCATGGAGTGTGTAGTTGGGTAGTATGGCAGTATGGCATGGTACCTAGGAGTAGTAGTGTGATGTGGTCGTCTGAATAGGTCTTGGGGTCTTGGGTCTTGGACCTTGGGCAATTGTTAGGATTATAATGGCGACACTATCTTCACACGTTTTTTCCTATCGGTGAAGGAGGTTGGATGACTTAGGGATGTATTAAGATACCTAGTTACCTACATACCTAGTAATTAAGTAGACATCTTCAAATGTTGATATGATGCTGATTTGATATTGATGTATCAATGTCGGTTCGATGTCGATGTCTGATAGTCGGTTCGTACTAATCTAAGTACACCTAGTCTTGTAGATGCCTACCTAGGTAGTTATAAAAGGTTTAAGTTGCATTGGCAGATGATGGTAAGTGAGATAATAAATGAAAAAGAGATGGGCGCTGTTGCAGATGATTTTCCTATGATGTATTGATTCCAAGCCACACCCCTGTTAATTTAACTCTGCGAACCTTGCAAACCTTAGTCGACATAAGCAGTAACCCGTTATATTTCTGCATGCTAGGTACATAAGTAGCCCATACATCCATGGATAGCGTACATATCTCTGCATGTTTCTGCCTCTACGGTGCTCCACCTATCGTTGACCGCTCTCCACGATGGCGCCGGTACCTAGAAACGTACTATGGAATCATGGATGCTTATAACTACATATGTATAGCACCTAGCGCTAACGTTATATGTTAGCAACGTCTTGACTCTAGAGCGTTCGGCAGCTCGGAATATCAAATTATTGATGTTCGATGTTTACAGAAGATGGTACTGTATGTAACTGTATGTATTAATACTAGGTATATATAGTTATCATGTAGTGTACAATACATTAATGCATACATTGCACCTTATGTGCCTACCATACATGTACTGTAGCACATTTGACAATTGATTTATGATTGAAGTTTTGACTTTTAGATGATAGTCCTTCCCTTTGTTCCCTTTTCTTAGGAAAAATTTTAAATGCAAATGAGACAAGCCGATTACCGTCTTACCCGGTCCTAGGCATCTAGGCCATCCGCAGTAATCCCATGGATAGATCAGGGATTTCAAAGCTTCAGGGATTTAAATGCCATGGAGGGGTTCGACAATCACCTTTCTGACTTTGTAACCAATCAATTTAAGTAAAAGAAAGAAGCCTTGGAGGAGGGGAAAGAAAGGCAGAGAAAAAAAAAAAAAAAAGGTCCCACGTCACAACAATGATACAGCATACCTAGGGTAGATCCTTGTAAAAGAGAAATAAAAATTTAAGTATAGGATTGTCCATATTTGGTATAAGAAGACTCTAACCTGTTCAATAGCCGTACAAAACAAGACGAGCATTTCCGATAGTGAACTAGAATCCAAGTCACACCGCATAAACCTAAGCCGGACCCGCTATACATTATACCTATTATGTAGTAGCTTTGCCAGCTTTGCCGTAGAGACACGAACTTTAGATTTTGGCATGACTTTTCATTCATTCATTTCTTAGCTACCCTTTTTTTTTCCTCACGTTTTTTTCTCATCTTTTTTTTTCTCTCAACTAGTAATAACTAGCCTGATAAAACTGGTCATCTGATATGTACGATGCCTACTGAAATAGGTATGCATAACCTGTCCAACATTGGACTTCACAGCAACGTGGTGAAATGCCGCGTGTTCCCCGAATTCCCGGAACAGCAGTTAATTTCTGCACATTACAAGTACCGTCTGCATGTAACCTTAAAGGAAAATATACCACATGTATGCACCCGTTTCTTGCCTACCCCATGGAAGGGGAACGGATAGGTGGGAAGATAGAGATAGGCTTCAAGTTCAATGTTCGTTCAACTTTATTTACATCTCAGAAATTCAGAATCAGATTGACTCGAGTGTACACTGTAGGTATGTACCTGGGTATGTACCTGGGTGTGTACCTGCACGATGTTCTAGATTAGGTAGGCCTGACGCGGAGTTCGTGAGGCTTTGCAGCTAGTATGTCGTCATCGCCGGGAGTTGGAGACCCTACGCTACCCTGGACAGCCTGGTTCTAGGTAGTTGACGTGCAGGGAAACACCGCGATTTCCTAACCACCCCAAGGTTCATCCCCGGTCAAGACTCCGATGGTGGTGAGAAATGCACTACTAGTTGGAAATAACTTAAAAACTACTCGTCATGTTGAAAGTCAAAGGGACCAAAGGGTCTTGAATCATGCTTAATGACATACTTTACTATACAGGTCCGACTAGGGATAGACTAGGGATATACCTGGCAGGATGGAAACGCAGGGCAAACCTTTAATTCTATTCAATTTCGATCAAAATATGGATGAGATGGAGGGATGTCGGTGGTTATTTTTGGAGGGCCTTAAGGTACAAGTACATCATGTGCTAGGTATGTAATTATTAATATTTAAGAAGCATGTGAGACAACGATCGAAATGCTGTCTGCCAAGAGATCTCTCTTGAGCTACTATTGACTACCTCCTTGACTTTCATTTATTACAGGTAATATAGGTATTCAGTCAATTTGAACCATACGGACTATCCTCCGTAGCATAGTTACGAGGCTTGCCTTGCTCTACCCGTTGTAACTGATCTCCTTGTCCTCCTCCCCTTGATCAGATCGACTCCTTCTCATAGTCCGCCCGCGCTTGTCGTTTGAACTCTTCGCAGATCTCAAACTGACACGACATTAGCAATATGGCCGTAAAAACCCCCCACGAAAAAAGGTAGATTGAAAATCAAAGATCATCAAACGCACAGCTCTTTGCACAGCCTTTCTAGCACCAGGCCAAGTCTTCCGGCCGCATCCCAGGATGCCTTGAGGGTTGGTCTCAAATATGCGCCAGGAGTAGCTGTTCGTAGGGCCGTGAACCAGCCACGTCCATAGCTCGCGGTCGTTCCACCAAAGCCGCCAGCCGCGACCGGAGAATATGTGATCGAGATTGTCATACACGCCGGTGCCCGACGCGTCGTGGAGGAACCGGTAGAACGGGTACGCCTGGACATATCCCGACCGTATGGACTGGTCCTTCTCCCATTCGCCCCGCCACCAGACGTGGTACGCGTCAACTTGGGCATTCATCTCATCCAACGAAGGGAGCAGGGCTGCTGGGCGATACCCATCCCGGCGCGGCATCTGCTCACCTTTAGATCTGATGGTTTCTGCTGCCCAGATCTGCGCTATAGCCATGGAAGCTAGCTCGCACAGGTTCCATACGTTCTCTAGAGGTGTCATCCAGCTTAAAAAGGCCACGGAAGCTGCCCAACGTGGCGGGAAAATCATATGATAGAGGCGAGGAATTGTTGGCTTCTGGTTATACCGCCGGTCTTCTTCTTCTTCTTCTTCTAATATCTCTTCCCCGTCCCCCCTCCCCTCTTGCGATAGGCTTCCTGCGCTTTTAAGCGGTAGCCCACCAGCACCGTCCATCTCCATCTCGGGCATAATGCTGATGTCTAAGTGGTATCCCGTGCAAAAGATAACCGCATCAACCTCTAGTACAGTCCCATCGTCTAGCAAGACCCGGTCCCCTCCGGCGAACTCCTTGAACCCATGGACAGGCAAAATGTTCCCCTCGTACAGCGCAGGGATGAAGTGCTCTTGGACCGTGGGACCGCAGTGTGCCATGCTGGAGCAGGGAAGCAGCCGCCAATCCTCCTGCACTCTGTGCGCCGCACGGTTGAGCCTCTCACGACGCGAGACCTCCGGTGCCACGGGCTCGGACCGAGCTGCGTCATTAATCATTTTATTAACCAGCAGCCGATCTGCCACCGACGTCATCAGCCACGGCATGTGGTGGTCGAGAAAGTACTTGAGTCGCATGGTAGGCCAAGAGAGCTCCGCGTCGGTGGGGATGCCGTTGTCGAGGTATCGCGAGACCAGTATCCTGCCTCGTCGGTAGCTTTGGTACAGCGTAGCGGCGTGCTTGCGTAGTGACAGGGACACATCGCAGGCCGTGTTACCTATCCCCACCACCAGTACTCGCATGTTCCGGAATGGTTCCGGACTTGGTGTATCAGCCGATCATTCTGTCTACGCGCCGATATACCCGGAAGTAAAGAACGTACCTCTTGTATGATTGTGAATGTATCACCATTCCCCTAAATATGTCTCTGCCAGGCATGGGAGGCCAAGTTGGCAGACTTTCACAGCCATGACCAAACACCACTTTGTCAAAGACTAGAACCTCGGTCCCCTTTGTGTTGGTAATGTGAATATCCCACGCGTCATTAGTTCGGCTTCGAGTTACTCTCGTGACGGTAGTGTTGAAGCGTACGTAGTAATATAGCTTGAAATGGGCGGCATACGAGTTAAAGTATTCTGCTATTTGGGAGCTAGTGGGGTAGGGGGGCCAATCTGTAGAAAATAGGGGTACTACATGTTAGATAACTTCCATCTACAGACTCATGTATTGCATTGAAACTTTCTCACCTTCGGGAACTGGGAAGTCACTGAAGCCCGACTGGACATTGTGTGTAAGTTAGTAAGCTCATATCGTTGCAGACGTGTGACTTGCCCGACTCACCGTGAACTTGCTGACGTTACAGACCGTCTCGTTCAGCGTGGATGTATAAGTAGCATCGTTGCTGAAGGACCATAGTCCACCGGCCTTGTCTCGCCTTTCAAAAGCAATAGCGTTGAAGCCTTCTTCTCGTAGAGTTTTGAGGGCGGTCAATCCTGCCGGGCCTGTGGTTAGATTCAGATCAGCTTTGGATATCCAGACTGATTTCGGTTTCCATAAAAGGGTAGTACCTAAACCTATGATTGCGATATTGATGGTTTCCATTTTGTAGCAACTTCAAAGGGTGCATATTATATGGTGGGTGAGTAGGTGAAAAAGGGGTAAGCTAGTAGATATAAGTATTCGATCTTACTAAGATAATACTAGATTTGGCTTCCAGCTAATACCAAGTCCGATTTTTCAAAAGTATCTACAAAAAAAACAAAAAGACCAATGCTCTAGAGCAAGATCCTCGTGCTAATAGTCGCACAGCTGAACTCATGGATCGCGCACTAAGCTGAGAGTAGTATCCAGGGACTTTTGCTTGTGAGCGCACACATGGTTCTAGCTTCATTAACATGTCTATCTGCGAGGATCTAAACAAAAGACCAATGAATCGGGTAATTTATTGCGACGTGTGCTTCTGATGCTGCTCGATACTGTGTGGGAGATGGCACCTACCTGAGTAGGTACCCAGTAGGTATGTAGGTTATCGCATTGCTTAAGGGTGGTATGTACGTGTCGAATTTCAATAGAACACTACCTAGTACCACAGTAGCTTTCTCCAGCCATGAGAACTTATGTTCTAGGTAGCTGAAAACATTGGGCATAAGTATAGTACCATGAATCCCATTTGCTGCTTACCTACTCACATACCTAGGTAGCTGCCAATATGCAAGTGCCTAGGCACTAAGTATCTCTACCTAGTAGCAAAGACTGCAAGAACTCTCCATTCAGCGAAGAATACTTGACACGACCCAGTTTCGACATATCAAGATGAGCAAACCGATATTACATGTTAATACTTGCTACTCTAACTTATGACTACGCCTAATATCTCTTCAAGTTACTATGTTGAGGCAGCGCATTCATATACTCAGACCAGCCCCAAGCAGCACAGCAGGAACCACAACGATAGTGGGAAGATATCATAGTACCTAGAAGCAATAAGGGATGTGTATCAAGACTGCTGATAACTGATTGGAGTGGGAGAACAGCAAATAGACAATTCTACCGTCTATAGCACTGCCGAGGAGCATTCAAGGCGGCGACGGTAAGGTTAGGGATACCCTCATATACTAGCTACCTAGGTCCGAAAGCTCAGTGGTAGATGATTTAAACTGCTTACTTAACTAGCATGCCGCCAATAGAGTTATCCCGTTGCATACATCGAGGGGTAACCTTAAACTTAAATTCAAGGCTTACATCAAGTTGTCGTGCTGCGCCTTACGGGACCTGGCCTCTAACTACCCACTAGTTAAACCTGGCAGCAAACAACTTCAGTGTTTGAGCCAAACCCCTATACGATGACGTTTCCGCTTAAGTGCCACCACCGAGCCGCTGACATAACGGTTCAACTGTCAACCTTCCAAACACCCCCCTTTTCGTCCAAGCTTAGTATCCATGGCGTATCTATGATATACACCCACCTACCTCCCAGAGTAGGTGCCTAGTAACCAGTACCTACAATGGCATTTGACTTGACTCAACATCACGACGACACACGATCTACGGGGCTTTCTAACATGGCAGAAAAACACTTAAACATGTTTAAAAACTACCAAAGGCTACCGCTAGATACCAAATCTATTAACAGCCATAACCCCCAGATTCTTTCAAAGGGGGCATCAGAATCTCACAATCCCACGATCTCAACACCATACCCCCTTTCACGACCCCGGCCCATCCAGGCCATCCATATACCAGCAATCACTGCCCCCCTCCACGAACTCCGTCGCGCCGATCGAGCCGATAAACTCGCACAGCTGGCCCTGCATGAAGTTGACCCCGTGGCAGAACCAGTCCTGCTGCCTCTCCTCCAGCCCCCTCTTCTCAAACGACCCGCTGCACGCCTTCATGCACTCGTCGAGGCTCCCGGTCTCGGGGCGCGAGACCCGGTGCGCCGAGTCCGCGGGCATGCACTTGGTCTCGCAGCGGACGAGGCCGAGGTGCGGGTTGCCGAAGGCCGGCGAGTCCGCGGCGTACGGCGGGCACTGGCAGAAGGCGTTGTAGTCCGGGTAGCCGGTGGTCTGGTTTGGGTTCTCGCAGGTGGTGCCGGTGGCCTCGCGGGGGATGGTTGGGTTAGGGGTCGCGGCCGCGAGGGCGGTGGAGGCTGCCATGAGGATGCTGAGGAGTGAGGTGAGTTGGTTGGTTCGGGCCATTTTTGCGTTGGTGCTTGAAAAGGAGGTTGTGGGTGCCTGTGTTTGATAGGTAGATATAAAGAGGGTGGGTTGGAGATAGTTGCTCGTTGGTACCTAGGTATGGTGATGAATCTGAGATACTACTACTGGTGCTCTATGTTTCGAGTGTTGTGTAGTTGATGATGATATCTTATGTCTCTTCTATGTCGTGACCAAACGTCTGTTTATATAGCCAGACTCATCGTGGCAGTTGCCATCCCCGGACATGGAGGTAACGCACGTACAAACAAGCATTCAACGGCTCTTCGGCAACGTATGTTGACGATGACGTTCTGATCGAAGCCAAGCCGTCAGCATCGTCTGGGGTTTACCTTACGGGGACAGTGCCAATCACTATACAACTCTCAACATAGGCTATATTCTACCGTTCCAATTCACTTTAAAACGACCAGAACCATGCTCGCCGAACTGCGCTCGTAGTACTCCGTACTGCGCCGCTCTTGGCTAAGAGTATAATATGCAACGTTGCGACTAATCAGGTCCCAATACAAATGTGTTTACCAACCTAGGCACCGCTATTAATATTCTTGCGTGTAAGTTAATTTTGAGCTTATTGATCCTTCGAAGGAGTGATATATACGCCACGGTTCTCATTGGTGATCTTTAACGAAGACCAACAAAATGTGACCAATCAACCTATTGATACGAAAATACGAAAATACCCTGTGTATAAGACACTCCTCAGCCTCACTCATTACAACGCTGTCACTGAAAGATGACGAGATCTACTCGTAGCATACAGTGTTTTGACGTCTTAAAAAGAGACCTCGCATAACAACAATGGAAAATGGTGGGACTATAAGGAATGTCATTTACTAATCTACCTAACTAGGGGTGTTCAGCAGCTATCGATGTTTTACCTTCCTACCTAGGTAGGAACGTACGTCTAGGAAACTAATGATATATATCTTTCAGGGGCTAACCCTTCTCTCATGCTATTTCATCAATGCATAAGCCACAAGCAAGTCAACGCGATCTCCTTTTCTAATGCTCACCGATCCTCGCCGATGTCCCTAACCATGTTCTCGTAAAGAACTCTATGTTGCATCTCCTATCCGACAGTGTCGACGGGGACTTAGGTGCTTGAAAGATCGATGTCCTCAGCACCGTCGAGCCACTCTCCCACCTTCTTGTACAGATCCAGCCACAAGGCGTTGGCCGCCCCACATTCCGCACTTTGGATGGTTGGAAGACAGATATCAATTTCATGTCCGAGCATACTCTGTGCTGCACCGAGATACTTGTATCCTTCTGGATACTTATCAAGAGTGCTCTTAGAGAAACTAGGCACAGTCTTGCCGTCGACAGGAATGAGCTTGTCCTTCTCGTATATTAGCTTGACGTATTTGACCTTCCAGGCCTTCGTGTCCAGGTCGCGGAAGCAAAAGAAATGAAAACGACTGTCGCAGTCCACGTCAAACACGATCGGATCAATACCCATAGCATCATCACCGCCGATTCTGAATCGTTGAGTAATGGTTGCCTTCATCTTGCCAACCGCTCGATCTGCGGCTGGGTTGAGATCGACTAGGGTTCCGCATTCGCGATGCATGATGAAGTCGCCGTTCTGTTTTCCATCCTTTGACTTTTGGATAAAGCCATCGATGCTCTGTCGACTACTCCAAGCTACACAGTCTGATTAGCTCTCAAATATCCAAAACGTTTGTCTGATTAGGGGCAGTAACTAACTAGTCCAGACGTATGCATCATCGCAGAAGAGGGATCGGAAATTCTTCCATTCAGATGCGTCTCGATAGAGTGGCCAGCCCTTGCATAGCTCGGAGACGGTGAGTCTGGTTAGAAGCTCATTTTGTGTTCCATTGATGTGAGAGTACACCTTGGCTTGGGGGTCGATTGGTGAAGTCATGTTGACTGATGTTGCTTGTTGCTTGTTGCTTATTATTGACTGTTGGAAAGCAAACCTTGAATACAAGAAGAAACGGAAGTTCGAATGAAAGAAGAAAGGTGCTTGTTATATGCTGGTCCTGGGACGCTTGGGGCATTGGTATGTACTTGCATCATCTCGAAAATAAAATCGGCGTCATTGATGACGGCCTGTTAGTCACGCCCTGACTTTGAAACGAGCTGTATAGCTCTTTCCTGCTCATACTTCCAACCTTGGAGGTTGTGAGCAAACCGCGCCTTCTGTTTTCTGCCGAGTCTGAACAAACCGGAGAAGGAACGATGCCTTGTCACCCTGTCACCTTGCCACCCTGTTCAATCCTGCAACAGCATCGTCGCTACTTCAAACAAAAGCATGTCTTCGATATTGGAGAGAGATAAGCGCAAACACTGAATGACCCACTATGAAAAGCAACTATGCGTTCGTCCCGTCTCAACAGCCGGCCTATCCGAGTGTCCGGGGCCGAAGATGAGTCCGAGGAGAACATAAAATGAGGGCATTCAACGGGGACTAACTATTAACTATTTATTACAGATAAACTTACAGATATCCCAGAAACTCGTCAGACTACATATAGATGTAGAACTATACACTGACAAGTGCCCCGTACATTCAGTACTAGAGACGCTCACACAGTTAAATATCTAGGTACCTAAGTTTCGGCGAAAGGGACTACATATGTACGCGAGATCAAGATCGGTTTTTCATCCGATGTGGATGCTTCGTCATCGTGGGGAAGCAGGTTCCCGGTTCGTGTAGGAGCATTGCTCCTATTAGCGAATCGATGAAAAACGCCAATGAAATCATCTACCATGCTCCTGCGGTATCCCGCTCGCTCGGGAACTTGCATGGAAGACGGGATCGCATGTCCGGGATGGCACAATCGGCATGCCGACTAGTTTACACTAGGCTTCGGCAGCCTATCGTATGGTTCTATACACATGTGTAGGCGATATCTTTGAATTGACGTTAGAATCGGTTTGTATATGCATGTTTCATGAGACGGGGCTGATTGGGGCTGACGGGGACAGTACTTACTACTATGTACCTACCTACCTACAATCTTATAGGGTTAGGCCATTTGCCTTATCGTCATTTTGTTCTATAGTCATATCGCCGTTTCCTGCATGGATAGAGTAGAGGCAATGGATGTATGTACTATGTAGGTATGTATCATGAAATATTGTGGTGCTGACTGGATCCCCCCCTGATATTACATACTATCCACTAGGTACAGAACTAGGCTAGCCTAGTACCTGTGTAGCACGTCACTGGATGAGTCCGCAGATACTCATGCTTACAAAACGTTACAAAACAGAGTAAAAACCAGTGGAAACCAGTGAAAACTCAGTTTGGTGGTTAACTAAAAGATTACCAATCCAAAAGCAACAGAAGCAAGAACTCCCGAGTGGCTCGGCGTCCGCATTCTAGGTAAGTTACGGTTAGTAATATGTAGGAACCGGGTACCTGATACCTAGCGTACTTACACAACCTTGGGAATTCACCACATTACTACCAAAACCCCTGTAAAATTCGCCTTGGTATGGAACGGGAAGAGAAAAGCTTATTATTAGCATTTTTTTGATAGAACTTTCATCTTTTATCTGCTATTACAGTTTGTACATGTTGTATACCAAGATGGTAGGAACGATACCGACGATACCTACACGTATGGAGCACAATACGCACTAAGCCACTAGGTAGATGTATTATTAAGATTTCAAGATTGTAGTGACGTTATGTATCTAGAGGAACATGTCAACCTTCATCTTCTCGATTTTGATTGATTTTGCTTACTTTTTCTCTGGGCAACTAAGACACATGCAGCGCCGAGTACAGTATTATGCCACCCACTAGATACCTTATAGGTAGGTGGATAACAACAGTATTGCCGTATAAGCCCCTCGACCCCCTACACCTTTTATCATCTTCTTTTATAAGACAACGTTGAAGCCTTTATTTCTTCATTCCAAACACTGTATACCATCTAGGTGCCCGTCAACTGGGTAGTTGAAACGGCCAGGTCGAAATACAGTCACATAGATTAGGCCTTGCGTAACAGCCCAACATGACGATATTCAACCCCCACCTGACCTCAGGCAACGATGACAGGATAACCTCCAGGGCCTCCAGCATCAGCAGCCAGTCGGTCAGAAGTCAAGCAAGCTCCTTTCCGGAGAAGGCGATAGATTTACCAGCCGATGGCACGCTGCCGTCGCAAGCAAGCAGCATCTCACCGCGGGATCCTTCGCGAGATGACCAATGGACCATCCGTGACGACGACAAATACGGCATTGAAATGAACGACAGGAATCGGGATCTTGCTAGAATCGAGACCAATATGTCCATTGCCGAAGCGCTCCCTTTCCATCGGGAGGCTCTGTTTGTTATGGTCATATCGTCTTCGCAGCTCTTCACGCGTACGTCCCCAGACTGCGTGTCATTTTGTACTGCTTCCACTAACGATCGCGTTCAAAAGAGGCGGGTCTTGGCCAGGTCATAGCCATTATCCAGCCCATTGGTGATAGTTTCCACATCGGTAACCCAGCGGAATTAAGCTGGTTGATTGCTGGATATAGCCTGACTATAGGTACCTTCATATTGTTCTCCGGTAGGTTGGGCGATGTCTTCGGCCACAAGACCATGTTCCTTATTGGCATGGGCTGGTATGCTATTTGGAGCATGGTCTGCGGGCTTGCCATCTACTCGAATGACGTTCTATTCATCTTCGCCCGCGTCCTCCAGGGAATAGGCCCAGCTATCGTTCTCCCCAACGGAATGGCGCTTCTTGGTGTCGCGTATGCCCCGGGTCGACGCAAGGAAATGGTATTCGCAATTTTCGGCGCGATGGCACCGGCTGGGTCTGTGCTTGGGTCTTTATTTGCCAGCCTCTTTGCCCTCGCATGGTGGCCATGGGCTTTCTGGGCCTTTGCCATTGTCCTTCTCCTGTTTTTGATCTTAGGATACTATGCCATCCCGACAGCCGCAAATCGACCCCATCACGAGAGACCAAAGGGCCTGAAAAACATGCTGCACGAACTCGATATTATAGGGACATTACTTGGCGTAAGCGGCCTTGTCCTGGTCAACTTTGCATGGAACCAAGCCCCTATCGATGGCTGGTCTGAGCCATATGTCTACGTTACGCTTATTTTAGGACTCCTGTCCCTTGTCGGCTTCTGCGTATTTGAGCTGTTGTACGCGCAAAATCCTTTGATCCCCATCAATGCCTTTACCTCTGACGTGTCGTTCGTCCTTGGTGCCATGGCTTTTGGTTGGTCTTGCTTCGGCATCTGGTTTTACTACTTCTGGCAATTCCTGCTTGTCCTTCGCGAGGAGACCCCGTTGTTAGCTACAGCCATGGTTAGCCCCTGCACCGTCTCGGGCCTATTCGCAGCTCTATTTGCTGGCTTCATGTTACATCACCTTAAAGCACCTATAATCATGACCGGAGCTCTTGTTTGCTTCACGGTGGGTATGATCATCCTCGCGACCTGTCCCGTCGAGCAAACCTACTGGGGCCAGCTTTTTGTCTCGACGCTGGTTATGCCCTGGGGCATGGACATGAGTTTTCCAGCCGCGACTATCATCCTCTCCAACGCTGTACCTCGAAAGCACCAGGGCATTGCTGCGAGCCTGGTCATGACTATTGTCAATTATAGCATTTCTCTTGGATTAGGTTTCGCCGGCACGGTTGAGACGCAGATCAACAATGGGGGGAAAACCAAGGAGGACATCTTGAAGGGTTATCGCGGAGGATACTACATAGGCATTGGACTCGCAGCAATGGGTGTGCTTGTTTGCCTTGTTTTCTTAGCAAAGAGTAGGAAACAACCCAAAGTCACCGAAATTGATGATGAGGTTTGAGGATGAGGCGTTCGGTTGGTCGTTATATTAGGGCTTACATACTTGATTCAGCCGCTCCTTTTGTCATGCGCCGCCCTTGCATCGCACAAATTGCCGGTTCCTACCCTACCTAGGTACTTACGTACCATTTATATCACTTTGCCGCACATAGTGCTACCTACATATGTAGAAAGAAGGCAACACAAAAGACGTTAGGATCACTTTAGTGATACCTTGTATGTATTTAACGATGATGGGTATTACCGGATGAACTGCCAAACGGGTAGTATCATCCAGTTACCAGAGACGATTACACGATATTCAATTGCATGATGGAACAAAACATCTAAAAGGAATACAGTACCTACGTAGTATCTATTGGATACCTAGATACTAGGTATGGTATGTAACCTTGGAAATAGACACGAGATTTGTGACAACCAGTGCAGTGCGCATTGCATTATTTTTATCTACCAATATGCGATTTCATGTATGCAACGTATAATTGCGATGTAGCTGGAATGCAAAGCAACAAATGTACACCTCCAGGGCTACTACTGTAGGTAAATAGCAAGCCCTCCCCGTGGCTTAATGCAACGCCGCACAATGCTGAACTGCAAACATGAATAACCACCATTGCGCCTATGCCTTCAAAGACCAATATTTTAGGACTCGGCTTTGATATCTCATCTTAGCCCCCCAACTCTGACCCTAGCCATCCATTAACTTTCACTATCCTCGGAGTCATCTGCGCCACTGTTTATCTTGTTGTTACATTCGCTGGTAACCTTGGTCGTAATGGCATCCCAGCCCTTGCCACCGGTGCGCAGCACAAGATGCGGATTCACGTCTGCGGAGAAGTACTTGTCTCTCCTGGCACTGGCTCTGGAGCCGCCTTCGAGAGCCGAATACGAACTCCTTGTCGTGCGCATGCGTTTCTTGCCAGGCTGTCCGCCTTCGCTGAGGAGACTGCTGCGGGCAAGTCTCTGTCGCTGAAGTCGCTGGTCGTATGCTACGATGCTGCGCACGTAGGGAGCTATGTCTAGAGTGATTGTCTTCATAGTTCCGTCGAATACCGATGGGTCGAGATAGCCAGCCGCCATGGTTTTCTCCGAAGCAGCGATGGGATCAAACGCGCAGCTGAAGTCCAATCGCGCAATCGGCGGCTCTACATATAGCGACTCGTCGAAATGCTCTGTTAAGATAGAGGTGGCTTTAACTTCATCTAAAGGCTTGAAAATATCTGGGGCTCCGTGAATAGGTTGGGCACCTCCTAGCAGTGCTCTACTGAGGTCTTTCAAGCTAGTAGCTATGTCAAACCGCATGGTGTCGTATCGTACTAATGGAGATGCCTCGATTAATTGTCGGCCAATGATGAAATCTTCCCTGGCCTTTGATGAAAGGCTGGGAATGGAGGCGTCCATGGAACTTTTGGTAGGAATTGCCGAGAAATCAGCTACGCCAATATCCGCGTCGCTCGCGAAGCTACTGAAAGAATCCACTGCTTCTAGAAGGGTAAGACGTTCCTTTTTGGAGAGACGCTGATTGGTAGCTGCTGTCGCCCATGAAGAGAAACCGCAGTTTGAACCCAGCTCATACGCGTCGAGTGACCAGTGCTGGAAGACTTGCCGGCGAAGCTCCTCCTGGCATGATTGAGATGACAAGTTATTGATGGCTGAGTCTCTACTCAGCCAACCCATACCCGGTTGGTAAGTGTCCTGACTAACCACTCGGATGGCATGGCCTTCCTCGTCGATATCGCTCCCTTTGGGCCATCTAGGGTAAAACCAGTTGAATCCTCCTTGTACATCTCCCACCCCAATTTGACACCAATAATTCAGCTCGGTTATCGAAGCACGAAGGTCGTGCTTGCGCGAGTCATATAGCGCTTCAATGGCGGGCCTTCGAAGAGCATGGCCCTCGTTCGCTGCGACGAGAAGTAGGTAGTCAACGGCGAGATCCTTGGGAGGACTGGAGAAGCGGAAAATGCCGTGCAAGTTTAGACTCTGTAAAGGAACCAGGGCCTCATCATTGCATGTCATGATGAAAGGGCGCTTGGACTGGGAGATCATGGAGATAATCGTCGCCCAAAATTGCTTGTCCTCTTCGTAGAGCACATCGACTTCCTCGAGTAGAATCAGAGATTGTTTCTGAGATTTGGGCGACTTCTTGGACTCATTTATAGTGAGTGACTCGGTCGGTTTCTTAATCGGTTTCTTGACTGATTTCTTGACTGATTTCTGGGGTGCAGCTGCGTTTGGCTTGAAGAAAGCGGTCATCCTGCCCTGCTTGCCAGATTTCAGGTCTCGCTCCACCTCATCTTCGGAAACTTCTTCTTCCTGTGGTGTATCGTCTTTGTGTTGATGCTGTACTAGATGATTTCGTGTCATGTCCCCAACCTTTTCCATGATGTCTTTGCCGTTCCTCCTAGCACCTGGATTGATCTCAAATATCTCAAAATCAAGCTCCTTGGCGATAGCATATATACTAGCGGTCTTGCCGCAACCATGAGGGCCACTTAGGACTACAGCATTAGTAAAGCGGCCGCCATCTCGAGACTTTTGACGGGAAGAACCAGGCCGAATAAAGGTCTTCTTTGCGCTGCCGTGGATGCGATTTGCTCCCCAATCCTCTTCCACATCAGAAATTTCACCTAACTCGTCTGCTTCATCATCGCTCGAAACAATAAAGCCATCTAACTTCTTCTTTCGCTTTCCTTTCCCCTTAACTAGAGCGACTGCTTTAGGCTTAGTTCCAGAGTCCGTTCCGCCGGTGTCCACAGACAGCACCTTAAGGTTCTCTAGCCAGCAACGTAACAGCTCGGCCTCTCGACCACTTTGAAGAACTCGTTCTGCGGATGAGGGGGCATATTTCTGAGCCCAGGCTGTTGTCTCACAAGTTGACATATCAAAAGCGGAGAGGCCTGTTCTAATGGAATCATGGGCAAACGTGATTGCTGGATGCGTCTTTGAGGGGCCATTATTTCGCCGAATGGTCTTCAATTCTGTTGAAATACGCGCCTGAAGATTCTTTCCACTTTCAAAGTGTCTCTGAGGAATTCGTAGGCTGGGCGGAGGAGGTTGAAAGTCATCGTTGTCAAATGCCTTTAATTCTTCAGCCGTCTGCTTTAACTTCAGATTCATAGCGGTATGATGGAGGATAGATTCGGAATCGGCAATTCGAACTTGCTGGCCTTTGGCCTTTCGCTTTTTTGGAATCTGGCCGTTTCGTGTGTTATCGCTAACAGAGAGAGGGTACAATGTATCGCCTCGTACGTGAGCTGTTTCTTTTGAAGGCCAAGTTGGATGCCGCGCCCCGGGCACTTTAAGAATGCCGGAGCTCATACCGGGAGTTGGAAGACTGAATCTTGAAGGTGCTGGTCGAGGGTTTCTAGATGCGCTAGAAGCAGGACCGAAGAATACTTGTTTCTCACGCGGTGGCTTCGTCTCGGGCTTTTGCAGAACCTCCGTGGCATTGTTTGATTTTGAACTTCCTTGGAAAAATGGATGAGTGGGTTTCTTGGGAATTTCATTCCCCTTGCACGAGCTGCTCTGAGGCGCTCTCTCCACTGAGTCTTGCTTGCAAATATTTGGCTCATTGGTAAGTTGTTCGTCGTTGTCTCGATTTAAGGGTGGTGGTTCGGAGAGAATGTTAGGCCCATTCTTCGGGGGAGTGGTAGTTGTAGTTATAGTAGTAATAGTGGCATCTTTAGTCGCATCAAGCAGGTCATTGATCTGGTGGCCTGTTTCAAGTCGAGAAGCATCATCGCCATCCTGACCATAAGATATAGATACCATAAATGTTTTAGCTTTTCGCCTTCGTCTCGTCTTTTGTTGTTTTGCATTTGGTTGCGGTATGGGGAGTTTCGGAGGGGAGCCTATTGTTCCAGTTGCGCGGTTGAATTTTAGGACCTTTTGCGGTTTGGGGAGAGTCGCTGTGTTTTCAGTTAATATTATGAACACCTCTAGGTACTCCTCTTTTGAATTCTTTTTCATGGCGTACCTGAACAAGAATCGCTTTGCGCATCTTCAACCTGGCGTCGCTTTCTTTTACGAATTCCAGATGTAGATGCGATGCTTACATCGGTCTCATTTTCGATAGAGTGGGGGCTACAGGAGGGATCTGGCGTAACGGGAGTGACAATGTTCGATAAGCCATCAATTGCTGCGTTCTTTGGAGTAAAGAAGGGATGTATTTTCTTGGTTTTCGTTTCGGCGAGGTTAATATTATCGCCATTTTGATTCATGATGGCGTCGAAAAGCTTTTGTCGCTTTTGTCGGTATTAAAAAAAATGAAGAATTGAAAGTGATATGTTGATCATTGGTTGAGGCTCATTCGAAGTAGGCAGGCAAGCCGTAAGCGCATGATGTTACTGATAAATGAATGGCATCTAGAAATCTCGCTCATATATAAGAGAGATAATTGTACTAGTAGTAGTATATAAGATGAATCAATGATATCCTTCCCTGACTAAAGATGAGGACAAGAATGCGCTGGGCAGGGTACGTAGTTCAGTCACTAACCTAAGAAGTCGCGTCTGAAATCTGTCTATCGCGTCTGACGCGACTACCTCCATTAAGCCAACTCAATTGATGCATGCCCCACCTACAAAACTTTGTAGGTACCTAGGTACTAGGTACTGTACCAACATGTACGTCGTAACCTCGAGATCATATTGCTCCACTTTAATATGTACTGTCGGATCGGTGCTTTGCTAGCTCCGTCTCTACAACTTTTTTTTTTTTCCTTCATATCATCAAAGTTCACCAAGCACCACACAGTTGAAGCGCAACAGATAGTCATGCTCTACCTTCTCTAAAAAGTTGTTCTTGAATTTTAGTCCAGCATGGCTTCTCACTTTCAGATTCAGAAGCCATATGTACTGGCCACCCTACCACGACCTCTCGATCCTACAACGGGTCGATATGTTGTTAGCGAAGTATACGGATCTGCACCTGGGACGAGAAAAAGGAAGCGCCACGAACTGGCAGTGGGAGTTGATGGCGAAGCAGTCAATATCTACAATGTAAGAGTGACAAACACCATATCTAACTGGGAACTACTATTCACTCTTTCTGTATAGGTTTCCTCAGCTAGACTTGTTACTTCCTATCCAGTCCCTCCACAGTCATTCTTTTCATGCCCGGTAGCCTCAATTCGGCGCAAAGTAGAGGGAACCCACGAAGTCGCAAGGTATTCGTACGCAGCAACAAGGGAAGCTCAGGAGCACAAGATCACACTTTTCAAAGACTATGTGGATGTTTCTAGCAATACACATTCCGCCACTAAGACCGTGTCCTTGGGCCCTGGTCAGAAAGTTGTGTGCATTTCCCCCATTGCTGCGCCAGTCGATCATCAATCGCTAAATGAAGAGCTTCTCGTCGTACGGGAAGACGGCAGCATCGCCTGCCTTGATACCGAGACTCTGCAAACTAGATGGACCTCATCACCTGTAGTTTTGCATCAAGATCTTCCAGGAGCTTCAAAATCAGATTTCAAAATCGACTTTTGTTCTCCTGTGTTACTATCCGAGTTCATTCAAGGTGTATTCAAGGGCAATGACGCTGCTCTTGGTCTCTTTCCAGAGATCCATCAGGGTACCAATACGGATACCGAAATTCTAGTACTTGTATCCAGCCATATCTTGAATGGACAGCGCAACCGGCATCTCCATGTTGTAGCTGGACAGCATGCGCCCCATGGGTCAACAATGCGCCACCAGCAAGGCATTGTACAAATTCATGCTATACCCATTCCTTCGTTGGCGCCAGATGACTCCAGCTCGACCTCGTTTCGGCTTGATCTTCGGTCTGGAAACCTGCTCGAATTGCATGGTCAAACATTTAATATGTATGATTTAACTGCAAGCCTCCCCAAAGTCACTTCCACTATGGAACTTGATGGAACAACATCCTTCCTGCGCCTGAGCAAGACATCACTACTCTGCTCTACACCTACCCATTTAAGCATCTACAATCCAGTCTATCGGTCTCTTCAGAATTCCTCCTCTATCAACCTCGACGGCCAGACAGTGCCAAACACTGGCACTAACTTCGCAGCCTGTCTACTTGTTGCATACTTCTCCCGCCTGGAACTTGCAGTGGCAATTGTCGGCTCTAGCTTAGTCGCTATTCAGCTAGAAGCCCCAGTCTTACGGACAAGAAAACGGCGCGCCGAGGGCTTGCTTATTGACTCAATCGGGCGTGGCGTACAGTTCACCAAGAAGCCTTTGCTTCATGCCCCTAGCAAGGCTATAAACACGTCAATATTTTCCAATTACCTCCCAGGTTCTATTAGAGGTGACTATTGGCAATCATGGACCACAGACGAGGCTAAGGCCGATGCTCTTCTCAACACAAATGATATCCGTGGGCTTGAGCTTCTCTTAGCCGAGAAGTTTGGCATTCAAGTCCAAGACGATCCTCACACCCCGGATGGTGCAGTTAATGAGGAACCAACCCCCGCGAAGGCCTATCCAACTTGGGTATGGCCGAAGACTAGGGCAGGATATCCGCCTGCAGATAGAAGATGGATTTTATATGCTATTAGTCGGGCTTTCCAGTGGAACGATATCTTTCCTGATGACTCGACTATCCCACGACTGATATGTCAGCTCCCACAGAGCGACGTCATTAACTATCTCGTGGACGCTGGTCACTTGACCCTATCCAATGTGAGGACCGCTTTCCGAGACCAACTTCAGGACACCGAAAAGGGAGATGCATTTTTAGCTGAACAAATTGTGCTCCGGCTTGCGGATGTTGACCCTTCTTTGGAACTCCTGGTCGCCTACATATCAGCCACTAGCCTTGGAGCCCCAGAGCTGCTCATCGCTATTCGGACAATCATGCGAAGTCTTGAGCTAGTGCAGGACCCGAAGAAGCCTCCACCGAAGTTGCTAACTAACGGTTCGACTGAGGAGGTGGCGGTGAATGGGGATGGAGATTCAGAGATAGAGGTTGAAAACATTGGCATGGAGTTGGATGACCTTGAAGATGAGATCCAGAAAACGGTGTCTTACTTGAATGAGGATGCAGGTGTCCGCGGAAATGGGTTGAGCGTGTCATTTGCTAAGCTTGGTAGCTGTCCTGGCATCTCGATGATTAAAGCGTTACGAGCTACATTCAAGCCAGAAGAGATATTGTCTCTCATCTACCTTCTCCGTGTGGAGCTGGTCAGAGGTGCTTGGACATCTCGCTACTTGGATACTACCGATTTTGAAAAGGATTCAACCCTTGATGCACCCCCTGATGGTATCATCAAGCTGCTCGCAGATTTGCTTGGGCGCTGCGTGGACTCCATCGGGCCTGGTGGTTGGCTCCTCAACGATGCGGTACTAGGGGGTGATGACACAGGTGACTTCATCTCGTCGCTCAAGCTCGAAGTTAGTGCCGCCTTGGAAGGATTGGAAGACGCCGCGTATCTCCGTGGCATCATTGGCGAAGCAGTGAAGTATTGCGAAAAGGTACAGAAAACGAGTGGCCACGATAATGTGGTAGTGGATACCATGAAGCCAATCTTACTGCATGTAAAGGAGCCTGGTGCGCAAGTGTTGCCACTTGGGCTCAAGACGAAGGAGCGCATTACATCTCATAAAGTTGGGTCGGGTGGTGAGATTGTCGACCGATCTCAGCGAGAGCAAGGACATCTCAGAAGTCAGCAGGTCGGGCCGTATTCGTTGGAGAGGATTGCGATATGAGATTTTACATTGTATCTACCCAATGCTTAGGTCTATTTACTGAGTACCTACACGCCTTTAAGGCTGTCGCAAATCAAAAAGGGTGTGATTCATCCCTTAATATTCATCGCAATTTTTACTTTAAGGCTGTGTTGCTTCCTGCCGACATAATCTAATAGCATTTTACAGAAATACCTCGTAATCAATATACATGGTTTAGGCATGCCTAAGCCTTATGCGTATAGCAAACTGTCAAGGAGGCAGGAGGGCCAACGCTTTTGAAGCTAAGAAAAAGGTGGCTAAAATTAGCTATCACACTCCACACATAATCTACACTTATGTAGGTAGATAAGTTGTACTAATTGAATGCCAACGTACATTTCAATAAACCACTGCAAATCTAACTCCATCTAACTAAATGCTTCCCAAGTCCTTAACGTGATAGAACCGATAACTATATACAGTATACACAGTACGGGGTTATTGCTAGTCTTCAATATACCTAGTACTGTGCATCAAAGCAGAACTCAGGGGCGTCTTCTCATTATAAGCAAGATAACTAAGTACCTAGGGAGTCAGATAGATAGATAGATAGCCAGGTGCTTTCATAGTAATTATTTTTCTTCCTTCCAAGGTTCATCTTCCCAAGCTTTTACATATTCCCAATAGGTTTCCGTCTCTGGATTCATCTCTAGATTCATACTGACTCACAGCAATAACCTTGTGAACACCGCCACCAAGATACCCCCTAAGAGTGTGTAGTTCGGCGGAACCCTGGATGAGCTCCCGTTCCGCGATGTGACCGTTGTTGTAGTTGTGCGGGGAGCTGAAGTAGATGCGGTCTGGGGCTCTGTGATTAGTCATCCACGTCTAGAATTCAGGGGCTTGGCTTGAGAGGAAGGGGGGGGGGGGGTTGTTTATCTTACAGAAGTGCTTGGATCTCTGGTGATAGTAATCGTAGCCTGCACTGTATTCGTATCTGCCGAAGCAGTCCGCGTCGCTCTAGCACCGCTCCTCGATGAGACCACGCCGCCTGTGGAGTCAATCACAACGGTACTCACCGACCCTGATTGGGTGAATGTGAATGTTCGGCCATTGAATGTGCTTGCGCTTGATGCGGCCTGCGTGACCGTAATGGTGCTCGTAACTGGACTCGTAACTGGACTCGTAACTGGACTCGTAACTGTACCTGTAACTGTACCTGTAACTGTACCAGTAACTGTACCAGCAACTGTGCCTATGACTGTGCCTGTTCCTGTGCCTGTGCCTGTAACTGTGGCAGCAGATACTTCGTCGCTGGTACTGCCAGTACTGCCAGTACTGCCTGTACTGCCTGTGCTTCTAGTTGCGCTTGCGCTTGCCGCAGTTGCGGTACCTTCTATGGTCACAGTGCCCGTCGACGTAGACGTAACAGCAAAAGTAGACGTGAATGTACTCGTCAACGTCGAGGTGAACGTGCTTGTTCCTTGCCCAGATCCACTCAAAGTATTCGTCCTTGTAATAGTTGAGGTGACCGTTGAGACCGTCGGGTTAACAGTGGCTGTTATAAGGGTATTGGTCCCACTACTACTGCTACTACCACTATTCCCTAGGCTGTTTGTTCTTGTCCTTGTGATAGTGGATGTGAAAGTCGTCCCAGGGCTGGTATAAGTACTTGTAATTGTTGATGTGTAGGTCCTAGTGGCAGGTACACTGACCGTATCCACACCTGTACCCGTCCTTGTGAATGTGGACGTAACTGTACTTCCAGAATTCGTGTATGTGCTCGTGACAGTTGCCGTGACAGTATATGTAACGGTTTGTGAACTACCTATACTATTTGTTCCTGTCCTTGTGAACGTAGACGTAAGGGTTGTTCCTGCAGTTACGTAAGTTGATGTGTAGGTAGATGTGTAAGTACTTAACCCTGTACTTGGCGTTGAAACTGTCGAAGTCGATATAGCCCCTGAGCTTGTAGGAGTTGAAGTCAAGGTTTCAGTGATTGTTGATGTATATGTCGTGAGGCGGAGGCTAGTACCCGTGCTTCCGTAGGTAGATGTGTATGTTGATGTGTATGTACTGACAGGTCCTGCTATAGTACTAGTGTAGGTTGATGTATATGTACTAGCAGGTCCTGTTATAGTACTGGTATAGGTTGATGTGTATGTACTGATAAGTTCTGTTATAGTATTGGTGTAAGTTGATGTATATGTACTGACGAGTCCTGATATGATATTTGTGTAAGTAGACGTATATGTACTGACAGGTCCTGCTATAGTACTGGTGTAAGTTGATGTATATGTACTGGCAGGTCCTGTTATGGTACTGGTATAGGTTGATGTGTATGGCAATGTACTAGAAGACAAGATTGTACTAGAAGGCAAAATTGTACTAGAAGGCAAAATTGTACTCGAAGGGAAGATTGTACTAGAAGGCAATATTGAACTGGTAGAATAATAAGACGAAGTGTAATACGACGTAGTGTAATATATCGATGTGTAATACGTCGTTGTGTAATATGTCGATGTGTAGTACGTCGAAGTGTAATATGACGAGGTATAGTACGATGTGGTATAATACGATGTGGTATAATACGATGTGGTATAATACGATGTAGTGTAGTACGACGAGGTATAGTACGACGACGAGGTATAATACGACGAGGTATATGATGGAATTGAATTAGTGATGGTTTTGGTGACTGAGGAGTGGCTCATGTCAGTGTTAGTAAAACTTGAAGAGTACGGAGTCGTACCAGTAGCAGTGATTACTGACCCATATGATCCGCTATTTCCGCCGTTGTAGTAACTCGAAGATACGCTTGACCATGAGGGGGTGGCTGTCTAAATCAGTATATCGTTAGCTAAAACACTATTCGAATTGGGCAACGAGAGAAGGCTTACCTCTGTGTACCACGAAGTGTTAATCACTGTCTCTGTCACTGTATATGTAACCTCCTATTGATATCGGACATTAGTCAAGGCTCGAGATTCACAAACAAACTCGTAGGGCTAGGTGGCTATGGGCATGTAGTTAAAGCACGGATAAGTTGCTGGGAACTTACTACTGTTGCAGTAGCCGTCATGGTCTCTGGCAAATATGTGCTGCCCCATGTGCTGCCGTATGTACTGCCGTATGTGCTGCCGTATGTGCTGCCATATGTGCTGCTGTATGTATTTCCATATGTATTGCCATATGTGCTGTAATATGAGCTTGTGGTGTAGCTGCTGTGTTCTCCTACGTTCTGGTCCTAATATAACATTTTAATCAGTATTGCTTCATGGAAGATATATACATAATTATTTTTGCGATGTGAATATGAGAATAAGATAGAAATATTAAACACAAAATCCACTTCGAGATCATCAGGTTCTGGTTGACTTACAATGCAATTACTAAAGCCAAAAGCGGTAGATCCCTGGTTGAGGAAGCTGGCGATTCCCGAATCCAAAGGGTGCAAAATATTGAAACCGCGTCCTTCAAGCGAACGACCTCCGCGACGCGAGCCTGTCTTGATACGGTCAAACATAACTCGCGAAGAGCTTTGTATATTGTTGAAAGCACCCTCAATAACACGGCATGCGCAAAGCTGTGCTATGATAGCTTTTCTTGCTATAAGTTGTGTAACTAAAGTGCCAATGGACCGCTGGAGGGGTTGAATTGCTACTTTTAGTGACTGGAGATCCCCGGTATTGAGCGACCCGGCTGCATTGATAGCAGTAGAGGCTGTTTTTATAGATGTTGACAATGACTGTAGCGTCGAGTCGAGGTGGTCGATGGTGCCCCCAGCCCTTATACTTCGTACCGCGCGATTCACCGCATTGACCTGTTGATTGGAAAACTGTATAGAATCCACGATGGAAGCGATTCCTTGGGAGTTAGCAGAATTGTCCTGCCAATTTTGCCCCTGCTGCCCCTGCTGCCCCCATTGGCCCTGTTGATTTTGTTGATTTTGCTGACTCTGCTGTCCTTGCTGTCCTTGCTGCCATTGTTGACCCTGCTGGTATGAACCAAGGGATCCAGGACCGTTGTTTCCGTCTTGCTGGTAGTTTTTATTATTGTTTCCATAATCAGACTGGCCATTAGGAGCCACCCCATTACGATTGGAACTGCCGATGGGGTTGCCGTTAACACCACCTCTTCCAAACCCATTCACTCCTCCTCCTAGGCGAGCTGCCAGTATAGCTACAGTATGGATAACGATAGGAATTAAAGACAGTTTGCTGGATAACTTCATGATGTCTGACTTCCTAGATTCAGAGCCAGGAAGGGAATTATGAAGGGAAGAACTGGGCTCTTGTTGACTTTGACATGAGGCCTTGAGATTATCGGACCGCCAATATGTGATGAGTTATGGTAATCAGGTAGGAAAAGTGTACGAGAGGGTCCGCCGTGCTGGTCTTTGGTTCTTAAAACACCTATAAGGTCGATAAGGCACCACACCTTATTGTTTAATATAAGGAATGCCATTATTAACTCAACCGATAGAGACTTGAAACAATACCGTAAATGTAAAAGGGGAATTGGATGGGCTGCATAATGTAGAGCCTACAGCATCGATCCCAGCCTTGGCGATGTGTTGCACCCAAAATGAAGGCTATAAAGGGGGGAGGGATACGAATACAATGGGTAGAGGGGTCAAAAGGTTCCCAATATCACTTATAATCCACCGATTGGTCCATGTCGGCTATTGATGGAGGATGACGATGAGATCTATGGATGTCTTTCATCTAAATAAAAGTTAGCTAACAGGAAAGGTTGATGTCACACCAATCGACCTCGTGGCATCATTTAAGGATGGGTAGGATGTCAAAGCACCGAGACGTTGGGTAGAATTTACCAGCGAACACTAGTCAAAGTGTATTTTATCATATAGAGCTATATGTTATCCTCTCTTTAGGGTGTATGTAATATGAGCGACGTTTCATCTTGAGTGTATTTCTCTTAAGAAGGAGAGATAGGGGCTTGGCACATATTGTACCGAGCATGGCTTCTACGTGTCCTACACAGACTAGCTGTGTCTAGCCTATGTTTGCCACGAGTTCCAGGTCACCCCTATACGGATAGTCAGGAGGGTACAATCAAAATCGGCTCCGCTAGTTGAATGGCCAACATCACACCTCGGCGAACGGTTGAAACAAGTACCGCGCGTATGAATCTGGTTGATATATGACATACCCCTTGTGTATTATTTTTATTACTTTAGGTGATGATATTAGAGATCAATACATACTTGCTGTATTTGAAGGTTATGTGCTGGAAACTCTGAATGATGCTCAGTCGGGTTGGAAGAGCTAGCATATCTAAGATGAAAATCTATCTAAATAATTTAGCACTGGGTCCGTCAGGGAAATGCTTTTTACGGTGAGCTATGAGCTATGAGATAACTCACAGGCACGTTCTTATTCTCCACTTGTCTTAATCAAAGTTAAGGGCTGGAGGCTAATTCTGGCGTACAACTCACTTGGAATATTTATATGGAATGCTAAAAAGGGGTTGTTCTACCTTGGTGGTTAAATAGTCACAATATCTCCGTATATCCTCTTTACTGCCAATAATCTATGAGCCTTTGTCAGCGTAGGTAAGTTTGTGGTTGTCATTCCTGTAGAGCGATTTAACCTATATTCTTCAGGCAGCTTGAATCTACGGTATGTGTCCTCGTTAACAGGGTAGACTGGGGCATTTAATGCAACTAGGTTGTACTATTTGACTAATTCCATATGACATGGATAGTATTGATGACTCTGCTCTAGTTACGAGCACAATTAATCGATGATACTAACTATGAAGTTCGAACTGAGTGTGAGAACGAAGCAACTACCTAAGTAGAGATGTCACACGCGAAAAGAAAACATCCTACAAGTATGCCGCCATAACGCCCTAGGCAATGAATAAGAAAGCTCATGCTTTTCGATCCCACTTAAATACCAGGGATGTTACCCAGGCAAACACAAGAACCAACTCCCTTACTCCTCACATTATCGTGGCCACTGAAGCCTGTAGGTACTGTATCATAACTCAAATGGCTCAAATCAGCCAACAGACTCTGTAACCCAATCTGTATCATCTAATACGTACTCGTAGAGGACGTAAGTTGACAATTCATACTCATCAACTTCCCTCTCACGGTGCGACATATCCCACGCCTCGAGCGATTCAGTGTCAACCGACTCAACAAGCTCACCCAATAGCTCGCCGCGACACAGAGAAAGAACGCGGTTCCCCATACCTTCGTCCAGGTCATCGAGGAAACCTCGGAGCTTTTCCTTGAAGAATCGCTCTCGGAGGAGGAGGAACTCGTGCGGGGCGGCTGCGACAACCTCGTCCTCGAAGAGGCGTTCAAACCAGTCGCGGCAGGCGCGCTCCTCTGCGAATCGTCGGATCTTGGGTCTGTGCATATCGACTAAGTCCTCTTCTGACAATTGGCACTGGTCCTCCATCGATTGGCGCTGGAACGGCTGGGGTTGGCTGACGATCTCGCGGACTCGGGTGCCGAGGTAATCGGCATAGGGGACGACGATTTCGGGGAATCCGAACTGCGCGCCGGCGAGGTCGATCACCCATCGCTCGCGGTTGCTGGTGAACTTAACGCCGAGGACTGCGTGGACGGGTGGCACTCGGCGTGGGTCATCGCCATATACCTGCACTTTGATGGCCGGGTACACCGTCACGTCCATCGAGTATATTCGTATGGCGGCCAATCCTATTGGGATGTCATGTTAGTTAATCAATCAACGATAGACTAAACCTACAGTCAGGAATAATTTTGCCTTACCCTCGAGAATACGGCCGATAAAATGGCCAAAAGTGTTGGCGGCGAAGTCACATTGGTACTTCATCAAGACGGCATCTCTAATATTGGTGTCTCTGACCAAATGTTCGGGAAACGCCGCGTTGTTCACGTGCTTGTAGGCGATATCGTAGTTCTTGACAATCGTGATAACATCATCGTTGTGATCGATGCGCTTCAGGGGCAAGTTGTACGTGCGAGTTCGATAAGTTGTCAAAGCGGCCTTCATCACCGTAGCGGCTCGTATGAGTGTCTTTCGGGCCTTTAGATGGTCACATTTGGCCTCGTGAGTTGGCCGATTGTACTCCTGGCAAACTGCATCGCAATAGTAGGTCTTCTTGGCATCATCTGGGTGCATCTCCGGGGCTTCATCGCAATGCTCACAGACTCTAGTGGCATTTTTGCCACAGTAAGCACACGGGAAACCTACAGTGGTAGCCATGGCTAGATAATGAAGTATGAGCGGGTGTTGGTGGAAATAAGAGATTTAAACATTGCGTCCTATCTCCCCAGTGAGCTTGTTTGTGAAGTCTTCAGGTTGGGGAAACGAGTTATGAGTCCATCAACATTTACTTCTTATCAACCAAATAAGCCATGTGCTGATTGAAGAAAAATCAGTGCCTAATAGGGTCTATTTTTTTCTAACTAAAGTACCTTTGTACGTGCTACCATGAATATCGGTGATTCAGTGATCACTTTAGCATGATCTTTCGACTCCTTTAGGTGATCTCCATGGTCCCCGTCGTGTGAAGGCCCTCACCAGTCCCTATACGGAGAATCAGTAGTACTACTTACTAGAGGTCGCTATTGAGCTAAGCCAATTTTAGATATAAATCAACATATTTATTTCTGTATTTTTGCATTTCGAGAAGTGCCTTGTAGTATTTTACACCTAATGTTATATAATCCTCGAGGTACTTTCAAAATACAGACCAAATATACAATCCTAAAGAGGGTTAACATTTAAACCCTTTCTACACAAATCTGGAATAGCCTGTTATTATTATGACTTTTAGAGAAACCTCACCTTCAAACTCCGTATAAGAATCAGGGGCTTTTATCCACCTACAAATAGGGGTCGATGACTAAGATTTGGGGCTTTCACATCTCTAAGAGTCAACTATCAAAACTCCTATCTAGTAGTTACTAGGTACCTGACTACTTAATTTGTAATTATTTATCACTTACTTCATTTACACCTCTCATCACGATGTGTTGAAGTCAAACTGATTTGTCGGAGGGGCTAGTATTAGGCACCTCCGCACTAATTTGTAAGACTAAGGATCAAGATAATCAACCCCTTTTTAGCAACTCCGCCCCTTTACTTTCAGGACTATTTTCAGCAGCAAGGAACTGACTTCATATGATGATCTTCTAAAAACAATTGCGCCATACGTAAATTCTACAATATCCCAATTTCAAGATCAATTCCTTGCTTATTACTTAGTAGACGTGTAGTTAACGAACAGGGCAACCCCGATACCAGGAACCGAGGGGCCGTCGGTTCATCATCGGGAGATGCCCCGGACATAGCCTGATCCCCAAGCTAGAAATGACTATATAAACCAACGCAAGCCCGTTGTAGTTGGAGATGTAAGGCTCTCGAGTATACAAAGAAACACATGCAAACCTTGACCTCAAATCTTGATAATATTTTTCGAAGCATCTCCAATCATGGCAGCATTTACCCTCGAAGCAGCACCGGGCACCGACATATGGCGGAAGCCTCCGACCACAGACGTATGGAACGGTAACACCATGCCCTCCCCTCCCCTCCCAAGGACACTTAGCTAATACTTATCCCCTAGCACCAATCTCACGCACTTCGTCGGGCCCGCTCAAAAAGTTCCAATCCGCGCGCGCAACCTTCTGGGCCGACTGGTCCGAGCGATACGACCAAGCCGGACTTCTCCTCGTGCCCAAACCCTCCTCCGCATCTGCGGTCTTCCCGCCAGCTAAGTGGATCAAAACCGGCCTGGAGTTCTACCTCGGCAAGCCGCACCTGAGCACCGTCGGCTGCGACCGCTTCGCGGACTGGAGCGTCGGGCCCTTATCCCTATCCGAGGGCGAAAGGCCGCCGGCGGATGAGGGGGTGGGCGGTGTCACGATCGAGGTTGTGCGCGAGGGCGACGAGCACGGGAGGAGCTTCTGGGTGTATCGGTTAGTTCTTGATGCGGAGGGTGGTGTTGTGGAGAGGATTCCGCTGCGGGAGATTTGCTGGGTGCTTGCGGAGGAGGAAGATGGGGAGGGGGAGGAGTGGGTGCTGGATGTGAGTCCGCTGGTGGCGCGGCCGGAGAAGAGTGCGACCGAGGCGCTCAAGGTTGCTTTTAAGAGCTTTGAGGTTCATTGGCAGTCTTGAGAAGGACTAGGCCGAGTCGATTCCCCCTTTTGGGTCCCTTTTTATGAGAGAATAGAAATACGAATTGACAATACCTTACGTACATATCCACACAAGATGTCAGTTTCGTGCATCTACTACATATGTACGTAGTAGTAACCTATGTACCTAGGTAAGTGTTACGGAAGAAGCCGAAGCAGTGGGTGAACGGCACGGCCGCGTGGGACGATCAGGGAATCCCTTGCAATGGCGAACTCTATCATGTGATCTCATGCATAGTACCTCACCCTACCTACCCAGTAGGAGGAGGTACGTTACTATATGATTTCGTTTCGTTCAAGATCAAAATTGATAGTACCTTATGTAACCATACCTTACATACAACTTATTTCGGGGAGCATACATGTAAATCATGCTATTATACTACTTAGTAGTACTTGCACTGTAGCAACCATTAATGTGGTCAGTGCTTTCTCTTGCTTGCTATGGTTGTTCTGTCGTCATTACGTTGTCATTACATTGTCATCTCAGGCTACCAAAACAGTCATACCTACATACCTACTACTTACCTAGTAGTATGTAGTAAGATCTCGAAAATTCCACGGCCGCCCATTTGCAATAATAATGCAGCAGCAACACCCAAGAAGGTATCCACCGATTCTCCCATCAGGACCCCTCCCCACACCCGAGAGTGCTATTTCCCGACGGCAGAGACCTGGAGCCTGTGTTCATTGTAGAAAAAGCAAGACCAAGGTAACGTCTTTTGATCTTTTCCAACATCCCATTTCTACCTAGTGTACTTACGGAGTTTCCTTTCTGCTATCTTTACACTTCTCCTTACATAATTATTTATTCCTATTCTTATTATTCATGTTCTCATTATTCATGTTCTCATTATCCATCTTCTTCTAACCCAACTTGTAAAAGTGCGATGGGGTCCGACCCAAATGTTCGCATTGTGTAAAACGCGGAGTGGTGACGTGCATTTACCTCGATAAAATCAAGGCCGGCCCCGAAGTGATGGAGGTGCTTGAGCTTCTGAAATCGCTGCCCGAGGAACGTGCAATTGCCCTTCTGGGCGTATTTCGAGAAGGCGGAGACCTCATCACGGCCCTATCTGCCTTCAAAGAAAATATCTCAGAAGAAGCCGGGAGTGCCCTGGAGCAGAACCCCGCTACGGCGCGGAGTCCACTGGAGTCGGAGCTGATGGCCAGTAATGCAAAGACGTATCCACCTTTGCCGCCCATCAATTCATCCGTCTTGGCAAACAGCAATCTTCTCCGCCCCGTGCGGCCTTCCACAGATGCACATGCTAGGTAAGGTGGTCACTTAACCAATAAGCTGAACATTTTTGGCTTGAAAGTCTTCGCATTGACAAGGTCATTGATAGCGGCTCAATTCCCCCTATTGGCGCCAGTGCTGGCGCTGCGGGCAGACAGTTCCCGCTTCCGACAGGTTCTACCCACGAGGTCGAGTATTGCGATGAACGACTGCACGATCTTCAAGTAGCTTTTTGGACTGATGTTATGATCACGAATGACTTTGCCGCACGAATCATCTCCTTATATATCACGACAGATCATCCGCTTCTGGGCCTCTTCAGCCCGCGACTATTTATCACTGACCTCGTCAATCAACAGAATAGATTTTGCTCAAGGTTTCTTTTCCATGCTTTGATGTATTTGGGTTGTGTGAGTAAGATATGGGCCCCCATCATGATGAGCATTGCTAAGACTAATCTCAGCAAATGTATAGTGCCATTGATGGAAATGCAATGCAGCATGCCGCTCAATTCTATGAAGAAACTGAAATGCTTTGGGTGGAACAGCAGGACTCATACTTGACCATGGCTGGTGCAATATTACTCAGCCTTTCTCTCATAGGGAACAGTAGAGATCATTCGATTCTATTCTATGCAACACAAGCTATGGAGATGGGTAAACGCCTAGGACTCTTGAAAGCCGAGGAAGAAGCAGCGATTAGCCTTGATAAGAACATGTCAGAAGACGAATCGAAGGCATACTCCTATGCGGCGTGGGGGGTGTTCAATTGGAATGTGTAAGTGCAATAAATCGTCGTACATTGACCCAACGAACGCTCATGTAACAGACACATATCCCTATTTTACCGGCAGCCAGAATCCGAGAGCCCAGGCTCACTTCCTACGATACCCATTCCGAGGGAAATAGCTTCTGGTAAGGCGGCAGTTGGTTCATCTAGAGAATCTGTAGCGTATGAGAACCTATTAGAAGGAATCTTCCCAGCGGTATGTCAGTTTTGGCAGATTATCCACGGAGCTGAATGGATTTATAATCCGACTCATGATAGTCCGCCCGCCCGCTATAGGATGGCTCTTGCTGAGCACGTCTTCCGTGAACTACTCGCTTGGGTAGATGCCCTTCCATCTTCGCTACTTCGGACAGCGGGCGGCTCTCAGCAAGTGACTGTGCTCCAGTGAGTACCTCGTATCAATCAATGGCACATGTCTCGGCTCTTACTCATCAATCGCAGCATATGGCTTCATGCTGCCATTCTCGACATATTCCGACCTTTCATCGGACACCCGGAAGGCCAGAGGCCACGGCTGACGACATTCTCGGCCGCTGATAGTTCTCCGGATATGGTATATACAGCTTCGGTGAATCAGCTTAAGCACCTCATCGTCCAATATCGCAGCGAATCGATATCATCAACGTACTCGATACTTTGGCATACTGGGCTCCTTTATCTCGCTAATGCTATGCTGAAAAACACGACTGATCCAGAATGGCATCTTTATCTACTTCTCTGCATATATGGCTACGAGAGCCTTAGCCGTCCGTACAGAATCTCGGAGACGATTGTTCAGGGCATTCTGTCGATGACAATGCGAGAAAGCCACATGACTGGGACGGAGGCCAACCGAATAATCAACGAAATCCGGCAAGGAAGGCTAGAGAACGTTAAGAATGATATCGAGCACGAGATCCGCGCCAAGTTCATGGGTGACATGGAGTTGGCACTTGAGGACCCAGAAGCGGCTAGAGTGGAGAATCTTGCGGCTCAGTTTGACTACTTGGCGTTATTCCAAGATTTTCTTAACCAAGAGCAGATGGATATACCTCGGGATTCTTGATCTACATCTTCGTTGCATACAAGGTACTTATATATAAGTCAAGCGCTAGGAGTATATGTGTGTGTGAAGGTATAAGAAGGTATAAAAGTATCTAGTTATCGGCTTGAAGTTGTTTCGTGTATAGATAGGGGGATGCTAGGTAGAGAAGTAAACCTGCTAGCTGGTATAGTGAAGGTTTTAGGATTTTAAGAGAAAAGTTGATATGCAGATTATACGAAACCGCATACTTGTACTTTAACTACCTATTTCATGGTATCTGCACAATATCTTCGTTAGGTTGTGAAGAGTCTGAAGGCACATGGCAGCAGTTACATAGGTATCTACCACCTATCGTACTACCTAGTAGTGAGTCTAGTGACAAGTGTAGGGACCGAGGTACATGAATCCCTTGCATACTACTAGTAGTACATAGCCCCAGTCCCAACCAAATTTTAGCTCCCCTCAACTAACAGGGCAGCTGCAGGGGTAGCTCCCCAATTATCTAATCCCTTCAGCATTATTTTTATCCTACCTGGAACTTACCTGCTCTTCCCACGAAATCATAATATTTACACACACGCACACAAATCCACGAAATTTACAACTTTGAAAACCTCGCCCCGCCATTGAGCACGAACCGTTTGAAACTCTCAAGACAAAACCCAAACCAAGCAGCGAACCAACCACGATGGCCGATACCGCGAAACCCGCGAGGAAAGCCTCGCCCATCAAGACCGCCTATCTCATCCTATACAATGCGGCGTCCGCCATCCTGTGGTTCAGCGTCCTCGCCAATGTCATCAACGTCAACGTCTCGGCCGGCACCCCGAAGCCCGTATACCCGGCCATCGGCCAGTTCACCAAGTGGACGCAGACGCTGGCTGGCATGGAGGTTCTGCACTCGCTACTAGGTACCTTATCTACAATCCCACATACCTCTCCGTAACCACCTACCTAGATTAAGTGTCTAACCGACCTTAGGCGTCGTCCGCGCCCCCTTCATCACGACCTTCATGCAAGTATTCAGCCGGTACGCCATCGTCTGGGGAATAATCGACCTGTTCCCCTCCCTTGCGCTCGGTTTCCCCTCCAGCGGCGGGGGCGACTACTACTCGTCGGCCGCGTACTCGTCGATGCTGCTGGCGTGGGCGACGACCGAGGTGATCCGGTACACGTACTTCGCGCTGGCGCTGTCCTCGGGCGGCAACCCACCGTACGCGCTGCACTGGCTGCGGTACCACGCCTTCTTCGTGCTGTACCCCGTCGGCATCTCGAGCGAGGCGTACCTCATCTGGCGCGCGGTCGAGCCGGCAAAGGCGGGCGTGAGCCCACTGTACTCGACGGTGCTGTTTGGATATCTTGCGTTGGTGTATCCGCCTTGTAAGTTTGGACATGTCCCGTTGATTATTTTAATTTTACCTATTAGTTTGCGGTCCTTCGAAATGCAAAGAGTTAAGTGCTAATACCACGATGTTAATCATAGCGTCATACATCATGTACACACACATGATGAGCCAGAGGCGGAAGGTCATGAAAGCAGCCAAGACAGAGGGCAAGAAGACGCAATAGATGATATTGGTATAAATCTACTTATTTTTATATCATGATTGGCCAAAAGGGTTATGAGACCTCGAGTTACGAGACTCCTTGGGAAAACTATGTGTTTATGAATGAAATGCTATGCTATAAAAAAAATCATCAGAACCATCCCATATAGACAGCTATAGATAAAAATATGAATATCGTGTCTCGTGATAACCAAATACGCTATACGCTATACGCCTTCACCAATCTGCATCGGTTGTTTCTTGCCGTCCCTCTTGCCTGGAATTGGTCGACGAGAAGAATTAGTGCTGGCCCTTCTAGACAAGGCGGGCGAATGCGAATGAGAGCCAGCACTCGTACTAGCTCTCCTGGACAAGGCAGGTGAATGGGAGCCGGCACTGGTGCTAGCTCGTCTAGACACCGCAGGCGAATGCGAACGAGAGCCAGCCCGACTAGTACTGCTTTTGTACCATTCATTGTATGACCACTTCACGATCAAATTCTTCGCATCCTCCGATAACTTGCGGTAACCGGGATTCTCCTTTGGCTCGAACATAGCTGCGTACATATTAGTATCCACCATGTTATCATAAAGATAAAACGACAAAGGTAAAAGATGGCTTACCCATATGCGCCCCGATTTCGTCCCCGGTCTTATCGTTGATAGCCTCCTTCCACAATCCCGCCATCTGCTTTGATGGAAGGTTGCAAAAAGTTCTCTGGTCGCCCATCACCGTGCCCACCATACTGACCTGCTTCGATGCGGCTGCCTTCCCCAGCCGCGTGTACATGTTGGCGAACCCGATGCCGAGCTCCTTGTCCAGCCGCACCATTCTCGCCAAGCGCACGCGCATCTCCTCGCCACGTGCCAGGCATCCTACGAACTCCAGGTGCGAGCTGACCCACGTCCATCCCGACGAGAGCTGGTCCCGGTTCATATACGCCGCGGCGCCACCCGCTGCAAGAGCTCCCGCGGCCCCGGCCATCACTGCGATGCGACCCCAACCCCATCCACCCGTGCTCGCGCGCCTTTGACCTGGCTCTCCTCTCTTCTTAGGCTCCGGTGCCGGTAGCGCGGCGACCGGCTTGTTTCCATCTTTGCTACCAGATGCCTCGTTGTAGTTGCCCCAGAAGATATTCGACAGCCCGCTGAGCTGGGTCAAGGCCGCCGTGGCGTTGTTGTAATGACCCTCAGCACCGTGAGCCACCACGCCGGGCGATATTCCTAGGAACGGGGTATCGAAGGCGAGCACGCCTTGTATGTAGGGAAACATAAGCCCACTGGAGAGCGGCTCGCCGATGAGGACGGTGGTGCTAGAACGGGGGTCGTTGCTGGCATTCTGAACGGTGACCGGAACTTCGGCAGCGAGGGCTATGGCAGTCTCGGCAGCGACAATGCCACCCATGGAGTGTCCGATCAGGATGGTACGAACAGAAGGGTCGACAGTAGGTGAGGGTGTGCCGTTGGCAACTTCGATGTCAATGACTTTGTTCAGAAGCCAGTCGCGGAAGCGGGCCACGCACTCGTGTAAGTCGCCACGAGTTTCATACTGCGGGTACGTAACAGCGCGAACCGAGACATTTGGAAGGGCGGCACCGACGAGAGCTGCGAGGTGAAGAGCAAACTCGGACTTCTCACCGAAGGTATCCTCTCCGCCCTATTCCGTATAATACGTTAGTTATGGTTATGCGGTCAAAGGGGGCAAGACAAAGAAAGGTATTGTATATGATAAATGTAAAAAAAAAAAAAAAAAAAAAAAAAAAAACAAGAAACAAGGAAATGAAAATAAAACGTGTAATGCAACTCACCTTGAAGCCGTGAATAAAACATAGCAACAGTGTCTTCTTCATCTTGGATCCCCATCGAGAAAAAGACAGGAGAGGAAGAAATAAGATCGAAGTCTAAAAATCGGAAGACGATGAGAAGTACCTGCACTAAACAGTAGCTACTAAACAGGAGGGTTTGAAGCTAGACAGGGTAGATGAGTAGGGCTGCAGGTACTGTAGTGGCACGCTATGGCACGCTACCACCCCCCACTATCTTCCGTTTGGGACCTGTTTAGGTAGCTAGGTAGTAGCTGAGTAGTAGCTGGGTCGCTAAAATGACGTTGTCCAGGTGGTCATCCTACTCCAGACCGCCCGTGGGCGTACACTACTCCAGGACCTTAGAGTCCGGGGCCTCCTTCTTTAGGCTTCTTTTTAGGTGTTGGACCACAGGTGGTTCCACCCCAGGCCCTCCTAGGCCCTCTTATCCTGTAAGGTCCGCTAATCGTATCATCCCGTTTCCTTTTCCCCGTGTCCCGGTTCCCGTTTCCATCCATGATGCATCTTTTTTTTTTCTCTCCTCATGCATATCATGGATCACTTATCACTGTTACAATGTTACATTTGTCACCTGCTCAACATTTCCTGTCCTAATCTAGCCATGCATCATGTCCGTCTTTGGATTCATATTACACGTGGAATTGGAGCTCTCGGCCTGGCTCACGAATCAGAAATCTCCTTGGGACCTCCATTGATCTACAACGCGCTTCATTTGACAAGTCAATTCCGAAAGCTCGAACACGCTATTGCAGCACGGCGAACCCAACAAATAGGATGCATCACCGACGTGAGAAGCTTGCTGTCATGTGGTAGTAGGCCCAATGTTTGATAGCCACGACTCCGAGTTCCAACTTCCAACCGGTCCATCCATTTTTGCAAAATATCAATGGGGTTTTACTTCAAGGGGTATCGTGTATGTATGAATATTGAAACCCCATCATGAAATCCCATTCAGTCACGTTACTGCATCGATACTGCACAGAAAGCAACAACAATCAGAAGAAAAAAATGATTGGCATTGGGCTTGGCTGTCGTGGCGTGACTAAAGTTGATTTTCTTACCTAGTAGGTTGTCGCCAATCTCTGAACCAAATACTGACCGCTGTTGATCCCCTGGTATTTTCTATCATCTTCTGCGACGTAAGTGCCTGGAATGGCCTCGATGTAACTTTTGAAATTGGGGTTGCAAAAGTATCTAGGTAGGTAAGAAAAAGATCAGCATATTGAGGGCTCAAAGGGGCTGGAGATACATACGCGATGCTGTACCTGGCTGGATAGACATCACCATCACCGGACGGAGGCTCGACGACGCGATGGACAGTACTCTTGATGTTGTCGTTGCTCCATCTAGCTAGCAAGTCGCCAGCATTTACTACACAGGTATCTTCGATCGGCGTCGCGTCAATGAATGCCCCAGTTGGGCTCTGAACTTGCAACCCGCCCCGCGCATCCTGGAAGAGGAGAGTGATGGAGCCGTAGTCGCTGTGTGCACCAGCGCGTACCTGACCCGGGTTGATCGCAAAAACATCCTTTTTCACCTCAGGGTAGTGGAGGAGTCGCAGAGTGTTATCTCCGGCGTCTGTGTAGTTGTCGAACCATGTCTCGTCGATGCCCAAGCCGACAGCAATAGCGCGCATCACTTCCATGTGCAAATCCTTACACTTGGTATGGAAGTCGAGCATGATCTCCTTAAAACCCACTAGCTCACCCTCCTCCTCGGGCCAGTGGTTAGGGTGATCGGGTTCGCCTTCGCGACCAATTTCTAGACTTTCTTTCAGGTCTGGTACGGCATCCCTCAGCTTTTTAACGGCTTCCGGGTCAGTCAATGACGTAGTCTTCTCTCGGCCCGGGGCGGAATAGCCACGATTCGCCTGGGGCGTAGTCCAGCAATGAGACAACTTTGTCTCGTCAGGCAGACGGAAGTACTTGGCGGATGTCTCGAAGATGTGCTTGCGGTACTCAGACGTGATTGGTAGGCCCTTCAAGTAGATGAAGCCAGCCGTCTGGAAGCCATGGAGAATAGCATTTGCTGTCTCCCGTCTCTGTTCGGGATTCCCGTTCAGGAATTTAGAGAAGTCGATAAGCTAAGAATTACCAAGCTCAGTCATACGCTCCAAGCCACAACCACTATTATTTAGGTACTCCGGGGAACCTACCGGGATAACGAGTCCCTCGCTTCTCACTGCAGCAGCCTGCATGATGATGATTTCACAGCTAATAAAAGTAATAGATCGACAGAAATAGCTAATTAGGATTTGAAGAGTGACTAAAAGTCAGATTCAAATTCAGATTCAATCACTTGCGACGAACAAACAACTTGGAGGTTTGGTTGGTACTACTAGCGTAGATAGGTAAGTAAAGAAGAAGATTTGGAGAAGAAAGTTCCTTGTGCCGCAGAGATGGAGATTATAACCATTATCTACTACTAATAGTAGCATCGTGGGAAGATAAAGTTAACAGACACTTACATTTTGTGTAATTTGTGACTAATACTTACTCCTCTTGAGCTCCTCAAAGGCTCAAACGACTTCGGCCTTACTTATCTATGTATACTCTAGATTACCTTGCAGTTAAACATGATCGAGTAGCGCCACTACCAAGATAGCGCATTTCCCATTCCAATCGTGCTTACGATAAGCACCCCGAGAAGAGGGGGACATACCATTCTAGGGCATCATGAAGCAAGTGTGGGGTGAATGTATGGGTGCTCCCTACATACTATGCACATAGTAGGTAGTATTCATCCTACCTCACTCAGTACCTAGTTATAGGTTAGTAGGTATTCATCGATCTGATAGATTCCATCTACGACAATCAAGTCTATAGTATACTCTAGACCGTTAATCATTTTGTAGTTCTCCAATTGGAGATTACTTGACCTACCTAGGCTAGTAGTTACCTACATAATACCTACACACTAACCCAGCGTAACTTGGAAAGGACCTACTAATATTCCGGCTCCTCCTCTTTCTACCCCTACCTATTCGTCAACTACTTATAGACCAGCATATAAAACACCAATACCATTGGTGTATAACCCCAAACGACAAGCTGGCTAATCAACGCGGGAGCGCGGAGTGGCTCTTCAACATCGACACGATGGCCTCGCCAACCCATCATGTGGTAGATATCCATACGCACATGTACCCACCGGCGTACATCGAGCTCCTCGAATCCCGCAACAGCATACCCCTAATCCGGAAGTTCGCCGGTGCAGACGAGCCCCGCCTCATCATCTTACCCGCCGAGGCCGAATCTCTAGACAAGACCACCACAACCACCCCCAATGACCCAGCTTCGTCGACATCGTCATCACCCCATCTGCCAGGCCGCCCCGTGACCTCGCACTATTCGTCGCTAAAGCAAAAGCTGCATTTCATGGACACCCACCAGATCGACATCTCGGTGATCTCGCTCGCGAACCCGTGGCTCGACTTCATCCCCTCCGAGGACGCCGGCGAGACCGCCAAGTCCATCAACCAGGAGTTCTCGCATATGTGCGGCCAAGCTCCCGGGCGCCTCTTCTTCTTCGCCACCTTACCCCTCACCGCGCCGCCGGAAACCCTCCTCGCGGCCGTCGGCCACATCCGCAGCCTCAAGTACTGCCGGGGCGTCATCCTCGGCACCTCGGGGCTCGGCAAAGGCCTCGACGACCCCGCTCTCGTCCCCGTGTTCCGCGCGCTGGGCGCCAACAAGCTGACCGTCTTCCTGCACCCGCACTACGGGCTGCCGAGCGAGGTGTGGGGACCCCGCGCGACCGACGAGTACGGGCACGTGCTGCCGCTCGCCCTGGGGTTCCCGATGGAGACGACGATCGCGGTGGCGCGGATGTACCTGGCGGGCGTCTTCGAGCAGGCGCCGGAGCTGCGGCTGATCCTCGCGCACAGCGGGGGCACGCTGCCGTTCCTGGCGGGGCGCATCGAAAGCTGCGTCGTGCACGACGGGCAGCTCGTGCGCGAGGGGAAGGCCGGGCCCGGGTCCGGCCGGCGCACGCTGTGGCAGGTGCTGAAGGAGCAGATCTACCTCGACGCAGTCGTGTACTCGGAGGTGGGGCTCAAGGCGGCGGTGGAGGCGAGCGGGGTTGATAGGCTCATGTTCGGCACCGACCACCCGTTCTTCCCGCCGCTCGGCAGCGACGAGCAGGGCGAGTGGGAGAGCGTCACGTGGAATGCGGAGGCGGTGAGGAAGGCGCTGGGGGAGGGGAGCGAGGGCGCGAGGGCGGTGATGGGCGGGAATGCGTTTGAGATACTCCGGTTGCATGAGGAGGATGCTGCGGGTGCGGATGCAAAGGTCATATAACTAGGTAGGCATGTAGAAGGTTCTCCAACATCAACAACTACCACGTCACGGCTCCGTTTATTACACTATAGCCAGCCCCTTATACGTCCGTGGAGTTAATTCACCCACTGAATTCAAATGTTGTGGTGTGGCTTCACAGTATTAGGTCATTTATCTCTCAGATACCAGATCAACACGATGCGGGAAGCCTAGCTGTCTACCTTATCTAGTACTACATATTATGAGATAACACCGAAGACACAACATAGGATGCTGAGGGGTGTATGAGATATACGGTCTATTCACACCCGTCGCTGAATTTAACCAATTCATACACATAGCATGTATAATACAATACTTGCCTGGTACTATGTGTATGCCAATCCCTTCCTACTCTCCAAGCACCACCTGATCGGCGCCAAGTCATTGGGTTGAAACCCACGCCGAGGATCATGATATCGGGTGTAAGGGTGGCCGATCTTCGTTCACCGAGCAGCATGATTTGGAGAAGGAGGATCTTGGGAGACGGCGATTTGATAGATCAGCGAGCCTGCTTTCAAATGGCTCAAGCATACCCGAATGATATGATGGTCGCTGCTTGGATGAAGATGAAAATGTGGAAACTAAAGACAAGTTTGTTTTACGGCTACTGTAGCTCCAAGAGTCGGTCTCTTTACAGGATACCACGTGACAATATTACCTTTCGCGCTATGCCTATGTATAAGCCCCCCTTTCAAAAAGGCCTTATCAAAAAAGATTCCAATTCTGGCTTTTCCTCCTTCGTACGCTTCAACATTGTAGATTTATGTTACAAGCGTGTGTGTTAGCTCAGGGTACCCACGTGACCGGGTTCTCCCCCTATCACCCTCCGCACCCTCCGCACCCACTCCTTATCATGTAAGTAAGAAAAAACGATCGTATTCAACTCCTTGGCAAGAACCAAATAACCCTAACCTACAAACCCACATAACTAACAGTACCTACCTAACCTAAACGACGTTGCAGTTGTGATATAAAAAAAAAAAAAAAAAAAAAAAATAGCATGCCTAGTACATAGCCTTACTAATCTCATAACACCTTCTTCTTCTGATTCCACGCCGCGACCTGCGCACGCAAGTCCCACATCCAAAACGCCATCACAAGCGGCACGACCCACCCCATCAGCGTGTCGACGACCCAGCTGTTGCGCGGGGAGCCGCCGATGGCGCCCCAGCGCACCAGCTCGCCGAGCCACGACGTCGCGACGAAGTAGCGGCCCCTCTCGATCCCCGCGATGGCCGCGCGCGCGGCGTCGTCGGGGTCCTGCGGCGTCTCGGCGCCCTTGATCTGCGGGGGGGCGATGGTGCTGTGCGGCCTCGCCTCGTCGTAGCTGGCGGCGGCGGCGGCGGCGGGGTGCGGCAGCACGAGGTGCACGGCCATGGGGAGGTCGGGGTACAGGCGCGTCTCCATGGCGAGGGCGTCGGCGAGGGCGCGGAGCGCGAACCGGGAGGGCGCGTGGGGGGCGTGGCCGGCTGTGGCGACCAGGGTCGAGGTGATGGGGCCGGTGAAGATGATGTGCTTGGGGGGCGGCCGCGGGTCCGGGATCAGGTACCGCTTCTTCTCCTGCTCGGCGAGCAGCCAGGCGCGCATCATGGCGCGCGACAGCTCGGCCGAGCCGAAGTAGTTGACGTCCACTGCCGTGAGAAAGTTCTCGTGAGTCTCCTAGTACACATAGGAAGGTATATATATATATATATATATATATGCTAGACCAAAGCCGTTGCTACTTACTGTTATACCGCGCAGCCTTCATCGCCCCGTCATCCGTCCACAGCATCGGCGTCGCAATGCCAGCCAGACACCACACAATCTCGGGCGGCACCCCTCTGTTCCAGGCCGTCGCATCGGCCACCACGCCCTCCGCATAGTTGGGCTCGGCGACATCCGCCTCGATGGTGTGGAAGCGCTGCGTCCGGGGACACTTTGCCGCGGCCCGGAGCGCCTCTATGGCCTCCTCGAGCTTTATCGGGTTTCTCGAGACGATGATGACGTTGGCCCCTTTGCTCGAGAAGATGCGCGCTGCGCTGAAGCCGGTGCCTTCTGAACCTCCGGTTAGGAGAATGGTCTGTAAGAAGTCCAAGGTCAGTTTTGGTCTTTTCCTCGCCTATTAATTGCTGCTGCCCCTTACCCGGCCCTCAACGGGCATGTGGTTATGGTTAAACCAGTCCATTTGGATTTGAGGGTTTTTTTTTTCCCTTTTTTTTTTTTCTCGTTCGGAACGAGCTATAACTATAAGTAGCTAGAGGGAGGTTAAAACGCAGGGGTTAATGTGAGAAGCTAGAAAAATATCGTGAACTTTTTTCTCAGCACAAAATGGGCCTTTAGTTACAAGTTTCATCGGTTATTTAAAAAGCAGCGAGTGGAAAGAAAAAAAAATGAGAAGAATTGTTTCAACGTTTAGTCCTACCTACCTACCTACTCCATATGTATAACCTACCTACTTAGGCACGTACCTACATAAGTTGCCATGAACAACCGACTGCTGTTAACACCTTAGCCTAATACTCTTTTTATGGCCCCCTTTCAACCGGATGTTTGTACGCATCTGTCACCTACCCCCTTGGGGGAATTCCGCATGACCTGCCCAGGCGCCAATACCAGTATCGTAGCATGTCCTCTTTTAATATATATAGATAGACAGAAACTCTGCAGTACGACTCTCCGCGTCCGTAAATCATACCTACCTACCTACACACATAATGGGCTACCTATGCTTCCCCCCCGAGCGAGTTATAAGCGCAGGCGACGCTGTATGACCTACCTAACTACAATACAATACCCCAGATTCGCTCAACGCTCGCAGTCTACACCATCAGGGGCCTCCACATTGCCTGTTACGTCACCCTGCCCTTTGACGCCCTCTATCTTGACAACTTCCTTATTAATGCCGATGCCGGCCATGTCCGTGGAGATTTCAGAGTGCTAATCGCATCTCAGGGGTAAGTATGTACGCTAACCTAGACGCTTTCTAAGTAAATAGATAGATAAGAAGTAAATCGGTAACTAGGTATTGTACCTAGAATCTATGCATCTATCCCAGTATCCGCGCTTCCAGCTGCGCCGCCCTCCCTCTCAACGTCTAACCATTGACGCGGCGCTTATTATCACGGTCTTTATTTCTGCCCAACTAATTGAAAATAGTGTTATTCTTCAACGGAGACTTTCTTGAGAAATCAAACTCTTTTTTTATTATTTTTTTTTCAGAAAAAGAAAGATGGCCTTCCAAGGCATTATGCCAGACATCTTGGAATCATACCTAACTAATCCTCCCTCTCAGCCACCGTCTTCCGTGCGGTACGCTTGGCGAACGTGGTACCTGTGGCGACTTACACTGATCACTTTTACTACGCTTATAACTAGATCTCCGTGGAATTAGGTATGTAATATCTCGAAGCATCTGCATATCTACTCTACATTGGGCAACCCTGCCTGAGACGCCTCTGCACGAGACGCCTCTGCACGAGCCATCTCTGCACGGCAATTCAATTTTCGCTGTTTTAATATCGGCTTATAACCGGAACATACGCCGAAACGAGCAAGCGTTTCTATCACCCGTCGCGGTACGCCGGTGTTGTGAAGATATAAACCTATGGACATAGGTAAGGTCGTGCTTTGTCTAGGTGCGATGGCACCCAACATCAGGGAGGCGATCATGTAAGCCCTCGTCGGGTAGTTGCACGAGTCGTCGGATGTGTTGTACAGGGGCGCGTCGAACACATTGCGTCTCGGGGGACGAGCGTTTCTTTTGTTGTGGAGAACGGAGGTCAGAAAAGCGGCGAGCTTGGGCGATTTTACTTGTAGTCGGGGCCAAGCGTCTCGAAGAGCCCTGTCTATCCATTGGCGGGAGCGTGCGTCCCTTACGGCGGAATTTTCGTTGTTGATGTTGCTGTTGTCGTCGTCATCATCGTCGTCGGCGTCGGGGTTGGCGTCTGCGTCTAGCTGGCTAACACCCTGAGGAATGACGTCTGGTAGGTCAACACCCCGAGGATCAAACGCCTTGAAGGCGGGTTCGGTCACCAGGGCGAGGAGCTCATGGCGGAAAGCATTGGTGTCGGCCATCTCTTGTTTTTTTTCGCCGTCAATCTTGAATTCGATACCGGCTTCGCTCAGTCTCTCTCGTACGGCAGGATCATTTAGTATTCTACGCAGTGACTGCAGCCTTGACCCAGCCCAATGTCGGCCGCTTGGTGCACGCTCTAGGAGCCATGCTTTGAAGAATGTCTCGAATTTGTATCCGTATTTATACCCTTTTTTATCCCAAAATACCTTGGTATCACCGAGGATATCCGTGTCTGAATACCGCTTTTGGGTATTGTTATCTGGCTGCTGCGCCGTGTTGCTGTCTTCTGGCTGTTGTACAGTGTTGTGGTTGTTGTGGTTGTTGTTATAGTTGTCCTCTGCCTGCTGCGCTACGTTGGTGCTATTGTTGTCTTCTACCTGCTGCACTGTGCCGTTGTTGACTTCTGTCTGCTGCGCTGTGGTGTTGTTGGCTTCTGCCTGTTGCTTCGCCCCGAAATCCGATACAGTAGGTGGTGGTATTTCAAAAACGTCGGGGAGCTCAGAGGAGTCAGGCGATAGTGATGTTGTTGGACCCTGGGTTTGGGATAATTGAGGAAACTGGAGAGGTGGGTTTGATGGAGGGGTGGGCGCGGGCTGTTGAATATCCATGATTTTATAATTTTATAGTGTGGTGTTTTTAAAGAGCTCTTTTTAAATGTCAAGTAGCGCTGGAGGTGATAACTAAGTAGTTAAAAGTTATGTTCAGAGGAAATCCATAACCTGTACCTTAGTTAAGGCCTTAGACCAGTTAAATGTTTTGATTACCTACCCTAGCCTCTAGGCAGTTACAAAACTAATGTGGCTGGAAAGGCATGGTAGTGATGGCACCCTACCCCCTTGAGTGGCATAATTCAACGTTACCTAATCGATTAGTGGGGCTCTGACGTCTACCTAGTACCTATAGTCCGTTGCTATTGACTTTCTCACTTTCTCAACCGCAAACTATTTTTTATTTTTATTCCAGTTTTCCTCCATACCTTTTAGCTTCACCCGCGAACGAGAAAAAGGAGCATATACAGACACGATGGATAAATCCGACCTCCTGTTATACGCCAAGGAGTATGCCACAACGCAGGATCTCTACGAGCTTCTGGGCGTCACCTCCGACACGCCCAAAGAAGACATCCACCGCGCCTGGTAAGTTTCCATTCCAAAACCATTCCCACCCACCCATTCATCTTGCCATACCCCATACACTACAATGTACATCTACTAATCCCCCCCATCACAGGCGCAAACGCAGTCTAAAATACCACCCCGATAAAGCCGGCGCCAACTTCGACGCCTCGAAATGGGAGCTCTTCGAGCGCGCGCGGGACGTGCTCTCGGACGCGCCCGCCCGCGAGGTCTACGACTCGCAGCGCTCCGCCGCCCTCCTGCGCGAGCAGCAGCGGCGCGCCATGGACGCCAAGAAGCGCTCCATGGTCGAGGATCTCGAAGCCCGCGAGCGCGGCGGCGGCGACGCCAAGCGTCCGCGAAACGGTAACGGGCCAGCTACGAGCGAGGCGGAGAGGCAGCGGTTGGTCGAGGCGGGGAAGAGGCGCATGGAGGCGAGGCAGAAGCTGATGAGGGATGCGGAGATGAGGGAGAGGGAGAGGGAGAGGGAAAGGAAAAGGGAGCAAGCGAGGGTCCGGCTCCAGGAGGCCCTTGCTGCTAACGAAAATACGACTACTGCCCCTGCCCCTACCCCCACCCCCTCGAAGAAAACCCCGGACCACAAGAAGAACAGCGACAGTGATGCAAACGCAAAGCCGCCCGCCTCGACGAACCCTCAAGGCGATGATGACTACGAGAGACAGATCGCGGATATCGAGAGGCGGCTAGAGGAGGCGCGAGTGCGCAAAGCGGCAGCCAAAAAGGACAAGAAGAAAAAGAAAACTGGAAAGGACGACGGGCGAGAGGAGCCCCAGGCTACACATACCCCCGACACGGATAACCCTAACCCACGAATATCAGCCGAGGCGCCTCCTGCTATTCCTAAAGCTCCCGCGGCCGAGGCCCGGGCCCCCGGCAGCATGTCGTCGACATTAGCCCGACTCGTCGCGGCGCAGGCGGCCAAGGACGCGAGGAAAGCCGCGGAGGCTGCTGCCGCTGCCGCTGCCGCCGGCACCACGGTTGAATGACCCCTAGGTGTCTACCTGACTGCCTACCTACCTACGCAACCTATTCGATATGATGATACGTCTCTATCCGTCTTTTTTTTTCTTTGCTTTTTTGCGTTATGATACCCCAGCTTTCGGATAAATAGACATGAGTGTACAATGATATGTAGACTGACTACCTAGGTATATACTATGGTTAGGACAAAATAATAGGCTGTCCGCAGTTACGTGACAACTAACTACATGGATGGATGGAATAGATAAAAATGAAAGAGCATTTTATTTGCCGTTCTAAATTAGTTTGATTATATCTACCTAGGTGCCTTGCCTCCTCCCTACCTTTACCTAGGTACTAGGTAGGTATAGCAAGCATGAAGTTTAGTATCGTCTCAAGTCACTCATTGCCTTGAGTATCACGAGTACCTAGGTAGGTACCTAGTAAACTAAACACATCACGCAAGTCTGGTATGTAGTTGGATTGGAATTGGATACTATGTATTACTATGTATGCTTTTGATTCCCCCTTTTGCCCCCCTATACCTCAGCCATGCGATATCCCCTTGGCCGGAATCCGTCAAGTATTGTACAATACAGTATTAGGTAAGTACATGCTTGGACTACCTGATGCCATTAACGTAGAGCGGTGATGCAGCCATATATTCATACAGTCGTACAATCATACAGCCAGCCAGCAACGTGGTTCATTTCGTTCATTTCGATTCCTCTCCCCCTCCTGCACCTGCTCCTTTAACGCCCATCCGCGTCCTCTCCCTCAGCCACTCGGGCACAAACGCCTTGATCCTGACAGCCTGGGCGGCATTCTCCTTTTCTCCCCCCTCGCCCTTCACCAACCCCTCCCCATCTTCCGTTACTTCCCCATCTTCCCACATCAATATCTCCTGCTCCCGCTTGGTAGTCCACTTAACCACAAACTCATCCGCGTCCGGGTTGTACGGGGCGCCCGCCGTCTCGCAGGGCAACTCGAGGTCGGTCATGATCGGCAGGCGGCACATGGCGAGGCCGATGTTTCCGACGCCGCAGAGCCAGGTGCCGGCGCCGCGGCCCTTGGCGCCGCCGAGGCGGCCTATGCTTCGGTTCGGGGGGACGTCTTCGGCCGATAGCACTCCCCCTGTTTTACCCCCTTCTTGCAGCGCTTCGGTGCTGCCTTGCGCGTCTCCCTCATGCCCGATGTACGGCCTATACTCCAGCCTCTGGGGGATCCGCGCTCCTTGCTCCTCCTCCCCCTCCGCTGCTGGGTACAAGATGCAGGGTAGGATGCGCTTGCGCACGATGCCGCGGTGCTTGGTGCGGATGGTCAGCTCCTGGCCGACGTAGCAGCCCTTGCGGAAGTCGATGGCGCCCATGGCGTCCAGGTTGGCTTCGAGCGGGAGCGCGTGGCCGCCGAGGATCTCGGACTGGCCCTCGGGCACGCCGTGCAGGTACCGGCGCACGCGGTACGCGGTGTCGGAGGTCTGCTCGAGGTCCAGGTCTAGGCCGCTGCTGTCGCCTCGGGACCCGGGGCTTAGTACGCGGAAGCCCATGCCCGGGGCGCGGGTGTCGGGAAGAACGATGCTGCTCTTGAGGTGCGCGAAGCGCGGTAGTGCCAGTGATGGTTGCGTTGGTGTCGTCGTCTGTGTGAACGGCATATTGTGATTTTCACTACCATCCCACACCTGCCAGGTGGCGCACTCGTCCGGGTCCAGGATGCGGAAGTTGAATCTGCTCCGCAGCTTGTAGCGCTTGATATGCCGCGCCAACGTTTCGGCCTGAGTGGCATCTACTTCGATAATAAAGCTATCCCCACCATTTGCTGCCCCCGTTGCTGTTGCTGTTGCTGATGATACAGCGTCAGCTCCGCCCCCGAGCCCTAGCGTGTCCCGGTAGATGAACACATCATGTAGCACGCGCCCCTTCGCATTCAGAAACCCGCAGTAGAAACCTGGAAGATTCGCGCTGCTAGTGGTAGGCTTCGGCGCATTTTGTCGATGCCGCGCGCCGCCGCTAGTGCTGGGCTCGTCGACGACGGACTGCGTGACGATGCCCTGCAGGAACCTCGGGGCGTCGGGGCCAGCGATGCTTATCAAGCAACGAGAGGTCAGACGCGCGTAGGCAGATGGAGGAGGTGGTAGGAGCAGGGAGGATGAGGATGAAGGAAGCTGATGAGTAGTAGGTGTACCTGTGGTGCTGGTAGAAGCGTGTCGACGAAGAGCCGGGGTAGTAGAGATGTGCTGCAGGGATCTTCTCTGGCACGCACGGCATACGGAAGGGGAGGAAGGGGAGGAAGGGATGGGAAAGGGGCTTAGAGGGCGCACGGGGATGAGGACGGCACGGGTGCTGCGGGATAGGATTTGCATGGCGGAATTATGCGGCGCGATCTCGGATCCTTTGTGTTGAACAAGTTAGTTACCGAAGCTTGCGTCACATTAGTATTGGCCCTTGGGTCGGCTTTAAGTAACGCTCTATAATAGTTTGCCGTACAAACCGGAGGTGATGATGTAATTACGTTGTAGTTTCGGGACGTTGGTGTTTCTGTTTTTTATTTTTTATTTTTTATTTTTTATTTTTTTATTTATTTAACCCGCATTCGTTTAACCCGCATTCGCATTCGCCTCGCGCTAATGATTGAACCTTGAATATTCCTCGGGTCGGTATTGCTTCGGCATATGTACCTATGTATTAGGTACCTACCTAGTAGCCCTGAACTTTGGCGGATTACTTTAAAAGTCCGTCCGCCTTACACAATCTCACAATCCTTTGATCCTATCAACATCAATGTACCTACATACATACAGCCCTCTGTTTGCGTGTCAATTGACGTTGCAAGTTTCATGTGTGGAGTTGGCCCTAGACCTTAGGTTCGATGGCTTATACATTCTACATATATGTGCGTATTGTACCTTGTGGATCCGTTGGGCTGGCACATCTTCCTCCTTGTGACTGCCTTACACGCCTTACAGGCACATACTGCCACATAGGTCGGCCTAGACACTCAAGTTACTGTGACTTACATCCATACTATCTTAGGTATGCCTCTACCTAGGTATACTAAGCAAGTAATTCGTCGTCAACATCCCGCGACACCCGCCGGTTTTATGCCTATCTCATCTGTCTGTCTACATGTACCTCGGCACCGAGAGTACCAAACCTCTGCCTACCCAGGTTTGTCATTGACTCTACATACTACATAGTATGTGTATGTGTATGTAAGTGTCCGATGCGATGTGCGTACCTGGACCCCTGATTACGGTAAGGTCGTCCGTAGGGATGCCCCTACCTATCTTGGATACCTATCACCGACCGACCGTTGGTGTTACGGGAGTCCGGTCATTCGGGATTGCACCGTTTCGAATATCCTGCATATGTACAACATTTGTAGGTTACCTAAGGTAGGTAGGTATGTACGCGTTCGGTTCATATCGTTCTCGTGTAATGGCGATCCATCCCACTGACCGAGGCAATACTCGGCGAGCTCCCACAAAGTCGCCTACTTACTGTACATATGTACATATGTATGGAAGAAAGCATGGAGCGTTATACTCGTATTCCAAAAGCCACGAGATTGGAATTTCAAAGCCCGGTGCTCTTGTGCTACCATTATGCAACGTATCTATCTATCTATCTATGTAATATATTTGCACATAAAAGTCCCGAGTTTGGCTATTATATAGGAACAGCAGGGCCAATAAATATATACCTAGGTCAGGTAAGGTAAGGTTAGCCTGGTTAGGTATGCGTGATGTGGTTGATGTATGTTGCTTACGTCTTCCGATATCATCATACCTATATCGTAGGGGTAACAAGATGAACAACGTTAGATCATCACACATTGAAGTCCGTGTCTGAACCTCTTCTACCTGCATACGTAGGCATCTTGGGTAGGTAAGTAAGATAATCAATGAATCAATACATGTATGTATGTACCTATATATGCAGCCCGTATTTTACATACACTCAATCGCAACCACCTGGCACACACACGGCCGTCTTTGTTTGAACAGAACCAAAAAGAAAAACATACGACAGATGAATCAGCGTTCCCGCTCACACATATTTCTTTTCCCCGCCGCAACCTATGTACCTGCCTCTCTTCTTGCGTACTCTCCCGCATGTCCATCCCGCCAATTTGCAAGATCACACCGCTTCTCCGGCCAGGCTTTGAACCTTGGGGCGGGGCCATCCGTGTGGCTGCTCCTCAGCGAGCCCCTCCAGATTCTGGCGGTCGAGCGAGCGAACTGTTGTTACATAGCGTAAGCTAGTTCCGGCCGGTGGTCGGTCCCCAATCTTGATGCTACAATCTGTACCCTGGTGTAGTAGTTTGTATGTATGTATGTATTTTGCATGAGATGCATTTTATGATACATCAATGCATTTCCATGTTCTAGCCTATGTAAGTACTTATGTAACTATCATGCTGTCGTACATGCAAGTATGTTAAGTATGTAGCATCGACGACGACAAGATGACTAACTTGAACCTCCTCCCCTCTATCTGTCTATCCAAACTATGTAACCGGGCAAGCAATGCATCATCTAACCTAGCCCCAAGCACCTATCCGAGACTTATCCAAGCACTAACCATACCTACAGGTGTTCGTTACCTGCCTGTAATCGACAGGCCTCTTAGCCCACACACGTCACATTTCTTGGCTCTTCCCCGAGACCGATCGACCAAACCAAACCAACCACATTGGAAATGGGGTTAATTTGTCTACCTACGATACTTAGTTATTCGTACCTACAATCTACACTAACTACTTAGTAGCCATATATCTTCACCGAATGACTCTACATACTAACGAGACAGTGTTTCGAATTACCACCGCCTTACACACAGACTTCCAGCACCTACCAACCTACCTAGCTTAGTGTAAAAAGAGGTAAGGCAGCGATCTCATCGATCACGGGGAAAACAACCAGCCTCTCCCCCCCCCCCCCCCCCCCCTTCTTCTCCCCTCCCGCTCCCCCATCTATCTATTAATGATCTTCCCCCATCCCATTTGGGGGTTTTGCTGTTTCGTGTGTGCGTGCGCGTGCGCGTGTGTCTTGTCTCTGGTCTCTGGCGGGGTTTGGGGGTTTGGGGGGGGGGGATTTTTTTTTAAAATTAAAAATCTGCGCCTACGTGCATACCCATAAGTAGATCATGAGGCGCAAAAAAAAAAAAAAAAAGAATCAAAAAAAATCGAACATTTACATTTGATATACCTAGGTTAGGTTAGTTATGTAACCTAGGTATGTACCTATCTTTTTTGATGTCTGTCTGCTGACTCATGCCAATGTCGAAGACGTTAAGGGCTAAATACTGTATTATGGTCGCACCGGAAAGTGCTTTAACTATAGGACCAGCTATCTTATCTCCGAGGGGTATCATATAGTTAACTAGAGGGCATTCGCGTGTTAACTTAAAGCTATCCCAGCCTGCTCTCCTATTAAACGCTAAGTGCGGGGTGCGAGCTACATGTATGTACAATACCTAACCTCAGAAGGTACCCAAGCATGCCAATGGGCATGGATATCAGATTCCTCTAACAGCAGCGTACCTGGGCCAATGGTCTCGTTGGCCATGGAGCGAGCAGTGACATCAGCGCTGGCCCTTTTAAGCTTATGATCGTGTGTTTTAAACAATGCCCAACTGCTCGAAACATCTCTACACTATCAACAACTGTTGCAGCCCCATTGACATCGTTCGTGATGGATACCTACCTCTCTACGTACAATAACAATACAATAGGAATGCGTTCAGTGCTACTCGGGTAAGCATACTCAACTACGCGGTGGTGCCCCTATTTGGGCTGTTTTGTATAGTATTAGAGGCTTGTGTTACTGGCCCCCAAAGCCCCCAAGTCTTGGAGCTTGGAGCTTGGAGCTCTCTCTTAGACATTGATACCCAGGCAGATTTATGAGCAAAAATCTAGATCTCTTTGGATTTGAGACCGTCCATATGTAACTATTTGATTGAACTGCTTGTCTGTGCTGTGTGCCTAGGCACATGTGTGTATGTCTCTGCCCGTTCGTCTGTATGGTGTACATACATCATGTGTTCTTTTGACACAAGCAGCAAGCATGGACATGTGACGGCTCCTCAATGGATAGATGGTTCGCGAGGTAAAATAACGTGTACCCGGTTGTATTGTGCTAGACAGCCTACATGTGTATGTAGCTGGCTATTGGCATGTAGTTATTGTCAGTTTCAACGATTGATTATCGTATCCAATATCACATATGTTTAGCACACCGGATCTTTTCGTCACCACTTTCGTAGGCAGTTACCTGCGCAAAACACATCAGTGCAACCTAATCGCAATTAAAAGGCAATTGGGATTACACGAGATCGTATGTTGCAAGAAGCGGGATCAGCCTGCGACAATCATCAATATCACGGATCTATCGTGATCTGAAACGGGGATATCAAAGAATCCTCGGGGTTTGAAAAAAAAGAAAAAAAAAAGAAAAAAAAAGAAGCAACGATAAACTTCACGATCTTACCTTAGATACTTTAAGTGCCACCGCTACCAAGCCAATATATGTATCAATGCACACCTAATCAGTACTTACCTGTATCCAATGTCAATCAATCAACCAGTGTGGGCGGGAATAGGCAAAGACTCGCACCGCAGTTGCATACAAGTCTGACCAGTAAGCTTCGATGATGAAACCCAACAAAGACAACGGTAGCGACAGCCCATAACGCTCTCTGCTCTGACTGGTTCGTGACTGGCTATCTTGCTTAAGACTGGGGGGCGTCCCATCCGTGGAAAGGTTGGCTGGCGGTGGACAAGCGTTGAAAAAAGCTGACCGCAGAGAGAAAATATGGAGAGGTCAAGAGGGATCTCCAAGGCGTGGTGGCCGTGCGACCTGTCGTCTGTCTCCTCAAACCGGAGTATTATCTCAGCACTAGGTATCTAGTTATTCATCATCATCAATCGATCATTCAAATCATCATCCAAATTCGAGCTTCTCCGCTCGAATTTCCTTTTGTAGGGGGGAAGTTAGATGAAAGCATGTGCGTATCAACACGCAGACGAACAAATTCGAAATTGGCTGTTTTTGATTTTCGTCTGTAATTTGAAGGATACGATGGGATAGGTCAATTGGCGGCGAAGAGCTCAGCTGTACTATGCAGCAGTGCAGCTATGTGTATGTATGTACTATGTATGTTGTCAACTTGTAGATAGTTACATCCTCGCAGAATATTTACATACCTACATACCACTGTAGGTACATACATACCGGCTGGGGTTCATCCATGAAAGTATTCATGTACATTAGATTGTACATTAGATTGATGAAGCCATTTGCTGTCCCTAGCCAAGCTAGCCAAGATCCCACAGGTAAGCCAGATAGGGCTGTCCAGAACCCGAGTGCTGTCGACTCTGTTTCCGGATGCGAGGAGAGTGTATCCGTCAAAGACATTTCGAAATTGAGTACTTCGTAGGTAGATTGTTTTAACGAGCTTGGGTTAGTTAATAGAAGAGGGTCTTCACTTTTAGTGTTGTCGAAGCAACAGCTCCCCTTTGCCTCCAAGAAGCATTTAGTAGCACTACACATATTCCGTATTGCCTTTTGCATATTTGTCGTGTTCAATGTTGTACCTCATCATACCTCTCTACATGTATTATGATGATGTATGTGTACATCCACTTTGCGGAGAAAGAGCAAAAAAGAAAGACAAGAGCCAAAAAGCCAAAAAGCCAAAAAGCCAAAGAATATCCAAGGTGAGCGCTAAAGGCAAGTGCTCCCGCTCAGTCGGTATTACACGATCCGCATTCGAAGCCATGGCTTTGGAAAACTCAAAAGGAGATTTTTCTTTTTTCTTTTTTCCATGCTCATCTTAATGCTCGCCACAAGTGCCCATCCATTGCCTCGGAATTCACAAAAAACGAAATTAAAAATTGCAGGGTAAAAAAGAAAAAAAAAATACAAAAACTTTCACAATATCCACAACAGCTAGGTAATTAGCGGTAGACGGTAAACGAGATTGTGGGGAATTTTGTGTATGTGTGTCACAAGCTATGAAGCTGAACCCCTGGGATTAACTAGAGGTAGTTACCTGGTAGTTAGGTTCGAGGTTGGCAGGCGGGCGGCGGGCGGCGGGCGGTAGGGGTTTGTGTTTTTTACCGAGTCAATGATTGGACGGTGAACGGCGTTGCGTGCGCCCTTTCCGCCAGAAACCCAGACGGTTGGGACAAATTATTGCCCTCAGCTTTCTTTTCCTTTTTGTACATTTGTACATTGTAGTAGCCCCCCCTCCTCCCCCCGGTCTCCGCTAGCCTGGTTCTGATTAGCGGCGTCGGTACCTAGACCAAACCTTGTTCTTATCAATCCTTGTGGAGTGGATCTCAGATAATCACCCGACGAACCGACAATTGGGTCCTCTTTTTATTTTTCTTGATTCATTGTTGTATTGAACTTTCCTACTCTAACTACAACGTACCCTAGGTATGTAGCTACCTATTACCAGCCTGCTCTGGGGCACAAAATGCTGGTGGTTGTGGTGGACGTGGTGGACAGGATGCAGGTGTGACTGCTGGCCTTGTGAACAACTGGCAAGCAGACTCAACATCTTTTGCCAACCCTTGCCTGTGATAACTTGGAAGACAGGGGTAAGCTACAGACGAGTCTCAACTTCCAGGCAACTTCCAGCTGCTACTCAGGTACCTTTAGGGTTTAAGTTAATAGGCACTCTAACTATTTTGTCTTTTACTTTTTTATCCTCAACTGTCACGAATCACGATACACTCATTCCTTCGTAGGCGGCGTAAATCGGACATTGTGTGGCTTCTAACGCTATCGATTCTTCCTCCCTTACTTTCTTTCTCCGAAATGCTTAACAATCGAACAATTCAAGTGCGTCATGTTCCACCAGACCCTTTTTGTTTCAACTTGTCAGAACATTGAACTCTTCCACGTTCTCGCTTGCGAAGCCTTTACGTATACCATGATTTGCTAGCTAGGGTAGACTTCTAAAATGTGCTCAAGGGACTCAAGGGACTCAAAGGACTTTGTGTCCGGAGAACCGGGCCTACGGCGGGGTTTGTCATCTTTCCCAAAGGACTTCTTCATTCAGTTACAATACTATGCCTATTGTATTATAGTGCGGAATGGGAAGGAATGGTAAGGATCGGAATGGTACCTAGTAGGGTTTGCTCTTCATAGAAGTAGTTTGTAAGAAAGATCCGCTACCGCTTGACCCTCGGCATCGTGGGAATGATGATGAATCAAGCCTAGGTTTTCATTTTTTTTTATTTTTTTTTGGATTCTGGATTTTTCATTATGCTCTTTTTAACTGGCTATTACCGATATCGCGGCGCGACCACCCACGATGCGCTCTTTGTTTGTTATCTTGCCATTAAGCCGATATTTTTCTACCTCGCTAGTAGTATACGTAGCGTCTGTCACCAGACACACATGACTCAACGGCATCCCAAGTACATACGTTTGGATTGGTAAATTCAATGTTACTAATTATCTAGGTACGGCAACTAGATTTTAACTGGATGACATATTCAAAACTTGACCAATTCTCGGTGCGCGAATTGAGGTAAAAAATGCACAAGTTACTAACCTTAGGTAACTGTGTATTCAACTAGGTTACATAGATTACCCTAAATTGATTACTAAGGTATGCAGGACATTGTACATAGGCAACTCAAGATAATGCAAGTAACACGTTAAGACAAGTGAGTAATGCTAATTTGACTAATTATTTTTGATTTAATTTGATATGACTTTACTTGATTTGACAAGCTCTAACTGCATAAGCAGTTTTCAAGAGCTTTAGCTATGTACTTGAAATTCCGTGAGGCGAGACTTTCTCTCATATTCCACTCGACCTTTGGTAGTTGCAAACTCAGCGTGCATAGTGCATGAGTTGAAATAACCAGGGAGCGAAGCAAAGCCCCCTCCAATGCCCAATTGCTTACCGCATTGCGGTAGCATTCGATGAATAGTCCTCCAATAGAAAAAATAACTAACATGAGCGGTGACATCTTCCCCTAATGCAAACCTAGTCTGGTTCTAGGTTGCGGTTATATCCGATACTATCCTCCTCCTCCTCCTTAGACATTTGTAGTAAAGTGAGACAGAGGAAATAAAAATCAAATAGAATTCGCTTGCGCTTGTTAAATGCCATGCCGCTATTGGTATTTTAAAACGCCGCCCAGATGCAGATGAAGAAACACATTATGTCAACCGGACCCGATGCTGATGCAAGTCATGATGAAGAGATAATAATAAGATAATAGTAGAGAGTAGTGGTGTAATTGTGGTCGTAAGGGGTAATAGTAGTTGTAGTTATGGTGGTGGTGGTGGTGGTGGTGATAGTAGGATAGCTAACTAGTACACCGATATTGTGGATACTACTCGCGATGTATTTCGCGGCGGCAGGTAATATCCTTCGTTGTAAAAGTCGGCCTTATTATCTTCTTCATCTTCGTCTTGCCTCGGGTCGTAGTACTTGGTTGTGAGTGTGCTCTCCCTCTGTTTCTCCGAGAAGGTAGGTATTGATGCTACTGGTGGTGATGGAGGCATCGATTCGTCTTCTGAGGAGTCCGAGTCGAGTTCTAACTCAGGCGGTGACGTTACCATGTGGGATGGTGATCGTGTGAGAGATAAGGCGTCGTAGTCCTCGAAGTCCTCGTCGTCGTCCTCGAAATCGTCATCATCCTCATCGATTGTGTGTAATTGGGGAGAGGATGGTATGTGTGGGTGGGAAGGTATCCGTTGAAGTGGTAGTGCATCTGCCATCTCGATATCCTCATCCTCCTCCTCATCTGAATCACTGTCCGAGTCCGAGGAGTCGGCCTCCCAATCGTCCTCCATAGTTACGTTGTCGGCGAATTGCACGTGCCTTTGCTCCGTCTTGGGTGTAGCTACTCTGACAGATTGGTTGAACCAGCTCTCTTGTTCCCGCTCAGCTTCGGCCAGGTCGATCATCAGGGAGTCCAACAGATTGGCGTGACCGACAAGTAGACGAAGGTTGTGATCAGGGCGGGCAGCTTCGCTAGAGAGCTTAGCTCGTGCCTTGTGGGCTAGAAAGTAAGTCTGGGTAATAGACATGACCTTCCTCCTTGGTGCTGGTGAGGCTGGTGTGGGTTGTTGGGTGGTAGAGTAGAGATGTGAAGGGGAGTGGAAAGGCGAGGGTGAGATAGTAGAACCCATTTTGTATTGTGGTAATGGTGTTATAGTGTTATAGTAGTGTTATAGTAATAGGTAGTAATGGTGCAATAGATTGCAATTATTTTTCGTTGTGTTGTGTGAGTCAGGCACCGATTTCCGGCCAAGAGTTAAATAGACAATGACCAAACAGCGAGTCCTTGTCTTTTATGTTCAACTATGATGGTTGATTTTTTTTTTCGACAGGGGTGTGGTCTGTAAATTGTTGTCTTTGCTTTGCACCTCTGCGTTGGGCGGGGATGTTGTTTTCCACTTCAAATGGGTGCCAAGATACTCTACATGTGTACATATGTATGTATCTGTAGCCTGTAGGTAGGGTAGCCTGGGTACTAGGTAGGTACCGGGATACCGAGATACTTGGTACAAAGCTACTTGTGTACGTGTATCCGTATCGACCGCTCGTTGCTGAATCCGAGGCTTGCGGTGTGGAGTTGCAAGTCTCAAAATTGCTGCGTTGGAAAAGTACGCCGTGTCTGTGCCTTGGGTTACCCGTAATATCTGCGTAAGGCCTGAGGGAAAGCAAGTTCCAGGCTGGAAATAAGGGGGTGGATGAGGGTGGATGAGGGTGGAGGAGAATATTGAATTCTGGACCGTGCCACGATCTCAAGATCTTAGGTTATTGGAATGAGGCTCTGAATAGATTCAAGAGATTCGAGAGATTCAAGATTTTGTGATTACTTGCTTGCGTGATTGTTTTTGCTTGTTCGTTTGCTTGTTTGAATCTAGAACCTGGGGAGGGGGGAGACAGTTACATATGTATAAGTCAATCAGATAGATCTAACAAGAGTTGAAAATCAGAAGCTTGGAAACTGGAGTAATGGGGGATGGGGGCGAGAGGTTTCTTTTGTAATATAATGTGTCCCGCTGACAAGATCGTCTGAGAGCTTGTGTTATTTACTTGCGCGCAATGGATGGATGTAGATGGATGGTATATCATATTATCAAGCTACCGAGTACGATATATGCGATGGCTACGGTGGACTTTTGCTCGGGCTTAAACGGACAGACGGGATTGACGGGGGTTCGGATGATTCGTAAATGGGTTAAGCAGTTGAGATGGTTGTGCGCGTGGCAGTACATCTGTACCATCTGTACTAGTGTACCTGAAGTATGTATGTACACTTCAGCCTACGTGGTGCGGTACAGTACATCCATTCATACTTTTCAAGGGTGTCAAGATTGACAAGGCAACGAAGTCTGGGCAGGCAGGCATCTTTCTCGCTACCACGGTACATCCAGAATCTTATACAAGTACCCATGTACTGAGGTATCTATGTGTGGTACTAGCCTGGAGGTATGTACCTCTTAAACACCCCAGTCGCTCCAGTCTTGCGCAGATGCGAGACTACCGTGATGCACGTAAGTCGCTCCCTTCACCGCAAGAAAGTACCCTTACTGCTTCCACGTATGAGTGTGTAGTCAGTGTACATCTCTGGGCATTAGTCGGGCCAAGACTTTGGAGGCTTGCACAAATATTGATCGATTCACAATTAACCTAACCTCGCCGACCGCTCTTAACAAAGTTGACATAACTAATTGCTGTTGTACTGTACCTAGTACCCTAACCTAGGGCCCTGTTAGTAGGCCCTGTTAGTAGGCCCTGTTAGTAGGCCCTGTTAGTAGGCCCTGTTTAGTAGACTCAGTGCTGTGGTCAGTGGTCACCATAATTGATGATGCTCAAGTCATAAGCCCGCTTTCCCATCTCCGTCTCCGCTCCTTAACTGCTACCTCCGTCTTCCTACCTATTCAATGTTAGTGTGCATTACCTAGTTATATGTACCTGTAAGCTGTTAACCCTTCATGAAACCAATATATCTCCTAGTCTAAAACCCGCTGGTCATCGGAGTTGAATCCCATCTGCGAGTAAGTAGGTTGTTACTACTTGTTAGGTAGGAATGTACGGAGCAAAAGATGACAAATGACCATATCCGCGTATGTAGTATAGTATGTGGTATAGTATGTAGGGTTTGGTCAACATTTGAACATTTGATCCTAGAAAGTCGGAGGTGACTGCTGACCGAATCGTGGCTTTGTTGTAGGCTTGTAACACCGCACATACATACATATTGTAATTACTCATTCTGAATAGTCTCCTTGTCAGACATGACGATGATGGAAATCCACAACAGAGTACTATCAATGCACATACATGCCTAGCACCAACATATGATAATTGGCAATTTGGCATACATAATACATAGGGAGACGGTATAGAACGTTGCATAGCATAAAATTGATTATCATATCTTACTTTCCAGCTGATCGCTGGCAAGACATGCCGAATCGTTATCTGAATCATTTGAAATATTGGACTATGTACCTAGCCTCGTAGTACATATGATGGTATGTACTATGGATCTGTATGATACTAGGTATGTATGATATGTCGTAGTATTTGCTGATGAATCGGATCTGTATCGGGATGCTCAGTAATGTATACGGAGCAATTATTATACAGTTCAATGTTCCTAATAGATTCACTTATCCTGCAACGATTATTAATTACTTGCCTAGTAATGCTGGGCATTGCTTCCGTTCGCATCTGTGAACATCTTTGTCATTGCCAATTGGTAGCGTTGGTTGGCATTGGTTAGCAATACAATACAATGCAATACAATACAATACAATACAATACATGTAGAAAGGCGCAATCATATTGCCGAACCCTTTTGAATTCGGATCAAGCCCAGCCCGCTTCCAAGAGTGATACGGCCGGTACGGCTGGCACGGCTACCAGTAGCGGTAACTACCTAATAGGCCCTAGGCCCGAGGGTATACATCGTACCTAGTTAGTAGTTAGTTAGTCATTTACTAGTAGGTAGTAGCTAGTAGGTAGTCATACTGTCATTCAGTGTTCTCCCTTTCGAATACATAGACATCAATGATTCAAGATAATTATTTATATGAGATCCCGTACATCCGTGGAACGCTACACACACTTTGAGGACAGTATACTTGAAATCCTCATCTAGAATCTACCCTAGGTAATTTCCGATATAATTTTCATGACATTCTTGACGAGAAATCCAAAGCTTCCTATTCCTTGATTAGCGAACAACCATTCCAGCCATGCAGTTGACTCATTTACCCCGGCCGTAAAATGTGGTTTTGCCAACATCAAATTGCCAATTACCAGATCATCTACTACTATGTAGGTTAGGTATTGTACATGTAAGTACTACTAGTAGTATAACTCCGTGACCATGTATGTAAATACTAAAATCTGTGAGATCTATATGACTACATAAAAGTCGCTTATCGCATAAAGTGTAAATTGGATCGATCGATCATTCGGAAGCAAATCGCATATGTAGATATGGATATGTAGGTAGTTACTGTAAATGAGCAATTCGAAGTAAACTACATACATACATCCATACCTACCCAATATCAGTCATGGCGACATTAGGTTGAGCCGCCCCTGCATGAAATTGTAAATACCTACATGTATATTGTACATACATACTCACAGCCAGGTAAGATGGAAACAAGGTAAGGCTACCTATTGTTTTCTTGTTATTAATTATCCTACCCGATGCAATGAGTTGTCAAGGTCTGTCACAATCGTCACCGGGATGGCTTGTCACAAGGCAGATCATCGGACTTGGTTGATATATCCGCTGTCCTTTCATCAAACCCGACCGAGGCCTTGTACCACATGCAAGCCTGAAGTCGCATTCATACCTACGACATAGTACAGTTGTACCTACATACATCTGTTAGGGCTACTAGGTCTCCTGGGAAATGTATGAATCCGACGCCATCCCAATCCCGCCGTCCCGTGATACCCCACAGGTTTCATCGATCACTGCCCTACGGCTATCTGTATGTACCTTTATGAGGGTGAAGATCATGATCGGTCGCGGAGTTTACCTAACTGTACCTACTAGGTAATACGCAGTTGCGCAAGGCAGTAAGTAACCGCATCCTCGGTCAAGCCTCGTAACCGAGCAAAACACGCGACCCGTCTTGGCTTGCTTTCGTTGCTTCACAGAGAGAGCGAGGTGCCGTTCACATGGCGTAATTTCGAGAAAACGGATGCGACACTACCTAAAATCCTGAATCGCTGCGTCACGAGGGAGGAATCAGGCAACCCCCGTTTCGGCACCGGTCGCGTCGTTAAACCTCGACAGTTGATTTGTTAGAATCAGTTAGATACTACAGTTAGTATAATAGCCAATGTTATCCCACCGCAGCCAAACAGCCTTGTCTGAGGTCTCTCGCGTCGAGAATGACAAATGCAATAAAGGCTATGTACCATGTCATACACTTCCAAATAATAACTATTATATAATAACAGTACAATAGTTTCAGTCACATAGGCTTACTGCGTATATCTCATACAGGTTTGCATAAACGCTCTGTCCTCGATGCGACGTCAATATAAATTGCTTCGAGAAGGTTTCCATTCTCAGTTCCCGCGCTCGGTCTCGCTGAGTAATTTGCGAATGCGAATGCGCGGTGCGTTCTGTGCGTAGTGCTGAGTGTTTGGTGCGTGGAGCACTGGAGCACTGGAGCTGGAGCTGGAGCTGGAGCTGGAGCTGGAGCTGGAGCGTGGTGCGCGATGTGGAGAGAAGTGCGTGCTGGAAAAGTTATGTGCATATTATGTAGATCCTATTATTTATTTATGATCATCATGGCATTTGCGGCACAAAGTTATGCAGTTTACTACGTCGTAAAGTTTGCTAACCTTAGACTGGACTCACTGGAGTCTTTAGCAGCGCGCGCTGTCAACTCTAAAAATGTACGACCTACATAAGTACATGCATAAGTCTAACTGCTGGTAGCGCGAATGTTGTGCACGGGTACATTAGTACATAATAAAAGTACTTGATGTACAATCATACAATGTGCATGGTACTTCAAGGTTCGTAGGGCTGAGATCGACCCTTGAACAACAAGCTCGGTACCTAACTACCTGAGATAGCCAGGCCATCGGACTTACCACAGCCACAACCTGGGAAACCACGGACCCCGTCGTTATGTGTCGTTATGTGCGTGCCTACTGTAACTTAATATAAGTAGTACATGATACCTAGCAGCCTAGTCGGCCAGCTTAAGCCTTCAACTGGATTACTCACTTTCCCCAGGATTCGTAATTTCAATGTTGCTGTTAGTTTAGTTATCCATCTATGGATGTATATGGCCAACGGGTCAACTTGTATGTATTGTACGGCGTATAATGTACTCGGGTACCTGCTAAGCTAAACCCGCTCCTACATAGGGAATGTTGCGAATCCGTGCCAATGCCGCTTCTTCGCTTCGCCCAACCGTTTAGGGATCCAAAAAGGCTTAGCGATCCATCGCCATTGGGTGAAATCGTTAGGGCCCTTGGTAACGTAGCAACGCCAACGCCAACGCCAACGCCAACGGC